CGGTGCCACAACCATAGCCTTGAATCCCTAGTAAAGCTACCTAGCTAAACAAAAACTCTTACCCTGTAACTCCTAGGGGCAACGCAGCGGCGATGGGAAACATCTTATTCATCTTAGACAAAGTGACCAAGTACGGACGGGGTGCTGCCCTTTTTCAATGACAAATAAACTGATGCCAAGTGATGATTTATTATGCTGATACTTTATTTTCATCAACTTCTACCGAATGTCTATGTATATACCTGCCACTTGTTCGCGCCCGTTATCTAAACTCCATCAAAGTCGTTATGCTTATTCGTAAGGCTGCTGTTATGCTTCCAAGCATCCACATTAGCAGATCCTCCCTCGCTTATCATCATCACTTCTATATTAACAGTCCAAAAACCGCTAAATAAAAGACTTCATGTACATAAAATCTAAATACTCTCATTGCCAACTCTCATTATTGCCGTCATTGCTTCGCTGGGCGCGTTATCGTCAATGGCTTAAACGGCCTGCGAACCCTATCAATCCCCGGCGGAGGGCCCAAGCCTACTGGACGTCTTACGCCGCCTCTCGCCGTGGCCGAAACAAAAGTCGTCCTGTGGAAGCTGGCGGCAGGACGGTCCGGTACAGGAGCAGGTTCTGCAGGAGTAGCCTGCTCTTCTTTAATTGCCTTGGCGTCGTCGTCAGTTGGCCTTGGCGGGGAGCTAGAGAAGCAGTGGTAGCGCTTCTTGGAACTGCCGTCTTCAGCTTCTTCTTGCTTTATTACGCTGGGCCGATTCAGAGCATTGCCGCTCACGAGTTTGTGTTTTGCCAATGATGGATCGACGGCGGGAAGCTTTGGCAGCTCGGGGGCCTTCGCCTCGGTAGCTAGCCGGGCTGCAGAGCGGGATGCCGCAAGCTGGTACCGAGCCAGGGACATATCGGGGCCTTTAAACCCAGTCATTGGAGTCGCTGGCTTGTTTGAAGAAGTTGTTGTTACGAACCCGAGCAAGCTTGACTGATCTGCTTTTCGTCGGGTGGTGCCCATCTTTATGGCCTTTTTGGCTGCTGCTGCCTTTTCTTCTTCAGCAGCGGCCGCAGAGAGGACGGTTTGATGCGTTCCAGCCGATACAAAGCCGGGCAAAGAGGCCATAGTAAAGCTAGACGCTTGTTCCATAGTCGTACTGTATTCCTTCTTCCACTGCCGTTCTTCGGGAATCTCTTCGTCGCTACCATAACCTTGGTTGTTTACACGCTGCCGTTTGGATCCCTTGGAGCGATAACCTTCTGAGTCACCGAGTCCTTCTGGGTCTCTTGTGTCGATGGGATCTATTGGGAACAGATTATCCTCCATAGAGAACATGGGCGGAATCTTGTCAAATATTGCCTTCTCACTGGGGAGATGTCTCTTGAGGATTTTTGCGGCTGCTTCTAGGATTGGTCTGTTAAACGATGCCCCTTGCTTAGCAAAAGCCGTCGACTCAAAAGGCGAAACAAACGGCGATAGCTCAACCTTGCCACTCATGCCCTGAGATCCGTACAAAGGACAGCTGAGATAGAGCAGCACCTGCGCTCTGGTCATTGCTACGTAAAGCAGTCGTCTTTCCTCATCCAAATCCTCTGCTCTGGAGTGAGGAATTGAGCCGGCATAGACGGCTGGTATAAACACTATGGGCCACTCGAGTCCCTTGGCAGCATGAATGGTTGATATAGTAATCACTGATTTCTTCTCCGCCCCTTCATCATTTTTCTGAGCGTCGGATGCCAGCGCTATGTTTGCCAAGAATCGGCCCAAGGTGCTGTCGTCTTTGGCCTGATCAACATCCTCAATCTCTGGCAACAGCTCCTCATCTGCGTTTGCCGAGTCCCGCACAAAGTCGTTAGCCAAGCTGAGGAACTCTTGAACGTTTTGCCACCTCTGCTCGTGATCTTCTGGATACTCGGACTCTAGGTATTGCTTGAAATCGAGCTGCGATAGCAGCTTCTCAATAAGATTAATCAACGTTTGCTGGCTACTCTCGGTGATTTGCTGAGCGTGGCTTTGAAGATTTAATACCATTCTTATTAGTTCGGCATTTAGTTTCTGCTCCATCTTGGGTAATATTTTTGTCGTTGCTTTGCGGCTGCCTTGACAGTGCTTTCTCAACAGCGACCACAGGCTCATTTTTTGCTGCTCGGCCTCTTCTATGAGACGCTTGACTGTCGTGTCTCCAATTCCGCGACGGGGGACGTTGATGATTCGTGCAACGGAGTCATTGTTATCCGGCTGATATACGACACGCAGATAATCTAGCAGAACTTTGATCTCCTTTCGTTCGTAAAACTTGTGACCGCCAATCATCCGATAGGCCAGCCCCGCCTTGCCCAACGCTGATTCGATATGCCTTGAAAGGGATGCAGATCGTAGCAGAATGGCTACGTCTTCATACTTGAGCATCTCCCCAAACATTGTGACAGCTCGTTTAATCTCGGAGACAATCCAGTCACCTTCTGCAGCAGAGCTCTTTAACTTTCGTAGAACTGGCCTTGTGCCTTTTGTATGAACCGGAAGAAGCACTTTTTGGTACCGCTTCTTATCTTGCTGAATAACGGTTAAAGATACGTCGAGAATTGACCGAGATGACCGGTAATTTTCTTCCAGCGAAATCTCATCTGTTTGGGGAAAGTCCCGTAGCAGTCGGTACAGGTTTCGGATTTCAGCCGATCGCCAGCCATAAATGCTCTGGTCAGGATCACCGACAATCGTTATGCGTTGACGAGCCTGGCCAAATAATTTCATCAAATCGTACTGAATACCGTTTGTGTCTTGATATTCGTCAATGAGAACCGCTTGAATGTTTGAGACACAAGCTGGATACGCTCTCAACAACTCCACGCAGCGCACCAATAGGTCGTCATAGTCTAGTAAATTTGATCGTTCCAAGTGCTCCTGGTATTCCCTGTAGCATTCATTCAAGGACGGATTCTCAAGCTGCTTCTTGTTCGAAGGAGGGTCGGCCACATGGCCCTTGGCTTTTTTCTTGCTGATCCACGATCTCGCATATCCAGGGTCGATGTTGAAGTCATGGCGTTTACATATGCGCTGAATGATTGCCCTCGAATCGCCATCATCTGCAATCCCAAACTTGGAATCAAGGCCTATGTGTTTGCCATAGGCACTGAGATACCGCCGGGCAATAGAGTGAAAAGTGCCGAGCACGATTTTCTTCTCACTCTCCGGGCCAAGGACTTTGCCGATTCGCTCCTTCATCTCACGGGCTGCCTTGACGGTAAATGTAGCCACGACGATGTCTGATGGCTGGTAGCCCGTTTGCTGCACCAGCCACACAACGCGTGATGTGAGAGTATGCGTCTTGCCACTCCCCGGGCCCGCCAGGATGGCAACTGTTGATGCATTGGAAGTGACAGCACGGCGCTGGGCCGCGTTGAGCGACTGCAAGATTGAGTTTTCGGCAGACGCCGTTGACATGACGCAGCTCGAAGCGAAAGCCGTGGTGTTTATACCTGGCTAGGGACAGAAATTTGGCATCTGAATGGTAGTACAGTATCTGCGCTCTAAGCCAATTACAGCGCTTGCAAGGTCAATATTAAGCAACGGATGAATTATTGGCATGAGCTGATCTTGATGATTTCATCTCATCTTGCGAATTCACCACTTCACTGGCGTCGCCATCCAACGCGTCGATCCAGTGGACAGCCAACAAGGCGCATCGCGAACTCACGTGACTTGATTGTTTTAGTAAGCTAGCAGTCACGAAGCGTGCTTTTAGCTAGGGTGCACTGTTTACTAGGTAGTAGGTAGGTAAGAGGTGTCGCATCTCATTTTGTGATATGAAAGAATGCACGCAATGAGAGAAAACGTCATCCGTCATCTTCTGTGCGCTTTGGAAGTGAGCATCATACTCTACAGAGAACCGCCCGGATGTGATGGGTGACGAGTGATGAGCGCTGGGTGATGAGGAATACATCAAATTCACATCACAGAGACTAGTTGCCAATATCACAAATCCATGGCTCTAGATGGCGTGATTCCTCCTCTTTTAGGGTGAGGCTATCTGCAGAATGGCAAACCTGTCAACCTGTCAAGTCCAGTCTGAGCCATGAATCTCCAGCGACGGACTTGAGCCCATCACCAGATGATTAGCCGCATCTGCTCTGGCGGTGTGCCTGTGCCTGGAGATGTGACGAGACACACAGGCTGTCTTCTGGGCACAGCGCGCCGATCACCGCTAGCAATGTGGCTGGAGGGTCAGCAATCGCCATGGCACTTTGTCACGCTGCTCTTATTGGGAGAAATATGGACGAATGAGCTCGGGTATCACTGCTGAGGCAAGGATAGATCCTGTCTCAGCGCCGGCGCTTATTAGCAGTCATCTAGCGTCGGTTCTCCGCCAGCAAAGCTGAGAGAGACGGACGAGTACGTATACGCATATATATAGAAAGAAGATGACGGGAGTTTCAGAAGCGTAAGGAGAAAACGAGCTTATAATGTAGAGGAAATCCCAGAAACTTGGAACAATACCCACAGCCAACTTGTTGATATGCGTCGTACCGGTGCAGTCAACGCAGCTTTTTTCTTACCTGGCTGCAGCAGTTCAATTCAATCTGATGTCCCGGTGTTCCCCAGCGCCCGTCCCCCCTGTGGGTTAGGCCTGGCGGGGCATGCAGGTGGCGAGCTTTAGTGCCTGCATCAATGCTGGCGGTCGGGCCAATCAGGGCCCAGCAGCGCCCGTCACAGCAAGGTCGGCGCTTAAACCACCAACAGCCATCCAACCACAGGCGCTCGATGCATCGTGTTGCTGCTCCCAGGCCACGGCCGCTGGTGGCACGCCATGTAACCGCCCATCATGCACCGCACGCAGCGCCCAGCCACTCAGCGTCGCGCGAGCCGGGAATCTCCTGCGAACCCTCGCCCGGCCCCACGAGAGAGCGCCGGTCTCGAAGCCTCCCAGCATCGCCAGCCGCCGTGACGGGGCCCTATATACGCCCCAAGATGCCGCATATTTCTCCTCATTCATGTCACATCTCTCTCGGGTCATGTTTCGCATTTCAAAGCCAGGAGGTCCCATATCGCAGTGATCGCCTTCATAAGAGCGAGGCCGGGTCTGCAACATGCTCCCGGGGATTCTTCCTTCATCATCGTCACTCGTCGCCGCCTTGTCTTCTGTGCTTCTCTGGTCTGTCGCTCATTCATCGCCAACGTTTGGATCTGGATCCTCCACTCCATTCATCACAAAGAGAGATACTGTTAGAGACGGTCCGCCGCTGTCTGCTCGGGTTCTGCGGGATACTAGAATTCTTCCTGTGCAGATTGGTGGCATCGTTGCGGCATACGGTGTTTCGTTGGTGCTGGTCGCCATCATCTTACTTGCGCTATCAAAACGACGCAGAGAACATCTTCGGGGAAGCGATATACCCAGCTACGTTTTCCAGCCAAACTTTCCGGTTGCAGAGTTTCAGCAACAGTTTGAATTCACAAATCAACAAGCCGAGGGCCATATTGTCCCTCCCTTGGTAATTCCAAAGTCAGAGTACTACCACTCTGGTCCTTACAGCGCCCGAGTCTTTGACCACAAGAACGGCTCATCCTCATACGTCATCCCATCGCCTTCTTCATCTGCAATCCCGTCAACTCTTGGAGTCTCGCCGCTTGTAGACCAATCAGTCGTCGCAGCAGATAGAGCCATGGCGCAACAACAGCTTGAGGAGATGTACAAGTTCGTCATGGAGCACGAGGAGGCAAAGCAGAAGGGGATCATTCTCGAATCCCCGGTTGTGGCTCCGAGCCCCCAAGAGTCGACGGCATCTGACAAGTCCAAGGGCCTCTTATCGAAGAAGAGCAAGTCTAAGCCTGCCGGCCTCAACCTGGCGGCCGCCAAGGAAGAAAAGTCCCAGTCAAAGACTTCGGCTCTCTTCTCCTCCCTCCTTTCTCCCAAGAAGAAGGCAGCCAAGGGCATGAACATTTCGTCTCCCATCATGACACCCATGTCGGGGACTTTTCCTCAGCATGAGTCTCGAGAGATGAGCGCCATTCCGCCACGACACTATGCTCCTCCTCCGCCACCGCCTGTCCCGACGGACCAAGTGCCATATGGCGCCTACAGAGCTTCGGGTGCCCCAATCACTCCGGATATGTCACCTCAGAGCATTCAAACGATTGATGAGCGTATTGGAGCCTCTCTTGATCGAAGCTCGAGGACCACTTTGCCATATACCGAGAGAGACCCTGAGTCGGCCACCTCGGATCACTCGCAGGTTCCTCTGGTCGGTCTCCCATCATCTCCCAAGCCTGGAAGCACGTTTCCTTCGCTTCCTTCGCTTCCTTCTTCACCACGACCCGGTGCCTCCTTTTCTCGCCCTAACCCTCCCTCTGCGGTCCGAACCGGCGGTGCTCTCCCCCTTCGCGCTTATGAGGAGCAACTTGGTTCGCCTTTCGTTACCAATCAGACCACCAAGCAGACTGTCTTTGAGAGGACCGGCCCTCTATCGCCCTCGGGCAGGACCCCATTTACCGCGAGCGCCGTGCCCTACTCTCCGTACCAGCCATATACCCCCCTCGTCCCAATCACTCCCGGCTTGGTCACCAGGGAGGATCGCAAGCGCATGAAGAGAATGGTCCCCAAGACGCCTACCTTGGAGATGGTCAGGAGCTCTGATGACGTCTGGTAAATAGGTGGAGGAGGCCCCTCATGAGAACTGAACTGATAATTGTTTCATGCATTTGTATTTCATTTTTTCAAGCTTCTTTTTGTTAGATAATTTTGTGTGGGCGACCCCAGGGAGGGCAGCCCTTGGTTTTTTTTTCTTTTCTTTTATCATGTCGCCGTGATTTCTCTTCTCTTCTCTCGTTCATCAAAGCAGTGTCACTTCCCCCAATTCAGACATTCTGTTTTTTTATTTCTTTTCATATTTTATATACCATTGATTTGGGGCTAGGAGCAATAAGATTGAGGAAGAAGGAAAAATCATACCCGCATACCTATTTTTTTTTTTTTTGACGACTGATGAGATTTTTGGAGGGAATATTTTCATAAGCTTTATAGGCATATAAAATATAGTATCTCTCATGGAGTATTTAGTGTCTCTGAAGAAATGGTTTATTGGTCTATGAGTGATGTATGCATTGTGTCATTTGGAGACTGCCCTATGCGGTTGAATTCTGTTAAAACGACCTGAGATCTAATGGCAGCAAAGAGGCACAGAGATATTGACAGTTACTTGGATCCATTATTCAACTTGGTAATTGAGGCTATATTTGATCTTGCTGTTTATTCGGTGCTATACAAAACTGGCATGTTTTTGCAACAGGCGAATGCAATAACGGATCTGGTGACTTCTTCTGTTACCGCTATTTACCCCTTTCATTCTTTTCCTTTCCATCTTCCTTTGCTTTTTTGTCCTATCTTTTTTCGTCCCCTCTCCCCCATTTGGTTACCAGATGCAGCAAATAGGATAGCGCATTGTTAGACTATGGTAGCTGAAAGGAAGAGCTGTCTCTCACTTGCATTAGGTCCACGGATAGAGCCGCGATGTCCCAGCCCTTTTCAATTTGGACCACCCATGGCTCAACTAGGATGTTGATACTGAGGCCATGTCCAGTTCCTTTTTCAGCTGCTTTAGCTTGCTTCGAACTTTTTCTCATAGTCTCCCTTCCCCTCTTCTCTTCTAGGCATAGCTTTTGGAATTATCAATATAATGCAGTTACTACTGTATTTGTTTTTTCCCCTTATCATTAGTCCCCCTTGGTGGCCCAGAATAGGTATGACTACATGCAGACAGGCCCTCAAGCGACCAATGCTAATTAAAGTGAGTATGCCGATCTCAGCCTCTTGCATGAAATAATTCATGCAACAGCAGTAGGTAGCGGGAATAAGAAAAACCAAAGAGACCAGGAGCCTATCAAAAAACTCCCAATGGAACGGCCACGACGTCATTTGTTACAGCTCACCTGAAAAGACAGAATGTCGTTGAGACTGGGGAGGGAGGTAGCAGTATGATGTAGCATCCGTTGACACGTTTGTTTCTACTAATCCATGCTATGGATCGAGTCTACTTTGTCGATTCAAACGGGGATGCCCCGTACGGAGTACAGACATGTACTAGGTACAGTTTGATTAGTAGCTGTATGCACCGCATTGGATGCCTCTCGCTTTCACTCTTTGACATGGTAATCGCGACAACAGGGTATCAATGCCATGTGTCTTTGGGTTCACATTGGGCATCTGTGGCCGAATTATGCATAGCATGTTTTCTCGTTGGTGGGCGAAGACGAAAATCTTTGCCGAGTGCAGGCAGTAGTACCCAATTGCTCATACCCAACAGTGTTACTCTGCAGCCTTTCCTCAGCCTCTGTCTCTAATGGAAATCGACGAGAGCCTACCAGTGTGTTGGGGATCAAGCCTCGCGAAATCTTTCCTCTGCCCATGATACGTCACAAGGTCCGCACAAGCGTGCGTGCCACCCCAAAGGGCTGCTAAGAGTGCTTGAGGCAGGATTTACGCCGCGTGGGCGACGGCCTCGCTTATGCGCAGTCACTTGGAGTGCGGGATCAGTCAAGGAAACCAATATTGACTGCAGCCAATATCGATCGACCCGCTCGCGGGAGGCGGGGAATATGCACGGGAGACAGGCTGTCACCATGGATTGGGACTAGCCAAGCCGGCTCAACCATCAAATGAGGGCGCGAGGGCATGACCACATCGACATCTACAGTACTCTAGGCCTCCATGGAGAGCGAGTGCTGGGCCTGTCAGGGTTGATTGGCGCAGATTGTGCACCACAACGTCGACGATGACTCCAGGCATGGGTGGCGAGCCAAGTCCAGCGATTGGAGGCTGGAGCGGCAGCTGAGGCTACATGCTGGCACAAGCAGAGGGCCGGGAGATGACAGGTAACATGTCGACTCTGACAACTCGGTGGCCTGCCGCTGCTTGGCCTGGGGCAGAGACCGAAAGTCAGTAGCCAAGCGGTAATTCGACGTGTCGCGGCGGATGTGGCTCCGCGGGCAGCTTGATTGGTCCCCGGCTCGAATCAGGGAGGCTCAGGTCGATGTCGCTGGCAGATGTGCCGTGCCGAGCTGGCAGGACCAACAGCCAACAAGCATGTTCCAGATTCCGCATTCCGGCGAGCCTCTAGAGGGCCAATAGTGAGCCGCAGCTGAAAAACGGAAACGCCACAGGCTAGGAATGTGGGCATTTCGCAGCCAAGCAATGGAGAGGCGAAGGGCGAAGCAGTGCTACCTCGGTGGTGGTGGTGGCTCTAGCATGGCCCTTGCTTAGGTGCCGGACTCTCGCTGTGCCCCGAGCCAGCCATCAGGGTCTGAAGTAGGGCTGTGGCTGAGGGACTAGAACAGCTGGAATTTGCCATTTTGCTTTTTAAATCCTGTTCATTTCCATATGCTACCGTTTTCCTTTCTTTTTAGTCTTGACTCGGGATGGACCGGCATCCATCCCGGCAGGAAGAAGGAGCTGAAAAGCAGAAATCCAACAGGCTGGCGTTTCCCCAATACATGTAGCCGGCTCGTTTGGGGTAGCGCAGGAAATGCGCTCACGCAGCCAAGCCCACGGCTGAAGACATTCTCAAAGTGACTCAAACAACGGCGACTAGGCAGGGGTGGTTTGATAGCAGAGCGAATAGCGAATGGCGAAAACTGGAAATCCCGAATCCAACCAAGATGCTCCGTTCTTAGTACTTTTTGGTACGGAGCACGCCGAGCCAAACCTTGAGCTATAGTGCGGCCATTGCGGCGATGGCGGCGGCGATGGCGGCGAATTCACGTGGCCATGTCTCTTTTACTAGGGCGTACCTGACGGTGGCTATTATGGATTCTTACGCTGAAGAAAAAAGTCCAGCATACTACAAGTATAGCAGTGTAATTGCTTCTGCCACGAGCATTACGGAGACTTAACGTGGACAGTAGGACCTCTTCCACAGGGCTGACGGAGAGCATGAATCTTAGCGCCTTGCAATTGAGCCACAAAAAGGCAAACGCTACATGTGCCAGTGTGGCGGCTCTCATTTCTGGCAATGTAATGCAATAGACACAATCGCATTGCGCTAATGGGATTACGTCGCCGCCGAGGTTCAGCTCGCGCCTCGCGTCGCTTGGCCCTGCGCTTTCATATCGCTGAATCGTCGAGATGAAGCTCAGATTAAATGACAGGCAGCCGGGCTATACACGTATGAGGGACGATACAAGCACGGAACATGAACCATCTCCTGGATGGATTATTAGCCGGGTGTCGGGGACTCGTACTTGCAAAGTCACCCGCTGGGATGGGGGACCGCTGCCATTGCATCCCCAAAAATCGCAATGTCGTTCGGGCTATTACCGAGCATTTCCTTCGGTACCGCCAGCTGCCCAAGGCGCATGTGCTTTGCAAATACGCCGCGGTGCCCTCCAGCACGAAAATGCCACGGCCGCTAGCACCATTCTGATACGGATGGGTCTCCCATGCGTCCTGGGCGGCAGCTCGCCCAAGTGATTGTAGGTTCCCAGTACTTGGCGCCGTGCGGCAGCTTGGGCGGACGTCCGGCTTGTCTTACAGGCAGCCGGTGGTACAGGTACTGCGTTGTACAAACAGCGGCTGCACAGAGCAATACGGAGACTGCAGCATCCCGATGTCGATATGCGCGTGTTTTTCTGGGTTTGGCATGTGGTCTATAGGCATATTCACCCCACAAGTACGGAAGCACCTGCACCAAGTATGCCTGCTTACCTGCTGCATAACGACGAATGTCGTTAAAACAATACGATAAAAATCAATGACCGAATATCAAAAAGAATTAAAAGAAAAGAAAAAACCGGGCAGCAAGAAATAGGGAGGTGGAGCTTTTGGCGCTGTCTCAATGAGGCAGTATCCATAGTGTACTCAAGGCTCTTGTCTCAGGCACCTGCGCGTCGTATCATCACTGCTAGAACGCGCCAGGTAGCAGCTACCGCCGCCACCATGTAGCTGCCAAGGGAGGTGGGGGAGTTTCGGGTAGGCCTTTTCGCCTTTTAGCTTTTTCCCTTTGCTCGTTTGGGCGTAGCCTCGCCTGATATCGGTTCCGGATCGTACGATGTTCCTGTGCAGCATGCTTGTCTCATCTCGCACACCTTTCTTTTGGGCAAACCTCTTCTTCCGGCTGTCCGTACCGCATTGCCGTGGCTCCAGTCAAGAAGGCTTTGCATCAGCAACAGCAGTCATACGTGTATCATATCAAACCGGATCGAATCGAGCCAGGAAACCGCATCACTTCCACAATCACACCTCGATCTGCCTTTGGCCGGCGATCTCCATCGATCCAAGACATCCAGCATCTGCCTGTCCCGTGCAGCGCCATAAGCCGGCAATCCATACCACTGCTGGAGGGATCGAGAGGGATCGAGACCAAGAATCCGAACACCACTATATACCGTTACGGCGTTAGTGCTGCCGGGCTGAATCAAGAACCCCCCCTTGGCGCTGTCTTGTCCCGTCGTCGTCACTTCTCAGGGCTTTCCCTTTTCATAGTGCTCAATACCCAAGTGCCGTGCCGTCGTATCGCCTCTCCTCTCTCCACGGAGTAATAATACTGCGCAGTAACACTTGCGCTTCTTGACATTACCGTCAAATCTCATCGTCTCGCCTGCAACGCCCTCCCTGGCCATCCACCCCGTCGGCAGCGCTCACTGGTCTCAGCAGCTCCGCCCGCCTTAAACCGTATCCTACCACCTGGGTCCGCCAGGGAAGAAACTGGAAAAAAACAGCTGATCTGATCGTGCTATCGCTCGTGAGAGCGTCCACAACTTCTGCATCACTCAGTCCACTTCGCTCGTCGACCGCACGATTCTCTCCCAACAGTCGAGTGACATCCCAATTAGACCCTGACGCTTTCTTCACCTGGCCTCCGATTCTGCCCATTCTCGGTCTGTCGAGCCCGGTTGTCGCTGCATGAGCTGATCCGAGAGCTTCCCCCGGTCTCTGCAGCCGCCATCCCCCCCCCAAAGCGCCCTTCCTCTTCCCCTCCCATGGCCGATGAGGATGGCACCAGCGGGCTTGGGTTTGACGACCCGAGCTTCGGATTCATAGGCGGTGGCCCCGTGCCTCTCGATGCAATCTCAGATGCTCCAATTCTACCCAACGGCGATCCTTCCGGCGCTTTCCTCGATGCTGGCGTCTGGTCTTTGGATGCCTCGCCCCAAACCACATCGTACGACATCAGCAGCGCCAGCAACACCGCTCTCCCCTCAGCGCACCCAGGATACCTGTCCCCGTCCTGGCCAACCCCGACATTCGACCCTCAGCAGCAGCAGCAACAGCTGCCTGATTCTTCCGGCTTTGGTGGCTTCGCAGTGCCCAACGTCGATCCTACGTCAGTCTACCTCTCCAACCAAGTGGCCAAGCGGGGCGCTGCCATCCCAGTGACAAAATCTCCCCTACGCTCTCTCACCAAGTTGAGTCCTGCCGTGCAGGAACAGTTGCGAAACATCGCAATGCCCCCTCATCTTCTGTACGGATCGCCCAGGAGCGCTTCCAGCCCCGAGTCGGCCAAGACGGGAATCGGCTCATCGCCCGACATCTCTGGAGGCTCCCACCGAGATTCTCGGAAGAGAAAGATTTCGGCTGATGACTATGACGACGATGATCTTCTTGAGGAAGGCGGTAAGCCGGTCAAGAAGACTGCTCACAACATGATTGAGAAGCGCTATCGCACCAACATCAATGACAAGATTGCCGCCTTGAGAGACAGTGTCCCCAGCTTGCGCATCATGTGCAAGAGCGCAAGAGGAGAGGACACGACCGAAGATCGTGAAGAATTACACGGTCTCACACCAGCCCATAAGCTTAATAAAGCAACTGTAGGTAACCTCAGTGTTTACGGTTTTTTTTTCTCAAGACGCTACGATTAAGGAGGCGATGAATATCAGAATCACTAAACGCTTGATGAATAGGTTTTGAGTAAAGCCACGGAATACATTCGGCATCTGGAGAAGAGGAATAACAGACTCCTGGATGAAAATGGCGTCATGCACCAGAGAATCGCCGCTTTCGAGAAGCTGTTCATGGCCGGCGCCATGAATGGTTCCATCCCTTCGATGCAGCAGCCCACACCGATACAGTATCCTCAAGACGGCCAATCCCAGCAACAGTCACAGCAGGCCCAGCAGGCCCAGCAGCAGCAACAACAACAGCAGCAGCAGCAGCAGCAGCAACAGCAGCCGCAAATGACACCCTCTCCGCTTGAAATTTCCCAAGAAGGCGGTGCAGGACCCGCTGGAATGATCGATGTTCCAGAGGATATGAAACGAATCCTTTCTGCCCAAATGGCGAACCAGCCATATCCTGTGCCTCAGCAACAGCAATTATTCCGCCCGAACCCATCAGTGGTCGGCCAGCAGCAGATTCGACAGATGCAGCAGCAAGGGCAGCAAGGAGGATGGAACAATGCGGGCCCCTACTTTGGCAAACTGATGGTGGGCTCGCTCGCCGGATTGATGATTTTGGAAGCAGTTCGGGAGGACGAGACCAGTAATGAAGAGCCCCAAGGCCGTGGTCTATTTGCCGTCCCCTTGCAGCTTCTCAAATACCTCCCATCACAGCTTCATTTGCATTGGGCGGGAATTGAAGCCGGCATCCCCCTGAAATTCATGCTCCTCTTCGGCCTGATGCTGTGGGTTTTCATACCATCAGTATTTTCCTTTTTCAATCGAAGCCCTAAGAAGCAGCAATCTACTGCTATTCATCCAGCTCCTTCTCTCGCATCTCCCATCAGTGTTCGCCGTCGCGCTTGGGAGACGGCGATCCAGACTGTCTGGGTACCTCACCACAACTTCTTCCTGGAAGCCGCCGCATTGATGCTAAAGACGCTCAAACTTAGCGTACGCAATGTATTTGGCGTCCATGCCTACCAACTTTTGACCGGATTGACCCCTGAGCAAGAAGTGGCCCGGGTCAGCGCCTGGGCTACCGCTCTAGATGCCCAACTCACTGGTGGCGACGCAGAGATTTGCATGAGCCGCCTTATCCTAACACTTCTCGCCTCTGGAACCGTGCCGAATACACCCAGCGGTCTAATGCTCAAAGCGCTTCATGTTCGCGTCCTATTGTGGGATCTAGGTCAAAAATGGTATCAGCTAGGACTCGTAAACTTCTTTGCCGCCAAGATTGCACAGCAACAGTGGAATGCCGCTCGAGACCTGAACCAAAGACTGATGAATAGCTGCCAAGAAGACGAGGCCTCCGAGGAGAAGCGACTGGAACAGATATTGCCCGACCACTTGGCTGCTTTGGTCGAACAGGACTGTGATAAAGTCCTCACTACCGCAGTAATTCAACGAGCTCACAACTTGGCCTTCAACTTGGAAACGACATATAATGCAATCCCGATTGACGGTATGGATTCGGTAGTTGATGATACCGCTATTGGATCTCCCATGGATGCCCTTGCGGCTTGGTGGTCAACAGCCAAGGTACATGATATTTTGACGAGCACACTATCCGATAACGAAGCGGCATCAAAGGACCAGGGAGTAATGGAACTGGCTGTCCAAGTCGCGCCCTTTGGCTCTCATGCTCGAGCACGGGCGATTATGGCCCGTTCTGTGCTTGCTCATTATTGTCGTGGGCAAAATATCGCCGCCGCTGTTCAAGTTCTTCGAATCGACACCACCAGCAGCGAGCTTATCGAACCCATGTCATTCGCTACCGCCGAATCGAATCCCTTTGCCAATCCGGCACCCTTTCCTCCTGCCCAGCCAAATACTCCTAATCCCGACCTGGAGCTTTGCCTGCGCTGTGCAACAGCTTCAGCCCACATTAAGCGCTTAGGTGGAAAGGTCGCTAGCAACAAAACATACGTCCGAACCTCTATCGAAAAAGTGATTCATCTATCAACGCAAACGCAAATGTCGCTTTTGAGCTTTACATCCGTCATGGAAGTTTTAGAGCAGATATTAAAGCACAAGGATACAACAAACAATTTTGCGCCGCTCGTGGAGCAGCTGGCTGCCATCCTACGGCTTTGGATGGGCAGTCCACTGGCGCTAACTTGCGGTGTACCACCCGATCTTCAAGACAAAGTAATTAATCGATGTATAACCGTGACGAAAAGAGTGGTGGGCATGGATGTGGATACTGGCTACGAAACCATGACGGACGACGAAGATATATTCCGATGATTGACGACGGATTTTGCAGAGTGAGAGGATTTCAATCGACACGATTCACAACTATATTTCAAAGTTTTGCCTTGCGATACTGATACTCCACCTCTCGTTTTATCTTTCGGCCCTTTCGGCCCTTTCGAACGTTTTATCCTCTTTTACCAATTTGTCTCTATCTCGAGACCAGCTAAAACAGGTTTATGATGGAAGACGATAGTGTTTACAAGACGATGTCCATCCGGCCTGCGAAAGTGTGTGTATATAGAAAAACTTAAATCCGGAGTGACCGGCCTCATTACGATGTTATTATGCTATAAGGAAGGGAAAAAAATTTCTAGAAGGAAAGTTGGCAGAAGCGATTAGGGAAATTGACCCTTTGTATTTTCATAACCGGACTTTTTTTTTTCCCCATTTGCCCGTCACTTTTCTCTTTTATTTCTTGTTTCTTTCCCTTGGAGCTATTTACGACTATCTATTTAGTATTTGCTCTCTTCCATTCAACCTTTTACCCTTAAAACCTCCTATTTGTACTCTTTCTTATTTCTTTTGTTGTTTGCGGTTCGATACCTGGTTAGGCATAGTGCATAGTGAAATTTGGGCCTTTATATGTTATTACCTGGCGCTCATAAAAGAAGGGTTAGGGAAATCCTAAGCAAGAATGAAAAGATGGAAAAAAGATGAATGCTACAATTAACAACTGTGTGCTGTGAATGCATGAGAAATTCTGCCTACAGTCTCGCGTTGGTGATGTATGTAAATGCATGGTCCATCTGAGACGTGAGTTGTATACGAGTTTCATGTGAAAGAAAGGCATACATGGCAAATTTCAATGTTGCACTAGATGTAATGCGGAAGCATGAGAAAACGAGACTTTGGGTGCATCAGCTCATTGGTGGTTAAAATTACAGTTTCGAGGCTTTTTAGTTGGCAGATTTCAGCTTCAGCTTCCAGTCGCCATGTTCTATCCATAAATCAAGGCTTTCTTTCTTTTTCATAGATAGCGAGCTTTGTATGTCTCTCATCTTGTGAAACTTATTCTTATCTTGCCATCATTCCAAGTTTTCTTAGAGACTGAAGTTACGTCTGTCCCGAGTGACGTCCTGTTTTGTCATCTAGATATGCCCCCTCTGTTTTCATCATTGAATTCTATTTTTATTCATGGAGGAAAGTGTGGTTCTTTACTTTTTAGGGAATGGAAAACGCTTCATTCTGCGGCAAAGCTATCAGAAGAAATCCATCTATGCAAAACGACTGACTCGCTGTTATTTTCTTACACACATGGTCATATGTCGCTAATTCTAGGGTTTCACATTGTACGAATTTCGATGCTCAATCTTTTTTTTTCTTTATTACCATCTTTACCATTACATCTAGCAACTTTTGTTAAATTATCCCTTTTGTTCAAAGCTCTTATAGCAGCTCGGGAAGAAATTCGAGTCCCAGTCCTATATTCCAGGTACCTCCCCCGAACAGCCACGAACCCCACGTGGCACAACGTCATCCCGCCCCAGCGCTAAGGGGACCCTTAGAACCCGCCAAACTTACGATTCAACATCGACCCCCCCCCCAAAAGCCAATCTTCACCTCACCTCACCTCCTCTCGCAGCCACCTCCACCACCTATTAAATCACAAACACAATGGCTTCTACCACCCCCTCAGAAGGCTTCCCCTTCCCCCGCGAATACTTCTTCCCCGCCTTCTTCACCCGCCAGCCCAACCTCACCATCCACCACGCCCAGCTCACCAAATGGTCCTCCCTGGTCCTCGCCTACGCCCGCCACCACCGCATCTTCCGCCTCGCCCTCTCCGCCGCCGCCGACTCGGACCTCTTCTACAACCGGCAGCTCGACCGCCGCCTCGCCCCGCCCGACATCCGCGAGGTCGTTGATTTCATGCGCAAGGATGGGAGGGCAGAGTATCTGCAGCCCGGCGACGCTGGTGCCGGCGGCGCCAACAGCAGCAATGGCGATGCTTCTACCGCTTCCGCAGCTGCGGCGGGTGCTGGCGCTGGCGCTGGGGACGTGGTGCTGATATACTGGCGCAAGCCGCAGGAGTGGGCGGTGTTGATAGAGGCCTATGTGGACGAAACAGCGCAAAAGGGAAGCGTGCTGACGGTATATGAGCTGACCGAGGGAGAAAATACGCGAGGAACTGGTGAGTTTACTGCCTTGTGCCTATGCATACTGGAGATGACGCGGTTCTAAAACGACGGTTGACAGAATTCCACGGCATGGACAACGGCGTACTCATGAAAGCGCTAAACATCCTCGTCAAACGCGGCAAAGCCCAAATCTTTGGCTCGGAAGACTCTCTTGGTGTCAAATTCTTCTGAGGCAGCCCCCTCCATCTCTAATTAACTAAAGAAGAAAAAAGTATAAAGCGAAAATGCTGCGAAAATGCAGTCCGACAATTACCTCCATGACCATCCATGCACAAGGGCCACTATCGACTAATTTGTCCCTCCCACCATCGACTCATGCTTCCTTCCTAAACTCCGTCATGTACATGCCTCATAACAAGATGCGTCCACTGAATCTTACACTTGAATCGGCGCCTTACTCTGCCTCGAGCAGAAACTTCTTATCAAACCGCACCTGTTGAGCCATCGCTACGTCAAGGAGCCAGTCCGGTGACACCACCCTGGGCTCCATGTGGCCATTTATTGCCATCTCCTTGAAGCGCTTCCACAGTTGCTTTTCTTCCGAAGTAGTGCCGCTCAGAAGGTACACTGGCTCAGGAGGTGCAAACCCATCTTGCTCCGCGGTGGTTGGTTTGATAGTCGTTCCGCTTCGTGCACGATAGATCATAAACATAGCACCGTTCGCTTCTGCAATCGCGCGATAGCTCTCGGGCCCATTTTTGATCTTATCAGTACAGTATATGGGAATGCTTCGAAGGAGTTTGCCGCGGTGGGCCTTGGCCCTGGCAACAGATTTTTCGAGATTAACGTCGTACTTGGATTCGGCCTCGGCATCTTTGAGGATAAAGTCTTCCACATCCTGAAGCTGGCCCGTCTCGAGAGTTTTCTCGATAAATGTCGAAGAGATGACAGTCGGTCCGCGTGCTAGGGCGCATAGGAATTTGACTGTCCTCACAACATGTGGCGCTGCTAGATAGTCGCAAGGTTGACCCTCCTGGACAATCTGAATGCCGAGATCGCGGAGTTTTCGCTGTGGATAGATAGTTAGCAAGTGAGCCTTACTGATGTGGTAAACTCAAAAGGAAGGATAGAAGACAAGGGATAGAGAGAAGAGCTTTAAAAAAAGGCAATACAATCAGAACTCACCCGATCTTGATCTTCTTTGATCTGGCTGCCCACCCATCTAGTAAAGCCTGTAAGAATAATGCGCATCTCAACGCCAGGCAGAGATGGCCTTGACTTCTTGGCCGGCCGGTCTTCGTCGTCATCGCCATCTTTATGGCTGGCTGATTTCTTTTTGTTGTTGACGTTCTCTTCTGTCAACTTGGCAGCGTGCTTGCCGCCAAAAGGAGTGCCCGGCTTGGTATTTCTCTTCTTTTCCTTTTCATAGAGAGCGATATCCGGGGCGATTAATGAGAGCCTGTCCATGGCCTTTGTCTTAGCACTACGTCCACCAGTAGACACGGACGTAGGCGTCTCATTTTCTTTACCTGCGTCTGCAGGTCGGACCCTTTTAGGCGTTGCGAGAGCTCTGCTAGGCCGGCTCTTCTTTGATACCGCTGATGGAATGTCGTCCTCCTCACTGTTGTCCTCCTGCATAGCATCAGACTCTCCTTGGGCAACTTCGCCAATCACAACGCCCTCCATGGGACCATGTGAATATGCATTGTCTTCTGCGGCCTCAAGGATCTTTCTCTTCCTTTTGGCTCTTGGTGACATAGTTTCCTCGCCTCCTGGATAGAACAAATCTCTCAGTCTAGACTCGTTGAACGTGGTTTGCCCAATGATTTCGCCCAAGTTTGTCCGAATGGGGAAGTGATTATATTTCTTCACATTGACCGGCTGGATCTCGCACTTTGCATAGCTCTCTTCGATCCAGAGGTGATTAACTACGGTGATACCCCATTCAGGAGCAGCTTTGCACTTCTCGCTAGAGTTGCGAGCTGTAATGAGATGGGTGTTGTCCGCCTTCATCGTCTTAGTGAACTCGGCACCGCAAGCCTTGATGAGGTTCTCAAGATATATGCGTGCCTCACCGCCATAGTTGGATACAGTGATGCGCATATCCTTGAAGCCCGGAATACCATTCTTGGGAATGGGATAGTGAAGCAATCGATGTAGAGGCGACGTCCATTCATTATGAGCAATGAGGAAATAGAGCCAAGACAAGTTGGCAACTTCTTTGCACGATTGAGAGGCCCGCACGTACTGCTCGCCGTCCCGATACTGACAGATTAACGTGTCGCAGTCGTCGACGTCTTGCACCAGCCGGCCACCGCCATAGATGATGATGTCTTTCAAGGCATTCTCGAGACGGCCGGTGATTTTCAGATCCGCTCCGAGCAGGATTTTCTTGTCTTGGAAGACAGTAACGGGTGGTCTCGCAGAGTTTCCGTCAGATAGAGATATAAATTCAGGATTAGCTGATGAGGCTCCGACCAGGTTATTATTCGATGGAATATCGAGGTCCTCGTCGGGGCCCTTTTTCAGAATCTCGGGTTCGGGAAGCAGGTAGGGTCCTTCGTCGATTCTCTTTCCCAGCTTGAAGCAGTCATCGAACCTAAAAGCCAAGTTTGTCAGTTTAGTATGCATACCAACAGAATGAGTATGCATGTCTACCAAGTGATGTAGATACTTACCAGTGCGGCAATACAATTTTGCCCTTCCAATTCTTCTCCAGCGCACTAACGACCTTGGGATGGTCCATGGAGAGCGCACAAATATGCGTCGTCAACTTGCCCGCATCCTTGGATTCTTGTCCTCCCAGCGCCATGGTTGCTCCTAGGATGCTCTCCTTGTCCATTGGTGGTATATCCGCACATGTAACCATAACCTCTGAGAAAATCATGCGGGGGTCAGGCGAGAAGGGCCGTACTTGAGCTTGCCTCCGCCGAGATATTGAGACGGTGATCCACTGCGTTGACACAACGGGGATCATGAACGCCTGCGACTCGATATACTGCGGGAAATCAATCGTGTTGGAGATGATGTGGGTGACTCGTTCAATCGGAAGGGATCCATCGCGTCGATAGTCGACCGCCGTGGCGCCGTGTTCTGTCAGAATAGCTTGGAGCTGTAGATACCAAGGGTTAGATATGAAAGACTCTTAACTTTGCGAGTTGTAGATGGAGTACGCACGCTGCTGATTAGCTTTGGAGGCAGCGAAGCGCTGGGCACAAAGGCGATGGCGCATTCGCTGAATATGCCGGCGGTATCAGCCATGGTGGGAAGGATGCGTGTGGTGTCTCCAATGACACGAGCCGTGTCTTTGCAGATATATAACCGTAGCGCAGACCAGATGACACTTCTCAACTTCTCTTTTCCTTTCGTATGAGTATCCGTAGAAGTACGCGAAAAGCAATCTTCAAATTGCAGTCTTAAAAAAAGAAAAGGGGAGCTGAGCGCATCAGAAAAAAAAAGAGAACAAGCGTGAATATTGACGTAGCCAAAGGCAGGTACGGCACGCTGCTTAGCTCTTTCTTTGTTTGTGGCCAGACGCGCTCCTCAGGCTCTTTACGCGAAGAAGGCAGGCTGTCACATGACCCTGGCAGTTGGTACCTAAACTTTTCGGATCGGGTTATGGAGGGGCAATTTAAGGGTATCAGTACTTGCGATACGCGAACACTTTACGCTGTAGTTGTAGTAGCTGCTGTAAGACTTGTAAGGTAGTATTAAGTGCTTTAGCTCACAAACCAGCATCTAGGCGAGTACCTATCTATCTTATCATCATGGAAGCAAACCTAATTGAGAAGAATATTATAGTAAATTATAGATTTTCAGGGAGTGTAACGCTTTTTCTTTGGATCCAAGACACACAATGCTTATATACACCTGTTGCTGTTTGAACCTATATGACACAACATTCGCTCTTTGCAGCAGCGCACCACCAAATACTCCAAAACTATAACCATCGCCAACAAAACAAATAAAAACATGAATGGTAATAATGAGGAAATTACAATAAATGGAAAAGATACAGCCGAGAAAAGAAAAGAAAAGAAGAGTCGAAGAAGACAGGCAAAAGCGCCGGAGAAAGAAGCAATGCTGAAACCTGCGCCTCTACGTATGCACCACCCACGCATACCCCGTATATCCCAAAAAGTAATAAATAAAACATAACGCATCAACCCAGGTATCATTACCTTGCACACAGCCACGTATTCAAAAGTTTCCCTTAAACGAAGACGTAATAGGAAGTTTAACATGCCTTTTTTTTTTTTTTTTTTTTTTTTTTGCTGGTTTGCTTTCATCCCTCCTATGAGTCCAAACAAGCCAGGGCCACAGCAGCTCCTGTCAATGAGCTCTCCTTGGCAGAGACAAGCTCAATGGACTTGTTTTCGCCAGATGGCTTGCTTTCCAGCAGCTCGCTGATGTATCGTTGGCAACTAGCCAAGTATCCAGGGTACTGCTCGATGACACTGCCATTGAATGCAACGGTAGTCTTCTCCATGTTAAGGTCCTCTTCAACCGTGATTCGAAGAGGAGAGGATTCGGGGAGGGTAGTGAGCAGCTTTTGGTCGCCCTCTTGACGAATATCCCAAAGAGCATAGACAGCGGAAGCGATCAGTGCGCTTGATCGTACTGAAACGAAAGATGCAATTGCCTTGATGGCGCTCATATCAATGACGCTAGGAGCGTGGGATGAAGGATGCTTCTCAGAGAAGCAGCTGATAGCCTCTGATAGGTCGGCAGTGGTGTCACTAAGTAGACAAAATGTTAGTCATCTCTATTCCAGGCGAAGGATTATCTCATCAAACTGTGGAATGATGACTTACCCCTCGATCGTTGAGATGGTTTCGGTGCCCAAAGAATATAGCTCAGTCAGGGAGGGAGGAACGACGCCACCCATGAGGCCAGTTGTCTGGATAGCATCCACTAAGATCAAGCGGACAATCTCGCCGAGATACATGCCGCTGGTCATGTACTCCAAGGGCTGGAAGTCGGGTCTAGGATGCTCCTTACTGAGCTGGCGGTCCCATCGAGTCAAGGGCAGGATTTTGGACCCAAACATGCCGAGCTCCGTGTTGACGATGACGTGAGATGCTTCATCGAACCAGCCCGCTGGTCTCTCGCCGAATTTTGATCGGCTGATGGCTGAGACGGGCAAGTAGGCGGCGATGTTGACACCGGTACCCAAAATGAGGCCAAATCTGGTTGAAGAATGGGAGTAAGCTCGGGATAGGAGACAGGCACTCGAGTCGTTGAGAATCGCTTTGAGCTCGACGTTGAGGTTCTGGTTTTTGCATGCGGTCTTAACGATGTCTCCCAAATCTTGTCCAACAAGACCAATATCGGCCAAAAAGCCTTTGCCCATAGGCGAAAGCTTGCCACCACCTAGGGAAGTTTGACTGTTTTATAGTCAGTTTTTGGAAACAAATACAAATAGAGGCAAAATAGGGTACAGCCGCGGCTTGAAAATAGGAATACATACTCGATAGGAAAGCTCCATGCCATCGAAACCGGCAGCGGCTTTTCGACACTGTGCTCTCTATTGAGGGTGGTTTGGATCGTCTCTGTAATACGCGCAGCCATCCACTCAAAAAAGGCGATTCCCTCCAAATCCTTGACCTCCTTGGTGATGCGGTAATTTTGCATGCTCACAATCTCGGTGGCATTTTCAGAACCCTTTTCCCGTCCTCGTAATTCGACCAGGGCAACCCGCAGTGTCGATCCTCCCACATCCAGGGCCAAAAACTGCCCATATTCGGAGCCCACTGGCAACTGGTGGCTGTATGAGGGAAGCATGCACTGCACATCTGCCTGGAGTGCGTCGAGAATCTGCTGTTTTAACTTGACGGACAGCTCTTGCAGGCCATCGCCGCTGATGGGGCCGACAAGGGCGGCCTCGGCATCCTTTAGGAACTGCTGGAGAGACTTCTTCTGTGTGCCGGTTTCTTTGCTCTTCTTGTTTCCCGACAACCAGTAGGACAGGATGGCCTGTATCAGAGTCTTGCCTCGCAGCAGGCTCTTGACAACGGCGGCCATGAATGCTTTCCGAAATTGGGTCATTGCTGATTTGGATTAAACAGACATAAACCGAGAATAGAAGGTTGTAAAGAAGGAAGAAGTAGCCGGGAGAAATAGGATCTAGGATGAGGCTAGGGCGAGATGAGGCTGATATAAAGGAGGATTCAGCTTTGGGTAGTAAAGAAAGTAGGAGAGTCTCTAGGTAAACGAGGGTGAGGTGGTGGTGGTAGGATCGCAGCAAAAGAAGCGCCGAAAAACTGTACTATGCCTCGCAAGGATGAGAAAGCGACGTCGTAGGAGGGCAAAGTGGCAGAACCAGAGACAAGCCACGATCGACAGGCACGACTCTGGACACGGGACTGGTGGACCTGGGGCAGAACCGAGAAGGCAGAAAGAGAGTGCAGAAGAGACTCCAAGGCAGCGGTGATGGAAGAGGGAATGGAACCTGCCCCGTGCTGATGCAATCTCGGGCGACGGCCACCTCACAGCTGGGAATGGGGAGAGGGAGAGAGGGTCGAGAGGGTCGTATGGGGAACAACGAGATGCGGTTGTCCGGCCGAGTCGAGTTGGATACGGAGTACTCCGTGCAGATGTATACTTGTAGTCCGACGGGTGCGGGATGCTGGGCCAGCGAATGGCAGGGCCGGGACAGCCACAACAACGGCGAGGTGAGAGACAGGTAACCAGCTCGACGGCTAGCGGTCCTTGCCAATGTAATGTATGGCCAGGCAGGTAACAGGTCAGTCAGCACGGCGTGTGTGTCCAAAGGTTACAGGGCCTAGTCAAGTTGCGCGACGAGAGGGTTGATCCGAGGTGCCGGATGGAGCTCAGCGGTGGGCTATCACCTTGGAGAAGGACTGCCGAGAGAGCTTCTTTTTTCGCCCATGCACAGGCCCCAGAATAGGTCCTCAACGTCGCACGGCACGGTGGAGTCGTCGTCGATTGGCTGAGGGATAGGTAGCTGGATGGAGTGCAAAACAGCAAATGGAGAGGAAGAAGCCAGCAGAAGAAAAAGGCAAAAAAAAAAAAAAAAAAAAAGCTAGAGAATACTATCGTGTGGGATGGGGGTCACATCGGCGGCCGGAGTGAGAAGCCAGCAATGCGAGCAGTAGTATCGCATTGCAATGGCGAAGCAGCAATACGAAGCAGGCGAACAACGCAACAGCGCATGTACTCCATATTTCCTCCCCCGTATTTGGCACAGCAGCGCATGCGACCAGCCAGCTGCGCCAAGATTGCCGGTCGAAGGGGTCTCGAAGAAAGGAGGGCAACTGAATCAGAACCAGGGGCGCGCGCAGCGAAGGGAGTCCAGGGGGACGGTCGCTAGCGGGTGGAGAGGCAGCAATGGTGGGCAGCTGGAGTGGCGCCTCATCTTGCAAAGCAGCGCACAATGGGCACAGCACAATCGCTGCTGGAAGTGGAAGCGCTCCAGAAAAAAACGAGACAAAGTGGTGAAGAGGTTTTTGGTGTTGTAACGTTGCGGTGGAGCGCTGGTAGCGTCGAGGGTTGACGGCGACTAAGGAGCGGGATGGACAGGGGGGGCCCTGCCCGCTGGCCGGGAAATTTTGCCATTGGGTCCAGCGGCTGTGGAGGTGCAGCGGTGGTAACCTGTTGGCTGGAACTGGCGTTGAAATTGCATCAAGATGCTGCAGGCAGGTGTTTGTTTGATGCAACAAGGCTGCGGCGGCCAGTCATTTGATGCTGCTGGATACGAGAAGCCGTGATTCTTTTGGCCTGCCCTCCTCGGGAGGTACAGGGCACCCGATAGCCAGCCGTTTAACTCTGACAGACCCTGGTACATGTACATACTAACGACTCCAGCTTCCAATTGCGTGCATGACAGCTTGATGCGACATGCTAAATGACAACGATCAAACTTGGTCTATATCGCTGCGATAGTGCGCAATCTAATAGGTTGCTCGATCATAATTATAGAAATCGACAGGTCCAATTCACAACTCCATTGTCGTGCTACGCTGCGTTTAATGGGTGGCACCGCTAAGCCGCAAACCTCGATCTCTGTGGCGCAACGCCCCCCCGTAGGTTGCGCGCGCTCCAACTCGCTCTCCAATAATCTCTACAGTCTCCAAATTGGCTCTCCAAATTGTCTGCCATTGCGTCTAGTGCTCAGTAGTAAGCCGTGTCTCTGACTACGCGCTCTATGCCAATGGCTTGGGCCAAGTAAGTATTCCCCCCGTATAGAAGGCTTTCTTTGGGGGTCAGCCAAGAGATGTTGAAGCTGTTAATGGTGCTAGCAGCACAGATTCAACCCCGCGAGAAAACGCCACGGTGGGAGATTGTTGCTCGCTGATAGTTGTAGATGGGCCAACAGTGATACTGCGAGCAGTAGCATACAGTCAGCAGTCATCTGGGTACGAGTGCCCCCGTGCGGCGGAAAGATGCATTGCCAATAGGAGTGCCATGGTGCAAGCAGGATTCTCCGTCAACTCGCGCTCGTGATCATCTCCTAGCCTCCCAGTATGCGGCGTCCAAGTCCAACAACAGAAAGTGGTAATAGCATCACAGAGCTAGCTCTCTCGCTCAGACCACGGCGCAGACGCTAAGCCTCGATCTCGAAACAGCCCAACTTTATTCCTGCAAACGCCTTCCTATATCGTCCCTGCAGGGTCGGACCAGCCCTGTCTCTTCATTTATGCGGACCTGGGCAGAGATAGCGAGATAAGGGGACATGGAGTTGTGCTGGATAGAATGCAAGATGCCACTTCATCTAACTGCCCTAAATACTACATGTACCACTGCACTTTGGCCATCTGGGCATGGGGCGTCCTAGATAAGCGCGTCTATCGCAATTGCTCCTACTATATTAGTATACTCCGAACGTGCAGAGTAGCAGTGTATTCTATCCGCGGCCATCTGTGCATTCATAAGATCGCTTAACCCTCGTCCTCGGGAGCCCATGAAAGCGCTTACTCCTACTGGCATGTCTAGGCAAAAGCTATTGGCCACGATGACACTATACCAGTACGTATGAGTGCCGTATCATCAACATCGTTGTGTAGTGTCCTGGCTAACAAATTCAGCGGCTAGGTCAGAGCTCAAATGACAGACATACTTTTAGCCTGGCTGGATCTAGAGCCCAGCCAGCGTCACAGAAATGAAAACCAACGACATATCCCGATAATAGGTATTCCCGCCAATACGACGGCCCCCATCACCGATCCCTGTGTTACGGTTCACGTTGCGGACGTCAAGGTTGCTTCTGGGTCTTGAGCAGTGATACATGACATGATCATACAGCAACGGTGAATATCCAACAGTAGAGAAAGAACGGGACAGAATACGCGAGAGTCGTGGGCGGATGTCAACGTGACGAGAGTTCACAATGATGAGATGACCTGAGACACAGTTGGCGCCACGATGGAGCAATAGCATGCAAAGCAACTGGCAAGCAGGAGACGGGTCGCACGACAGGCTGGGGTCACAGTCATAAACGACTGGCCAGCATTGAATATTGCGTAGGTTGCCATGGCCAGGGGACTCGACCTGTCTGGAACGTTGAAGCGATTGCGGGAGCCATGGCGACAGACGAATAAGATGCACAACCCAGCAACAAGGCTGAACCAACATCGTTTCGCCAGGCTCGGAAGGAGCCGCTAATAGACCCAAGGATATGATTCAATCTTACCGCTACCACCTTGCATGTAATCGCCTAGGCCACTTGTCCATTTTGCTAGAGAGTACAGGACAGGATAGTCGCCGCTGGTGTTACGAACTGCTGATCCGGCCACGGCAGTTGCCACTTTTGATGAGACGTGAGACCTTTGATGCTGAGAAAAGGTGCACGACGGAGTAAATATTACTCTGCTCTGCTCCATCGGCGGCTCAGCTTGATGATTGGCTGCCCCAGCATAAAACGGGGAACATGAGTGAGGATGCTTACCGAGGACAAAGCAATCCCCGTATTAGACGTCACCAGTCTCCTCCGTTTCCAATGCGCAATGCAACGAACGGTTTCTCTCAGAGGTAACGGAGTGTACATGGGCTTTTTCTAGACATATGATTGCTCCAGGGACCCCATCAAAGACACGCCGCAGTGGAGAAACAGGCCGGCTCTGCGCACTGGAATTTGCTCCAGCTGTCCCACCAGCCCGTTGGAGCGGTCTTTTAGTTGACGGGGACCCCTCAAGAGTGGCGCGCGCGCAACCGATGGAAGCATGCAGTGACGTTCCATCGAAACCCAAAGGCAAAAAGAAGGGAGAAAATCTCTACGTGCACACACCTGAAATGGCCACTAGCATTCTCGGAACAGCTCACATGGGATCCCCTCTAGGGCCGTGCTGCACGCACTACTGGCTGCCCGCCGTGCCGCTGCAACTTTCGATCTTGGGAAGCATGTTAGTGCAGTACATGCTCGACACTTTTTTTTGCCTTATCCGCAGACTCCGTCCCGTTTTTTTTTTTTTTTGTGTTGCTGAACGGAGCCAGCTGTTTTTCTCCATCGTTGCTCGTGGCGTCTGGGGAGAGACAGCCGCAGGTATGTAGCAGTCGTAGCACCGCCCAGTAGTCGCAGGCAGCTTGTAGCAGCGGCAGTTCTCGTTATGTCACTCATGGCCTCTAAGCGCCTCTTCCGATTCAGGAACCTTGGGGGGGGGGTGTCGTTTTGTTTGCCCAAAGTTGCAGTTCCAAGGACCCCTCCTCCCCTCATACAAGCTGGGCTCTTAAGCCATGGAGCCGATTTCCTGCTCTTCCTGAGAAAAGTTTCTTTCTTTTTTTCTTTTTCTCTCTTCTCTGTAAAGAACTCAAAGAGTATTACTCTCACTATCTTCTTGTGATATCATCGTCTCCCCCTCACCTCACTCTCTCCCATTTCCTCTCTCTCCGAACTTCCGGGGCTGTATATCCAATATCTCTCTCATACATACTTTTTTTGCCTCCATCTATATTCCCCCACACTAGTCCTCTTCTCTCACAGCCTTCACCATGCGTTTGATCATCCGTGACAACTCCGACGGTGCCAGCGAGTATGTCGCCAACTACATCATCAACCGTATCAACACCTTCCACCCCAGCGCTGAGAACCCCTTCGTGCTCGGCCTGCCCACTGGCTCCAGCCCTCTAGGCGTTTACAAGGTCTTGGTGCAAAAGTACAAGGACGGCCTGGTAAGCAGAAAGCGCGACATCTCTCACACTTTCATATCCAACAAGATGGGTGACTAATGGCGATACACCACACCAGGTCTCGTTTGAGAATGTCATCACCTTCAACATGGATGAGTACGTGGGCATCCCCCGCGACCACTCCGAGTCCTACCACACCTTCATGTGGAAGCACTTCTTCTCCCACGTAAACATCCACCCTTCCAACGTCCACATTCTCAACGGCAATGCGCCCAACCTGGAGGCCGAGTGCGTCGCCTACGAAGATGCCATTAAGAGGGCTGGCGGCATTGACCTGTTCCTGGCTGGCATCGGCGAGGACGGCCACATTGCCTTCAACGAGCCCGGCTCCAGCTTGGCCAGCCGCACCCGTGTCAAGACCCTGGCCTATGACACCATTCTTGCCAACTCGCGCTTCTTTGACCACGACATCAGCAAAGTGCCTCGCATGGCCCTGACTGTTGGTGTCCAGACCGTCCTCGAGGCCCGAGAGGTCGTTGTCATCATCCTGGGCCAGCGCAAGTCGCTTGCTCTACAGAAGTGCATTGAGGAGGGCGTCAACCACATGTGGACGCTGTCCAGCTTGCAGCTTCACCCTCACCCCATGATTGTGGTGGATGAGGATGCCACTGCCGAGCTCAAGGTCAAGACTGTCAAGGTGAGCAAGAAGATGCTATACAATTTAATACAGCATACAATATACTGACTTTGACTTGTACAGTACTTTAAGAGTATTGAAAAGGTTGCCCAGGAGGCTGGATTCGAGCAGATCCTGCCCTCCAAGGTCCGCACCGGCAACGGCCCCATCCCCCAGACCACCATCGAGGAGGTTTCCTCTCCTACCATCCACGCTCCCCAGCCCACCACCTCCCGCCTCCTCCGGGCCACTCCCGCTACCGAGTACCCCATCCGCTCCGTGTCGCCGGATCTGGTGCCGGACCGCATGGCCTCCCGCATCCCTGAGCCCCACCTGACCGATCGCCTGACTCCCAACCCTGAGCAGCAGGCTGTTCAGAGCGCCATTACTGCTTAAGACGTGAAGAGAAAAAAAGGGGGGGATTTTCCATGGAGTTTTAGAATTGGGTTGGCTCTCGCTTTTATTTTTTTTTACCTTTATTCTCTCGTTTTTTAACATAGGAACCTTAGACGTTACGTTTTTGGGCATGACTTTAGGAGTATTGAAATGATGTATTTGTATACCACGCAGAATGACTTAAAAAAATACAAAAAAGGGATAGCAAAAACAAGAATTGTAAAAGACTAAATCGGGTGACCATTTATCATTGTGCCTCTCTATGATGAAATATTTCTTGATCGTTGCGTTATGGTATAGGGTGGCGTCTTGATGTCTTGGGGCATCCATCAGTAATTTGTAGAGCCAATGTAGAAGCTACAGGAAGAACACGCCCCTCCCATCCATTACGCTTTGCTGCTATGATATACTAAATGCGGAATGAAGTTCCGAGAGAGATGATAAAATACAAGCTTAAATTTTTCTCTTTTCTGGGTATAGACAGCGCTATATGTAGAATACGTCAAAGGGTATGTATGTTCCCCCATTTATCTTGTTGGTTATACTGAGATAAGTGGGGGGTGAAGGCCATACTGCTAAGCTGGTTCCTCAATACATGTACATCCAAGAGAGTGATGTGTTGACCGTATTTAAGAATTGCTTTTGTTCCTTCTCTTTATGGATGTAAAAAAAAATTATGAAGGGTGAAAATACGTTTGAGTACTTTTGCTTTTGTGCATCTCTAGGATTAGGTCTACTAGCCCCTTCAACTTCTTGGGCGTGTTGGCCAATATCGAACGGAATGACGCCAGCATGCTCTGTCCATTGGGTATAGGGAAGCAGTGAAGGAAATCATGAATGTCGTGATTTTTTTCTCAAAATTGTTCGCGGTCTGGAACACGTCCCGCCGCGCCGTGGAAAGTCTCATTTGAGAATGAACACGCAAGACTGCTGCTACGTTACTTGAACTGCATGTACAATCCACCCATCGTCTTCTCGCCATCTGTATCATTTCTTCCACCTCTTCGGATATCGATCTCGGCCTCATTGTTTCTCTCAGCTAATGTCGCCTAAGATGCCGAATCGTACGGGGCCCCCGAACTGTGGATACGGTTGCTCTTTGACTGCCGCCCATCCGAGACAACGATGATGGTCATACTTAGTAGTATTGCGTAATACGACGGCAACTACAACCATTCGGCTAAGGAAAGAAAAGAAAGGATATTGCCCTCTTATTTCTCAAAGAGAGCAAAGTTATATTGTAGCATCATTTGCCAATACGACACTGAAGCTCGACAACTCTTGTCATGCGTATCATTGCAAGTAGCATTAGGATGAAGCGCTAGGATGGCCGCCAACTCGTCCGCGAACCGGAATGCGCAAAAGCCCACATGCCAAACTACCACATGTAAGCAATCATTGGATATCTCATCTGCAGTACGACACACAAGTAACGGTACAGAGATGGTATGCGTGTTCTTTTCATGTTATTCTTATTTCATCTCAACACTGGTTACTTCCTCTAGTCAACCCGAACACGAAAATAAAAGTAAAAGCCATCCGTTCATCCATCTACATACTACCCTACCATTGCTTGCAGGCATTCTCGGATCATGCCATTCTCAAATTCCGATGCCGATGTTAGCGCAGGCACAAGGGTAAAGGGGAAAAAATGTTTAAAGTCGTATAAATGAAGACACAATAATAGAAATACAACTGTCCAAGGCACGGATGCATCCATCAATTGCCCGAGATGCTGACCGGGAGCTAAGGCACGCTGAAAAAAAAAATGGACCGCCCGCGTAGTGCCGCGCCTACCTATTTCCAATGGAGCTCAATCTTCTTTAAACGACAGCTACGTTTCATCGCATGTGAGCATTGCCTGTTTTACTGTACACGATTCATGTACTTTGTTTTTCTCTTATACGCCTCCCTTGACTTTTCACGCCTTGTCTGCCTTTCAATATTTCATCCCTTCTTGCCCTGGTGTGATCGGCTACCTTGTGGACAAGGCGTGATGATAATGGTGTGATTTTCGGCGTCTTTGTTGTCAGGTGCTATATGAAATTTGCATCTGCGTGTTTTCTTTCGTTTCTTCAAAAAATCTTCTGCCCTTTACCTCTCCTATTTTTCTTCATGTCATTTTTCATGTTTTAGCCACTCACACGCGCAGGACGCACACGATATTGCATATACAACATCATGACACCTCTCCCCAACCCATTTGAATATTACAAGGAGTTCACGTCTTTACAGCAGCATAGATTTCCTTCTACAGGTACCTAGTTATGAACGCTACCTACAAAGGCCAGCATCGATCAAGTTTCAACGATTGATTTTACATTCATCCTGCTCTCCCTCGCATCTCGAAGCTACAACGTCCTCCGCAATCGAATAAATAACAATAGAACCGAATAAAAAGGCACAAGAACCAGAAAGAGCCCCTGGGTATAAAAGTCCCTGCTGTCCCAGTCATGTCGTCGCATAATTGTTGAATAATAATAAAAGACCCCACGACCTGAAAAAATCCAAACAAATAACATCCCTCGAATACGCACGGGCTCTTTACCGGCGCAGACGGGAAGGGGATATCCGCACTATATGATACAATGAAACGCTGCGATCCGTTGGATGGAGGCTTCGAAATTTCGTTAAAAAAGATGTTCTCAGTGAATTGAGAAAAAAACCGCCATAGGTGGTGAGCACTCGCTTTTCGAGAATGCTATGCATAGCCAAGCACCGAGATCTCTAATCAGCGGTAAAGTAGCGTTTGACTTTACGGCCTATCTGCTGAGCTTTGAATTCTGGTGGGGCGATCGTGTGATGAACTATGTGCGGCCTGTAAACAGCATCTACTGGTGGCATCCTATAGGTACTGAATTAGTCTTTTGTTGTTGTAGAGTGAGCAGATTTGAATATCCCAGATCTTACCAATCATCCACGCTCAAAGGAAAGTATTCGTAGAGCGGATCTGCTTCTTCAGCTGGGCTGTTGCTGGCATTTTGGCCGTTCGCTGGATAAGCCTTGGACAGCTGCGGGCTCTGAAGCTCAGCGCTTGAGCGGTTGGGACTCTTTTCGTCTTCTGATAGAGACAGCGTAATGGGGGCCGTGGGATTGGGCGGCCGTGAGAAGGAGCTCCGGTGGCCCGGAGGAGGATTCTTCCCCGTGGGGTTTTCTATCGTCCAGGCCGGAACTGGAGGGAGGGATACTGTAGGAGACAGAGCCATCCGCTTCGCTGGGTGCGGGCTCTGGTTGGGTTGAGGCACAGCTTGCGGAGTTGCCCATTCGCTTCCATTTGACTGGAAACACCAAAAGTCAGTCTCTGTTGTAGCAAAAGGAAAGTGTATCGCGGCGCCATTGATATAGGAAACAAGCAGTCACGTTTGGCATGGAATTGTCACTTACTGATGAGTATTTGGGCAAGGAAGCCATAAGATTGTCCCGCTCCATCTTTGGTGTAGGATTATCAGTGCTGCTTGTGTTTCTTCGCTCCACCTTCTTGTCGCTGGTGAGGTGTACGTCCTTTCTACTATCGAAATTGCGCGGGCTTCGCCCACGAACAATGACTGGGCCAGATTGTATCTCGGCAATCTTGATAAAGTCTCCCGTCTTGGTCTTGCCCAGCAGGTTGATCTGCACTAGGTAATGCTGTTGCAGCCCCTTTCGCCGGCCGTTGTTAGCCGTGGCATGTTTAAACTGCAATCTCTTCCAAGATATAGGCAGAGAGACTCTGTTGGCGTCAATTTCTCGGCCAATGCTTAGATCTAGGGTCATGCTAGGGGGAGGCCCCGCGACTTTGGTATCCTCCAGTTGAGGGTTTGCGCCTTTCCATGGGATCGAGATGATTTCGGCGGGTTTTCCTTCAATCGATTCTATGCCTGTAATAGATGCAGACAGTTCTGTGATGGCGATATGCTGGCCTTGTTCGTCCATGACATTGCTCAGGGTCCTCGGCAAAGTAATCTGTCCAGAGCACTGCCACAGGTTGCGACGATAACACGTCAACTCCAAAGGACGACCCGAATTCTCCCCGCCAAACACATCTTCGGCGACAAAGAACATGCCGTAAAGCTCGGCCGTCATGTCCAGGTCGGCAAAAGCCCCCGCTTCATCCACTATGCTCGCGTGCATAATCGGATCAGAGAATCCCAAGAGCTTGTTGTCCAGCTCCTGGGGAGATGACTCGTCAATCGCGACATCCTGGTTGGTGATGGGCTCGAACGGGCGAGACGAGTAAGAAAATGGATCTTCAAAAGTCGTGACAAAGTTTTCGAATTCATAAGAGGGCGTAAAAGGGAGAGGTGGTAGCGCACTGCCATCGCTATACGTGTTGCTGAGGAGTCAGTGGCGAATATTCCATAAGGGGTCGAGGGGGGGGAAAGTGAGTAATGCAACGGTCCTGGCGGTAGCCGAGGCCGGGGAACGAGGGAGACGGCACATACAGTAGAGACTCGTGAAAGTTGAGCTCGGGATCAAACGAGTCAATGTTCATGGACTGAGGCGGCCCGTGGTTTAATCCCATCGCATCGCTGGGCACTGCAGAGGCAGCAGGCATCGCCGGCATGGAGTTGAAGGCAGCCATGGCATCATCCAGCCCAGCACCACTTCGGCATCGAGGCACGCTGGGGTTCGGCGCAGTCGTCGTGTCTGCAGCAGTCGCGGCGAAGCTGTGAGAGAAGATGCAGGATTGCAAAGGGCGGAGAGATGAAGAGGCGCCCAGAGAGGCCTGAAGTCTGCGTCTCGCAAAAAAAGAAGCAAGTCAGCGGCTAGCGACGATGACGCCCCTCGCTGAGAGAGAGACTGATTGGTGCAGCTACGGTTCTCGAGGACAGATGCAGCGCAGATGCAGAGCAAATGGAAAATGGGAAGATATGGGGTTCCAGGCACGGGACAGCCGTCCCGATAGGACCGAAACAGAGCCTTGCCTTGTCCTGCTGAGCCGTGCTGATGGCCTGTGCCGCACAGGTACAGGTACGGGGAGCGCTACTTGTAGGCCTGCTACAGCGCACTAGGCCTTCTAACTGCCCGAAGTGCCAGGGTGTGTGTGTGTGCTCAATCCAAGGCGGCGGGTGTGGGTGGTCCCTAAATCTCATGCGGCGGCTTCTGGCTCTCTCTCTCTGCTCGCTCGCTCGCTCGCGCGCACTCCAAACTTTTCTTGATGAGGGACTCGACTGCCTATTCAGCACTCCAGGCGCTGCACCGGCCCAGACTTTTTGACACCGGCCGTTTTCAGCTGCTGGCTGCGATTGGGTCCGGCGGGTGGAGAGTGGAGGGGGAGGGTCCATGGCGCACGCGGGCTGGGGGGGCTCAGTGAGAGAAGCAAAGACGTGAAGCAACATGTAGACAAATAGAAAAGCCGGGGGATAGCATTTTGGGGTAAACTGGAGGTTTGCTAGTGGCTACCTGTACCCGCCCTTTGCCACTACGGTCGCTAGAGCCGTCGCACTGCAGAAGCCCAGAAAAGAGGAGGTTGTGGGTTGATGCGAGTTCCTTTTGGCCCTTTTGGCTCGAGTTGACGTTGCTTGGTGACATCAGCTCGAGGCTCCGGGCATGTTCGACAGTCGTTCGTCCGTCGGCTGAGCGGGAAGCATCGTTGTTTGGTGGCGGGCAGAAAACGTGCTGGCCGCGTTTGATAGCCATTTTCTGGACGCTGGAACGTTCCGATATCTGCCATCGGCTGGTTATCTCGCAGCTATCAACGTGCCACATCCATCAGTATCCACTGCTATCTCTGCAATCTCAGTGCTATCTGCGTGCATCGGACATGCTATCTACTCGGTATCTGACGGTGTATTCCTGGTCCCGAAACGAATTGACAAGGACACAAGGCTTGCAGAGCAGTTATACCGAGAGCTCGACGGCCGGCTTCCGAAATCATGTGTTTCTGAGCTTCTCGCCGTGCCAGCCAAAAGTCTGGGGTCGGCACTAGCCCCTGCGGTTGGTCGGCTCGCCGCTCTTTTTTTGCAAGTACAGGTACCACTACAAGCGCTGGTATCATGTTCTGGCGCCATTTTTCTCCCCATGGGACATTCCCTGCGCAGATGTTTGCTGCTAGTGCTAGAAGTAGGCGTAGGATATGGGCACTAGTCTGGCGCGGTTGTGATGGGATTTGCTAATTGATACTCGGCTCCTCCACACATGCCGCCAAGGGGTCATGAGTCGCACCAGCGGCATCACAAGGCCACGGGTAGATCTCTTGTACAGATTGTGTAAGTGCTGCAAAGATGTCGAGTCCAGAGGGAAGAAGAGGCGAATACTGCAAGCTGACAGCTGACAGCTTTTTAGCGATCAAGCAAGTATTCCAAGGAAGAAAAGAAGAAGCGAAAAATAGAAGCACAAACGAGAGCTGTAACAGGATCTGCAACATGTCAGCTCGCTTGGCTGTACCAAATAGTTAGGTGCGTATGCTCTTGCTTAGAAGGATTACACGACATAATACGCATAATGCCTACGAGGATCACCCAGCATTTCCAAGGGGTAGTGATTCCAATTTGATTTCATGCCCCAAGACTCCATAGCGGTGGCGTATGCTGTATACATGCTCGCGCTCTCAATGACGCCTCTCTATAGATACTATTCTTATTTTTAAGGCTATTGGTGTTTTCCAGTGTTCTTTAACCTAAATGAGGATTTTACTAATAATGACGCCCCTGCAATTTCCAAAGAAAACCCCCCCGTCTCCAAGTTCTATCAAAGTCAAGTAGAAGGAAAAATAACGATGGAAAAAAAAAAGAAGACAATTCCTGCAGCTGTTAGATGCATTTTTTCAACCATAATCATATCATTCATCAGCCTCTCTGCATCGATCAATTCGGCAGATTATATGACGATCTTGCTGTTTTGTTCGTTCGGCCCCCGCTGCCAACTCTTCTGCCGACGTGCTAACCTACTCTGATTTAGAGGGCACTTGCACGATGGACTCTGGTGCCAAACTTCCACACCTCGTCCAGTACCAGCGTGCTGGGCTGCCCCGGAGTTTGCGCCTCTGAAAAGATGACCAGGTCAGCGTCAGCACCGGCGTCGAGCGATCCCTTGACGCCCTGCAGGCCCAGCATGGCAGCTGGGGTGGCCGTGACCGCCTTGAGCGCGTGTGGGATTCCGGTGCCTGTCCATTGCAGGAAGTTGTTGACGCATTCGAGGAGGGTGATGGAGCTGGTGGGTTTTGCGACTAATGTTAGAAAAAGAGAACAACACAATGGCCTGATATCAAATTGGGGGCTTTTTTCTGGAATGAGTGCTTCTTTTGTTTTGCGATTGCTTACCTGCCGGCAATGGTGTCCGAGTTCTCCAACAGCAGCTTGGATCCCACCTTGACAATGTTACACGTGGTGTCGCCGTTGGTCCACGGATAGGCGCCGTCGGGCAATCCCACCAGGTGCATGGCGTCGGTGACGAGGATGAATCCGTCGGGATGTGCGTTGAAGGCAATCTTGATTGTGGTTGGGTGCAGGTGGATGCCGTCGGCGATGATGCCAAAGTACGGCCGCGGAAGGCTCTCGGCGATGCCCAGGACTCCAAAGATGCCCGGGTTGCGGTGGTGCAGCGGGCGCATCGCGTTGAACAGGTGAGTGATCATGGTTGCGCCCAGCCCGACGGCCTCGGACGCATGTTCGTACGTGGCCTCGGAATGTCCCACCGAGTAGATGATGCCTTTCTTGGTGAGTTCCGGGATCAGCTTCATCATCTGGCCGCGCTCCGGCGCCGCCGTGATGTACTTGATGGGGATCTGCTCGCCCTCGGCCCGCGGGGAGAGATTGTGCTTGCCGTAGCAGGCCTCGAGGTCCTCGAATGTCTGCGCCTCTATCAGGACGTCGACATTGTGCACGCCGTTCTTGGTCGGGCTCAGAAACGGGCCCTCGCAGTGCGCGCCGAGCGACTCGGCCCCATCTTCGGCCTCTTGCAAGTGTCCTGATGGTCCCAGGAACGGAAGAGCCTGCATTGATGTCAGTCTGTGACTCGATACCATCTCTTGCTCCCACACATACACCACTCCTCAGCATCCATATAGCCATATACCAACATCTAGTATATGTATATATATAATAATGGTGTATGTATACGCATGTATTAATATATTGCAGCATATGCAGGGTGACCCACCTTCTGATATAGCTCTGGCCGCTGGCTGGTGATGGTGGGATTGTACGATGTGACGCCCGTCTTGACAATCAACTTTTGCACCTCCTTGACCTTCTTGCCGTACTGTGACATGTCGTCAAGAAGCGTAGAAAAGTTGAACCCAAAGGCGCCATTGAGCTGCACGTCTATCATGCCCGGCGAGACGATGCGGCCGCCGAGGTCGATGGTCTGGTCTGGGAGAACGAGGTCGTCGAAAAAGGCGGCTTGGCTGTTGATGATTTTGCCCGACAGAGAGCTGACCCAGAGATCTTCTCGGACCAGCTTGTCTCCGCGCACAAGGCGGCAGTTTGTGAACTTGGTCAAGCCATTCCTTGGCCGGAAGGGAGGAGATAGCGCTATAGGCATGGCTGCAGCGGCTGCCTCTCTTTCAAGTAAGAAAGAGGTGGCTAGTGATGATGGCAACAGTTGTAGTAATCAACAATAAGAATTATTCAATGGGATGATGTTGTTAAGAATATCTTATTCAAGCTCTTTCAAGAAGGATGCAGCAGAAAGAAGGGTTCAAGAAAGAGCGCTCTGAGAGAAGTAGGCCTGGATGTCCCGGCACCGTTTGATATTGGCTCCATAGCAGAGCAGCAAGCAGCAAGCTTCAAAACGCCCGAGAACGTGGCCTGGGTACAGGCAGTGGCATCGACACAAAAATTTACATACACTCCCCTTTTGGTTCGGTTAGGTAGGTGTACATAGAGTTTTCGAGACAAGACGCCGATTAGCGTCCGATGGTAGCAAGCGCCATAACGGAGCGGGTAGACAGGAAAAAAAAAAAGGCAAATGGCGAGACGTTGGAGCTCTAAGAAAATGAATGTCCGCCTATCGTTGTAAAGTCACGGTGCCATGTGCCTTTGCGGTGGAGTTGCCGTTGCAGCGCATCTCGAGATCTCTGAGCACGTTATGGGTGTACATGGGCGGTACATGCAGACACTTGCATGACTTGCAGAATACGGTCACTCGTTTGTTGTACGGTATCGACGTGGTGGCGCGCTTCAAGTGAGCGTGGCGCTATTACGTAGTTTGATGCCATATCTGATTGTTTCATTCTGCCTTTGCGGTTTACTGTTCATTCCTGTTTAGATGCCGATGTGCTGCGCATTAGAATCGCACCTACGTCTACATATTCTGTATTTCTTCTCATTCATCATGCATGAGTGCTTTACCGTTTTGCTTTGCAGATGCCAGCACTCTAAGCAAGATGCCCGTACGTGCATGTCCGTACATGTACCCGGTTCTGCTGCTACGTGAGGTGAGGTGCGTAGGGTCCGACTTACATGAAGCAAAAGCGCATGGCGGGTGGCGATCCAACGCGCCGGGGGGCATGTAACGTTGACTTGTGCGCCGCAGTGCCACCGTTCAAAACAGCGCTGCGTGCTACTCTGGGGCCCTGGAGCAAAAGTCAATCAGAGGAGTCGACTCCGCCGAAGCCGCTGCCAAGCACGCCCGCCTCCAGCTAGCAGTGGCCTCAGCCAACGCCACACTCTGGCCATTGATGTTGCCACATTTGCTGTGTCTGTGTGCTGATCCAAAAGGAATTAGCGGCTTTGACACGAGGCTGGAACAGGTGCAAGCAGTAAGCTGAGGATTAGAAGCTCGGCCCCCCAAACCAAGGGACCAAGACCCCCGCCGTAATCAGCATCTCCCAATTAGCCGATGTTCAGCCGTATTTCTAACCCGCGACTGGACGACTCGAGATATGGATCCGAGGCATAGTGACTGGAACCTCACGCTGTAGTATCTCGCGCCTGTTGCGTGATCGTATAGTCGCTTCACCGAGGAGTTCGGCCTTGTACCAGGACAGGGATCACTAGCACCTAGCATCTCGTCACTCATCGCGAGGCCATCGTTGCTTGCATCCAGCCGTGCTGGCTATGAGCCGAGTCCAAGTGATGCCGAGCTGGTTCGCCGCGCCTCATCCATAATGGCCAACTCCATCAGCGGCTCTTCGGCCGACAAGTTTGAGCTAGATCCGCTATGGCAGAATCTCGACTGGTAAGTAATATTGGCTTGTTGTATCATATGCCACCACACTGTAGCTGTAACTGGCTTCATCTCCCGTTGGTACTCTTGCGGATAATGGCTGACACGGTGCCAGGGCGATTGGGCAGATGCTGCTCATGGGCTGGGATGGTACCCAGGTTACGCCTCAGATCAGAAGCCTCATCGAGGATCACCATCTTGGCTCCATCATTCTGACTGCCAAGAACTTGAAATGTACGATTCCCGTCCATTCTTCGTGTGGTTGATGAGTTTGAGTCTCTCAACATATCTACATCATCTGCACTTACACGTCTCTTATTGGTGGATTCTGACGTCTTGCTAACTAAGCCAAACAGCGGCTCATCAAACTGCATTGCTCGTTCAGGAGCTGCAGATGATTGCCAAGAACTCTGGTCACCCACAGCCTCTTCTGATTGCCGTAGACCAAGAGAATGGAGGTGTCAACAGTCTGTTTGACGAAGATTTCGTTTGCCAGTTCCCTAGTGCCATGGCCATTGCCGCCACGGGCAGCCTGGATCTGTCATACGAAGTCAACAAAGCGACGGCTACCGAGATCGCGGCTTGTGGTGTCAACCTTATGCTTGGCCCGGTTTTGGACGTTCTGAACAATGCGCGCTATCAAGTTATTGGAGTTCGCGCTTCGGGCGATGATCCTCAAGAAGTCTCCCAGTATGGACTCGCAGCCTTGAGCGGTATTCGCGATGCTGGCATCGCCTCTTGCGGAAAGCATTTCCCCTCCTATGGAAACCTTGATTTCCTGGGTTCCAATCTCGACGTCCCAATCATTACACAAACCTTGGAAGAGCTAAGCCTGAGTGCATTGGTTCCATTTCGAAACGCAATTTCTTCTGGGAAGCTCGATGCCATGTTTGTTGGCGGCTGTGGAATCTCCAACCCTTCCATGAATGTCAGCCATGCCTGTCTTTCAGATCAAGTAGTCGATGATCTTCTCCGTAACGAGCTAGGCTTCAAGGGAGTTGCAATCTCAGAATGTCTCGAAATGGAGGCGCTGAGCCAGGATCTTGGAGTTCAGAACGGTGTTGTCATGGCCGTGGAGGCTGGATGCGACATCATACTGCTCTGCCGCGCCTATGACGTTCAGCTGGAAGCTATCAAAGGTCTCAAGCTGGGCTACGAGAACGGCATCATTACAAAAGAAAGAATCTTCACTTCTCTACGAAGAATCTTTCATCTCAAATCGACTTGCACATCTTGGGCAAAGGCGCTGAATCCTCCGGGAGTAAACCTTCTTTCGCAGATTCGACCCTCTCACCTTGCCCTATCTAGACGAGCCTATGATGATTCCATCACTATTGTTCGCGACAAGGAGAAGTTGTTACCGCTGTCTCTTTCAATGCATCCTGGCGAGGAGTTGCTGCTACTCACCCCCTTGGTGAAGCCGCTTCCGGCGTCGTCTTTGACTAAAAGCTTGACCGAAGCAAGGAACGATCGATCTATAATTTCTACCCATCATGATAAATGGAGTCATCAGGGCCGTGAAAGGAGTGCTATTATGAGCGGCGAAGGAGTCTTCCGAGAGTTTGGAAAAACCTTGGCACGATACCGCAACGAAAAGTTACTACACACGAGTTACACGGCCAATGGAGTGCGGCCAGGTGAGAGAGAATCTTTGCCCTTTGTTATTACAAGCATTTACTGACTTTCAACCGCCCAGTACACGAGAATCTTATCAACAGAGCATCTTGTATTGTCATCTTTACCGCGGATGCGAACAGAAATCTCTACCAGGCCGGTTTTACAAAACACGTTGATATGATGTGCTCTATGCTTCGAAGCAGAGGGCAAAAGAAGCAACTCATTGTCGTTGCTGTGAGCTCACCATATGACTTTGCCATGGACAAATCTATTGGCACTTATATCTGCACCTACGATTTTACAGAAAACGCCATGGCTGCTTTGGTCCGTGCCTTGATTGGAGACAGCAACCCCGTGGGCACCATGCCAGGTACTCTGCGAAAGAGCAAAAAGGTCCTTAAATCCCGACAACATTGGCTCGTCGAGGAATTCGACAGCACTCGGGACAGGAACGGCTTGAACGACCTCATCAGAGCTGTGCACAGGGCCAGTGACCAGGATATGCGGTACCTTCAGACCACAAGCGCAGAGACGTTTGCGCTTAACAATCCAAACGTCAAAGAAGCTCATTTTGTGGTGCGTAACAGCAGCACACAAGCTCTTTACGGCTTTGTCGCTACGTACTACGTCCAGAACGTGGGTATGCTTGGTGCTCTGGTTGTGGACCCAACCAAGCGGAACCTGTCGATTGGCCGGTCTCTTCATCGCCGCGCGCTGAAGAGTTTGACTCAGCAGAGAGGCATCAAGAAGGTTCAGCTGGGATCATCTTTTCCCTCCCTCTTCCTGGGAATCCCTCTTGACATGGAAGTAACCACGACAAAAGAATGGTTCAGCAACAGCGGATGGGACACGCAGTTCCCTCGAAGGCTCACCAACATGATTATCCAAGATTTGAGCGCCTGGTATGCTCCCGAGGGCTTGTCGCAGAGTATCCAGCGAGCCAACATTAGCTTTGACCTCATCTACGGTGTCGAAAGCGGCGATACTGTGATGCATCATGTGCGGACACACGCGAATCCAGAGGTTCTCGAACTGTACCGAGCTGCATTGGAAGAGAGTAAAGCTTGCGGCATCGTGCGGGCCAAAGACGCGGCAGGCAATTTGTTGGGAACAATCATCATAAGCAGACCCAATAGCCCTCTCGCTAGATACGTCCCTCCTTTGGTATCTCCCAAGCAAGATATTGGTGGTCTCTTGGCTCCAATCGTACCTCTGGCTCCGCTTTCGACTTTGGTGCTGCAAGGCCTTGCTTTGATGGGTGTTCGACAGAATAAGGGCCACAAGGCAAACAAGACTGTTTTAAGCTGGGTAAGATGTTCTCTTTGAATTCTTTTCGGACTTTGTCTTCAAAAAGCAGTTTCAAAAAACTAACACGCTGTAATCCATGATAGGTTGTTGATGATGCCTTTGAGCCTCTGGTGGCCATGGGATTCGATGTTCTGCAGGCATTTGAAGAGATTACAAATTCCCCTGAGACGTAAGTACTTCGTAAGTGTTTAAGAATGATAATTCTATAGAGCTAATTTAAATCACGTATAGGTTCCAAACCTGATGCAAACGGACAGCTATTGTGGCAGGTCCTTCATCTCTCGTCCCTTTTATTTCCTGATTTTTCACGCGGATTTCTTCTTCTGATCGGCATGATGCCGTTTTTACTCGTTGGATATTCTTCTCTGGACGGCGATTGTTATATATGATGCTATTTTTCTGTTTTGAGCTGCGTGATGTTGGATATAAGAGAAAAGAAGTTGAGCGTACTGTGCGCAATCAGACCGCTATACTTTCTGGTTCTTTTAGTTTCCCCAAATCCCTGATAGGGCACAATTGGGAACAGTAAGATATGATTCTATGTATTTATTAGTCATGATCATTTTTTATAGGTATTATAGCTTTAGCAGATTCTAATTTTGCTGTTAGTTGTTGTATACTACGTTAGATTGAAGAAAAACCCCAAGCTTTCATTTTGAGTATATCCATCGTGTCGTGCTATAGCTTCTGAAGCGTCATGTCTCTCTGCATTTCTCTTCTGTCCCAATTCGTTCGCCAAACACCCGCAAGCAAAATTACACCTGTACTCTCTTCTGCTCTTCCATGCCCTCCCGCAATATCGCAATCTGCTTCTTCAGCTCAATCCACAACGGCAGCTCATCCAGATCCGGATTGTCCTCTGCCGGCTTATCCAACACCTGGACCCAGTCGTCCTCTGCCAAGTCCACCGTCATAACCATGGCATCATCCTGCTCGTTGTTCTCACCATCCTCGTCATCATCACCCCCGCTTCGCGCAATCGCAAGCAGGGCTGCGACAAATGCCTCCTGCATGTACGCAAAGCTGAAATCGTCTGTGATGTCTGCAATGGCGCTGCAGAGTTTGTCGGGGAAGCTGATGGATTTGTTGTCGGATAGCTTCTTTTGCCAGAACTGGCAGTAGGCGATGCGCTGGCCGTGGTCTGGGTCTGGGAAGAGGTACTTTCTGTCGAAACGAGAGGGGCGTTTCTAAGTCGAGGACACACAACCATTCATATATTAGCTTAGAAAAAATATACAACATTAACCCTTTTTTATGGACAGAACTTACCGCGATGCCGGGATCCAATCGATCAAGATGATTGGTGCTTCCAATCATGAAAATACCATCATTGCTCTTCAGGCCGTCTACCTCGTTCAAGAAGTAGCTTCGAACGTCATCTGTAATAATGGTATCTAGATCTTCGAAAACGAGATAGCATGGCGCAAACTCTCTCGCTTTTGCAAAAACTAGAGCAATGCTTCTCTCTGGTCCCTGGAACTATTTTGTAAAAGCCTTGTCAGCGAACATTCAACCCGTGTACAAGCACCAACGCTGTAGCAAAATCGCCAGACAAAGCAGAGGAGATGAGAAACAAAACATACCGATTTCAGCGACCGTACGTATAACGTCGTCACCCGCTGCTTCAAATGGTAAAGCATATTCATCGTCGCCTTGATTGAGATGGTCTTGCCATTTCCCGGCGGGCCGTAATAGATGATGCCTCGCTTCCAGGGCACCTTGAGCCGGTCATAGGTGGCTCTCGACCGGAAGAAGGACAGATGATCTTCAATGAGAGCATTCTTCATCTCCTCATCCAGGATGACGCTCTCCCACGACGCCTTCATGGCACTTTGGTAGAGCTCGGCGCTCTTGGCCCAGTAGCCTCCGTCAAAGACCCAAATCTCGTCGTGCAAGTCGCTGGTCCATCGCCCGGCCGCGAGAATCAGCTGAGTGGCCAGCTCGTCGCTCGTCGACAGCACGTAATAGTTGACGACGTATGGATACGACCCGCTGCCATCACGGCCGTCGACCAGGTAGACGATGAAGTCGTGGCCCTTCCACCGGTACAGGTACTTTTCGAAGTGCGTGTCCCTTGCGACGACGCCGAGGCCTCCGTCCATGCGCCTGGCGGGCGGCAGGTAGACGGTCCACGACAGCGAAGCCGGGACATGGTCGTCGTCGGTGTCGTGCAACGGCGCTGATTGCGCGTGGCCGTCTGCTGCGTAGGCCGTCAAGTTGCACGAAGTGGCCGGGGCGATGGACAGCGACAGGTTCGGGTACTGCTGCCGCAGCGCTTTGGCGATGACGGCGTCGGTGTTGGTGCGCCTGGCGCTGGAGTGGTGGAAGAACTGGCGGGTGGTTTCGTCGTGAGGCTGAGGGCGAGGGTGAGGGCGCTCAGAGGACGGCTGGTCGAGGGGGTCTGCGTGCGCAAATTCATCCATGTTGGCGGTTCGATCAGTGAGTGGTATCTCTTGTTCAATTGGGGTGATGGAGGAGAGAGGAGAGGTGATGCGAGACGGTGAGATGGCCGAGGTGACGTTATGCGACCAGGATGCGATTCGCCCGTGCCTCGTATTGACCAACCGCTAAACAACGATGCACGCGTACAGCTGCGGCGGCTGGCCATTGAGCTGCTGCTTACATGGTTGTGGTAAAATACGATTACTTATCCGACTTTTAGAATCAATTATTACCACTGGCTCGTTGGTGAATCTACATGTATGCAACATTTCTCCGTGTTAGTTGCCTATGCGTTTTACTATGGATACAGGCAATTAAGCATATCCGAAGCCGACGATCTACCAAGTCTTTGATACTCTCTTTCTCGGACTCTTGATTTGTTTTTACTACATGACACAACTCTGTAACCTCGCTATGAGATGACGTTTTACTCAAAGTAAGAATATATATATTTGCGCATGCAGCCCGCAGGCTGACTACATGTACTTTACGCCGTCGTCTTCGCCCTCAGGCTCCTAATCTCATCGAACAAGGCAAATGTCTTTGCCGGCTTGAGATTAGTTGGATCCAGTGCAAAGGCCGATTAACTAGAAAGATGAATTATTCCTGTTTTGTATGCTTCGACGTTGGACTTTGCCATCAGACAGCTGGCAATACCATTGGTTATAGTAAACTCCAATATCAACGCGCTGATGCATGGATCCAGATTTGCCACTTATTAGCCAGCGTGCTGCCACGGGCTCTTCTATTCTCAGCAAAATCATCGCCACATCACTCAAGGATTCGTGATCGTCTGTTTCACTCATCAATAGCTAGCGAAATTGAATAATGGCCTACCGTACCGATAACCAGGTAATTGGAGAACCCCGGACGCTTGGGCGAATCGTACAACCAATAACAGTGACGGCTGATTGTTTGCCAACTACGCCGCAGCGCCACCATCACAATCATCACCTTGCCTTCAGCCACTCAGTGACATATAGCCCTGTATCCAACTCATAGTTCAGCCTACTGGCATTGGCTCACCAGACAGGGGGGAGAAAGGAGACCGGATGTTGTATCAAGCGCTAAATCGTGGGGAAACAAACAATTAATGAAATGGAAATAGACTCAACGATAGTGGGCTGAGCATAGACACCTAAAAATATCTCTGTATATATTCGATCGCCGATATACATAGTTTTGAGGTAAACCTGTTTTCATCTCCAATGTTTCCTGATCCTATTCGTCAGATGTTTCATCCAACACTATGTCAAAGGCTGATTATAGTCTCTCTCTCATCATAAAATATTAAACAAGGAAGACATATGAGAGTGACCTCTGTATTGGTGCCCTTGCAATGATGATTTACGAGGCTGGAATTACATCGAGGTATATTGTCCTCCAGAAACGCCTATGCAACCGAAGTAGAACAATATGCACGAAAATTACAGCAAACAAAGCCTCCTTTTTCCCTTTTTGAGCAACTTCCAAGACTTGAAGACCTCTCGCCATCCATCATTTCCCCTGTCTCTAAATACGGTCCCTGGTTTCTCAAAAAAGTGTACCAGCTAGCTGCTAAGCCCAGTGGCGCTGAAAGTTACTGCAGCCCATGCTTGGAGCTGAAAAAAAGCAAGGAGAGAAACAAGGGCTTTTCACTTCATCTTTGTTAGTTGACGTTGTGAGCGTTCGACGAGTATGATGTAGAAAATATTGGATGGATTTATATACCTCGAGTCGTAGAATTGGGATTGAAAATGAACGAAATGTTATTTTGTTTGCCATCTTTTACATATACAATGAGTTTGGCATGGTATCTCGTTGATATCGCGAGATGGTAGCATATCCAGCCAGGTCACTTCACCATGTTATCTATCAACCGGCACTCAATACCCATGTCCTCGGGTTTCACTGCGATTGTATAGTAGGGGGTAATGTTTGCTCCCCAATCTCGGGAAAGTTATAACTGAAACCGGGCTGGATTTCATCCTTTCAGCTTGTTTTGGCCATCTTTGCATAGGTACGCTTGTTTGAGAGCGAGGTCCTTGTGTTGGAAAGTGTACTTAATGCTTTCAAAGCCATCGTATCTCCAGGTTTCTGTCCATACATGTGTTCATGCCATCATAATACATTTGATTGCCTCAGACTCAAAGCACTTGCGTTCTTTTGACAATACCTTGTTTTAGACCCCTATTGTTCACAATTTTCTGTCAATACTTCAAAGGACAACAGCATGTCTACAATTATAGAGACCGGATTTCTCCCTCAGAAGTTGACTACGTTGACAACAAGTAAATGGCTTGTACTCGAAGCCACTCTCCTCGTTGCTATCCTGATACTGGCTCAGATTCAATGGATCAAAGAGGTCGGTTAGCAATAGGCACTCCCACGAGCGATATTGTACTCTGATACATCTAGAATAGGTCATGTCGTATCTGCTTCGACGCACCCAGGGGCTCGGGTACCTTATCTGGGGCCCCGATCTCATCGATCGTGCATATAGCAAGGTAATATGCATCAAGTCCAACTTATATATCTCCGAAGCATAACACATGGCAGGCACAAGGGAAGCCTTTCAAAGTTTCCACCCCAGCAAACGACCACCTTCTAGTTACGTCCCTAGATCTCATCATGGAGCTCGTAGAAGCACCACGCCAGCGGCTGTCGCTCCATGCAGTGGCTAAAGAGGTATGCAGTGTGACGGTGGGATTCCTGTGACCAAGGCGCCTAATGATGTATGCAGATCCTTCAGCCAAAGCACACGATGCATGGTTTTGAGTGGCAGGATCAGCGTGGAGTTGAGGGCACGGGCTTTGTTCGTGCTCTTCGAAGCCTTCTTACGTCCCACCTCCAGGATTTTCAGCCGCATCTAGAGCGACTAGTGAAGGATTTTCTAGAGATTGAATTCAAGGACATTCACTCAAATGGTAATCTAAAATCTGTTTTACCTCTCATTCATCTTCCCTTCTTTTTTTTTTAGATTACTGACTCATGTGAGCATGACTTGTAGGCTTTTCGCATGTGAAACTCTTCCCTGTGATGAAGAGACTAGTCACCAAAGTCAACTGCTTTGTCTTCTTTGGCGAGGAACTCTGTACGAAACCCAACCTCTTGATACATTTCGATGGGATCGCGAGATGGCTAACGGTATATGACAATATATAGCTCAAAACGCCGAGTTCACCGCTGCAGCCTTGGAATTCCCACAAGCCGTCATCCTCGCAGCCGAGTTTATACGCATCACGCCTGGATTTATGAGACCATTGGTTGCATCAATAGCCACCAATCGACACAGAGCTGCCAAGACGCTCTACCAGCACCTGGTGCCGATTGTTGAGCAGCGTCTGGCAGTGAAGGATCTACAGCCTCATGGAGTCACACCGGTACGTTGGGACGCCTGTCCCTGTCCCCCAACAGCCTAATGTCACAAGGCCGATCTATCATTCGTGCAAAATTGTATGGGAACTAACAAATGAATCATTATTCAGATGGACTGCATGCAATGGCTAATTGATACGTCGCCTCGTAAAAATCCCTGGACGCCTGCGAGGATGGTGGGTGAGATCATGGCGGTATGGTTCGGATCCGTGCACCAATTGGCCATGGTAGGTCTGAGAATCCAATCCCTTTAGACATGCTTGCATAGCTTGCTGACAGTATGCTATTCAGACGCCAACTTATGCAATCCAACATCTATGCAGTCATCCCGAGTATGTTGAACCGTTACAGGAAGAAGTTCAAAGGGTGTTTCACGCAGATAGTGTACAAAGAGATGTGGATGAGCTGCCGCTTCTGGACAGCTTCATTAAAGAGTCGATACGCTGCAATCACTCGGATGCAAGTAAGTTGTGATTTTACTTGTGCAACACAGGACAAGTGCATACTATATGCATGTATCCTTGATCAGCTACAGGACAACTGACGCTGTACTGGCACTTCCAGTAACATGCCGGCGAAAGGCCCTTGCCTCATACACCTTCCAAGACGGCTCAGCCATCAGCAGAGGCGACTGGGTATGCATCCCCCAGCAAGCCATGTTGCAAGACGGCACCCGATACAAGGACGCCCACGTCTTTGACGGCTTTCGATTCGCGCGAGCAAACGCCCAGCTCCAGCAGCGTCGGCCATGCGCTGAAGTGCCTGACCAGCAGGCGTCCAGATTGACACATGCCAGCCCCGATTGGCCGATATGGGGACTCGGCAATATGTCGTGGTGAGCAGCCTCAATTACTACCCCGATTCGGCCATGCCCAGCGGAGACGTCTAGAATACAGTAGCTGAGAGGGAAAAAGCTGTCTCATATGCGGTCATGTGCGGTCAAGTTGTTAGTGCAAGACTAACGGCATCTCGCAAATATAGTCCCGGTCGATTTTATGCTTCGCTAGTGATTAAACTCATCCTGATTCGTATCTTGAGCGACTGGGAGTGCCAGATGCCACATCCCGAAGCGCCGAGAACCAAGACGTGGAGGTCGAGCATGGTTCCTCGGGATGATACCATCGTCATGTTCCGCAAAAAGCTGCCTTGATTGCGGAGTTTTTTTTCTTTCTTTCTAATGTTTGAGAGTGTTTTCATTTTAGTGACTCGTCCTGTGGTACGACTCGGCAAGTTATTAGCCGTGCATGACTATTGCGAGAAAATATGGGCATGTACACTATTGTCGACATCTATGCAGGCAGTGAGCTGTATCTGGTAGTGCCTGCATGTGTGGGGATTGTCTGGAGCTCTGCTAGACCCATTTAATTCTTTTATTTGTATGCGCTTGATTTCACGGGCCTCTTTGATTTCAAATGTCCATGTGTTGGGCAAGGTGGACACTGGGTTCTATACCTGGGTTTGGTGAGGAAGAGCGATTTTATTCTTCTTTGCGGGTTGTAAGAGGTTATGATATTAGCCAAGACTATCAAATGTACCTTGATTCTATATACACGTATCTAGTATTCTGAGCTGTGATTCGTGGCGGCAACGGGGCCAGGAGGTAGTCAAAGCTCCCTCGCTACCCATGTTTTGTAACGGCCATCTCTCGGTAAGGATGGAGACGAGCTTCTCTATCCATATCCTTTTTACCCTCGGCACTTGAGAGCAAGCACGGGCTGTGTTACCCACATTCCGATGGCAATATAGGTAGGTATCGTTGCATTGCAGTCCTGGGCGTGTACTTCAAGGCGTCCACTTTCTTCTATATACACGTTTTGCCCTCCACAGCTCTTTCGCACGACGTAGCAGCACTGCGACTATGCGCGATCCTAGTCTGCAAATCACCAGGAACCCTAGTGTAGCGGAGAGAGCCGTCGGTGGAGCAGCAGATGCGCAAGGGGTGACTGCTTCAGGCGGCCCAATACAACCGGGTGCCTTTCAGAGGATGGAGGGATGGATGCTTTCAGCGCCATGTGGGTGGCGGCCAATCTCCCGCCGGGCTGATCAGATGAAGCTTGAGCGGGGTTCTATTCATCTCTATTCTTCTCACGATTTGGGGCGTCTAGCTTGCGGGATTTCAAGAGGATCGCCCGGCTTTGTCTTAGCTCAATGTCTCGGTTTAGTGAGTGCATCGAGGGCACATGTGTTTTGCTTATAAAGACGGTGACATTGGTATGGATTCGCTCCTTGGCATCAAAGAACTGCATATTGTAGTATCCGGAACATCAGGAACGCTCGTCTTTTGTCTTGGGTATCTGAGTCAGTAATGCCAAGAGAGGTGACATCCATGGGCAGTAAACGCCATCAATCTTTGCAGAGGCGGACGTGTGTTGAGCCTCCTCCACAACGGCATACAGCTGTACAACCTGATAAACTTACACGCAGGAGCTGATCATCTCTTGCTTCAAAGACCATCTGTCCACTGCATACCTCAGTCATCAGCTCTCGAATCCTGGAAAACTTTGAACAGTTCAGCTCATGCAAGGAAGCTGCCATGCCCTGTTATTTATTTAACTTTAGCCACGCCGGCTTCTTGTCCATTCTAGCAAGTCAACGCCCCGCACCAAACTTGACAGCCACCAACACCAACGTGCGAGAGAGAATGAAGAGAAGCCGAGGAATCTCGTCTTGCGCGGGTTTGAGATAATTCTCGTTCAAGGAATATCCTGTGTGTTTTCAGGCGTAAATAATGATACACATCCACATGTACGTATGCATATGTCATGATAAGTTCTCTCAGCTCAAGCCATCTTCAGCTCAAGGCGTTCTTCAACGGAGAAATTGTAGATGCACAGACGCTTAATGGGCTGTATGTAGCCATGGCTGAAGAGGCATTGGTGAGCAAAACGCCTTTCCACACACTGTCGTCGACCAACAACATATCCTACAATTTAGAGTTCATTCCTCTTTGGCTGAACAAAGACCAATTGCCGCCTTCTTTCTATGCTTAAATAGAAGAGCCCAATGCTCCCTGTTTCCAACAGCCCAGTTTTATGCTGCTAATTTGTTATTCCACGTACTTTTATGACTTTCTTGTAAATACTCGTTGAATCAGTCGTAAAAGCTGCGAGATCCATACCCTGGTGTGCATCGTGCTGCATACAGTTCTTGAAACCGCGGGAGGGAGTCGAATGCCCTTCAGCTGGGAATTTTGAAACAGTTCAGAAATAAGAACACACATCAAAGAGACAAAAATGGCCTCCCAATTGCCTCCAGGCACGGACCTCTGCAAGATCCCGGCAGCCGTGCCTCCTCCAGGGGTGATCCCCAAGCTTGGCAGCCCTGCACCTCTTGCGCCGGCTATTGTCGCAGTATCGGCAGTCATGTTGGCATTTTCCACAATATTCATTGTTGGTAGGGTGTGGATAAACCTGCGCAAGTTAAAAACTGCAGACTGTAAGTGCAAGTGAAGAAAGAAAATGACGGAAGCGGACGATGTAACCATATATCTACACGACATGTGCTAAACTCCTATCTCCAGACTTTGCAATCATCGGTTACGTCTTGAGTGTAGCCTATATTGTGCTCATATTTTCTAGTATGTCCCTGTCCAATCTACTCTTATGCAAAGCTCATTTTGTTAGAGCAAATACTGACTTTGCTTTCCACTAGTTCTAAAATATGCTGGACATCAATGGGACGCTCCAGCATGTTGGTTCAACGGGAATTATATGAAGATTCTCTTCGTCCAGGGCATGCTCGTCGGTCCAGCCGCCTTCTTCGCCAAGAGCGCCATCTTGCTGCTCTATCTCCAAATCTTCATTGCGCATACGGATATGCGCATTGCCGTATACGTGGGCATCGTCTTCACTGGCCTGATCTACTGGCCGTCCATTCCTCTTGAGATTGCAATCAATGCTCCACACCCAGGCGACACATGGGCTGATCTCTTGGTCAATGGGCAAGTCCAGAAGCTCCTCCCCTGGGGAGTAGTCCAGGGGTCATTGGCCGTTGTCATCGACTTGTACATTTTCATTCTGCCGCAACCAGTTCTGTGGAGGCTAAACATGTCTCTGAGAAAGCGAATTGCTGTATGCGCCGTCTTTTTTACTGCTTTGATGTAAGTAGCCACTGCCACCTATCATCGGCGAAGTGAGTTCATGTAGTTGTATGCATGCACTAATGCAAAAGAAACAGGGGTGTCATCGCCAGTGTTATTGGGCTTGTCTTCCGAGCTGAGTTGTTAAGCACAATAGATATCATTTACACACAAAACAAGTGCTTCATCTGTGTGTGAGTACATCATTCGTCTCACTTTTCTTTTCTTTTCCAAGATGGCTATCTAACATGGGCTTCCGCTCAGCATCGTTGAAAACAGCATTGCCCTGATTGTAGGCTCTGTCCCAGCTTGGAAAGCCATCTGGAAGAAGCATATCATCACGTCCAAACTCTACAAGACGCTTACCTCCAAGCTACACGGCAATAGCACTGACCATGGCGACGATGCGCACATTTCAAAGGCCTTTGGCTTCAACAGGCCCGCCTCCAGGGCACAGGCACCAAAACAAAACGGTTCAGAGAAGAGCCTGCAGCGGTTTGTGTCGCATAGGGAAAACACTGACAACGAATTCGGCAACTACTATACGCCCCCGGTTGTCCAGATTCAAGGTGGCAGCCAAAACGGGCATAGAAAGGCTGATTCCGAGGATATGAGTGCCGGAGGAATCGTTCGCAATTACGACATTACGCGGGAAGTCCATCCCGACGAACAGGTGTAGAGCCAAGTACATTATACCTCCTTGTATACAGATGAATTATATATTAAAAGTGGATATTACGGCTATGCGGCTAGCTATTGAGTTGAGGCAATTCTGAACCTCTGTTTGACCACTATACAACCTTTTCTTTCATGCATGGCTCTTGGCGCATATACATCACCCCATTATCGCTGGCATTCTACGGTATCTTGTGAGGGCCCGGTTATTAACTGTTCCCATGATCGAATTTGCCTAGGATTGTAGAAAGAGCGCCGCTGTCAGTTGCAACTTGATGACTTCCGTATTTGTCTTGACCAAGAAGGACCCCCAAAGCTGGTGTGTAATTAATTGAGGAGCTACAGATAGAGATATGTCCGCTAAAATAGGTATATACACACTCTTCTTCACATACAAAGCATTTGTGTGTGTTTTTTGCAGTAGACCAACTTGTGATAAAATGTGTTTTGTAATAGTATTTTGTATCAAGTTACAGGCGATTAGATACCTCCAAAAAGCAGCAATGCTCAATAGAACAAACCTCGTAGCTGCTATATGCAACAATTGAACCATTGCAACTACCCTTATATACGGTAATAGTGTCGGTGCTTCAATTTTATTAGCGATTTTCTCCACCAAGTATCTGAAAACTACATTTTTCAAGTTGTCAACGATGCAAGTCCATTGCACTGAATGATGAAACGATGGAGGCTCGTAGAAAGAGAAGGTATACAATACACTGGGCAATAGGAGCAACTTAACAGGGGGGCGTGTTTCACTTTTAATGTACATTATTATACATCGTTTATTTATGACTTGTACTCCTAGACTTCCTCCCTTATTTGCAAATCTTTCCACTTTAGTGTGGAAAAACCCGCAATGCGTTTGTAAGAATAGGGGGCAGCTTTCCAAAATTTAGCATAGCCACCACTGCTCGCTAACAAAGGTCTGACTATCAATTACCCTATTTCAGTTCGCAGAAACAAGATGGCCCTAAGTAATTGGCAGTTAGCTCAAAAGTCAATCCTTCATAATTTCGAGACTTGGATCAAAATAAAGAACAGTCATTGCCGGGCTCTTGTCCATCCACAGAGGCTAATTATGTTGTTAGTATCCGTACAGTATGGTAGTAATACAGCTGCCTTCCCCACCTTCTGCATTCAGGTCGTTGTGTTTCAAGACATTGTGCTCGCTTAGACCGGTGAATGTCAGGTAGAAGAGCTGGGGGTCGAACCAAAATCTTACATGAAAGGAATTAGACAGCCATGCAAGCTCATCTCCGGCATATGGCCGATGAGCAAAAGAGAAAAATAACGTCACAAAGCTCCAGAGTATCGGAATTAAAGCCCTGGTCGACAAGGATGATGCGGAGGAGAATAAATTGGAGCTAACTTTAAAAACCCGAACATTGGATATAAGTATTTCATGTCCATAAACGGCCATCCTCTCCGAGACATGTTGCGTACTTCATTTAGTTGGTGCTTGGATGATGGCGATGACTCTCAAACTACGAATACGCCTTGAGTCTTTTCCCTCTCAAGCCACCCATTTTCATAGATTTGCCAAACATGATGACTCATGGAGGAATGCACAGCTGCCGTTCTCCGCCACACGCTAGCAGGTAGTAATAGCTTGCGATCACCCCTAGTTAGGAGGAGGAGCCTTTGTAAGGCGCAAGGATCGCGGACCTTGGAGGGCTGAAATTGTACCAGCGCTCAGGTAACACTAATTTCTTGGTACTGATACTACAATAGCAGTATTAGTAGTAGTTTACGACTCGTGCAAGATGCAGTGGCAAAAGAGGGTTTGGAAACAATACTAGGGAGAATGCTCGTGCGTGCGAAGAGATGAAAAGGACAAGATAATCAGGGTTAATGCTCGTAGGGTCATCTTCTCATTGTCTCCTCCTTTTTTCTTAACTGGATAGGCTATCCCAAGAGGGATCCAATTTAACAGTCTTTTCTTTCAGATCGCCTTATTTCTTATCCCACTGGCGTTATCCCACTGGCGTTCGTACAAAAATGCTACCGTTTCATCGACCATGAAAATCTCAAACAAGGCGCTTGGGGACCTCTTGTGTACCTTGCTTACCTACTACAAGTATGTGCATGTATGGATGGATCTATGTCATCGGCACCAGGTAGACTTCAACTTTGCACTCAGCAGGCTGTGGAGACTGGAATTCCACTTTCCAGCCCCATGAATCAATCCTTGTCGAGGCAATCCAATGCTGGGGCAGATCCGTATTAACGGCTGCAGGGATCTTCATCTAGGTGCTCTCAGCTGGGAGCGGGATAGCGACCACTTGCTGACATCCAAGATCTGGTACCGTCATCCTTTAGCCGCCACGGCGACGGTAGCTAGCCAGGAGTAGAAAGAAGCAGTTGACCGGTACGAAGTCGTAATAACTATCTTGGATCGACAACGGGAGGCACGATGGCACGTGTAGATCAAGCAAACTGCCATCCGGAGAGGTTGCAGCAGGTGGATCCAATATATGGACTCATAGGCACTAAGTGTCGACTCATAATGAAAGACGCAGTAGCCTCTGCCAACCATGTGCATGCGATTTGGGTGTCATCCTCGAGTGCGACGGTGTGTTGCCAGGCTTTCTACAAGTACCAAATACTACCTGTACGGATAGCCGAAGGCTTATTGATAGGTACGCCTCCTTTACACGTGTGGAGTGGGAGCGAAGCGAGAGCCAAGATGAGGAATCCCCAGCTGGCCTATTCCGCAAACCGGGTTGATATAGCAGCATCACCGCAATGGCGGTACCATAGTAGCCAACACAGACGATCCGGATACCGATCGGGAGCGGCTTCTATATGGACACGCCGATGGGCTAAGCCTGTTGCCTCTATCACCAGTAACACTAATGCAAGCTCGTAGCAGTACCCCGTAACGGTACCCCGTAGTAAACAATATCTCTTTACCGTCCTCGCGGGTTAGAGCATGCATCCGCTTGCGCCTAGAAACCCGCGGTACGAAGCGAAAGCGGTCATGGTGTCTCTCAAAGGTATATACAAGGGGTGTTGGACAGGGGTGGCCTCTCTGCCTCGTCTTAATATCTAGCCCTGGGATTTGCATATTTATTAGATCACGTAATATTTTTTATTAAGATACAATCGTCAAACATCCTGTATACGAGCGCTAAATTAGCTATCAACCAAGTTGGCTGCTTGTATATGTCATAGACATACCTGATTTGACAAAGTTCAATATAGGCTAGCCTCACTTATACAAGTATAATCTCATCTCACGGGAATCTCTTTGCGATTACCCATGTATTTACCCAAATCATCTAGCCCCCAATTGACCACACTATTTTCATGCGGGCAAGGGCGTTGTCTTTCCCGATTTAAAAACATTTACATACTATGCTTGTACCCGAGGGGGCAATTGAGCAGCGCCACCATCGTCACTACATGTAGACATATCCGACGCTGTGCATGTAGGCGAAGGGAGCAGCCGAGGCTGAAACAGGTGGCGTGCGTGATATATTCCTTCGATTGCAACTTTTCGGAATCCTGTTTTGGGTTTCTTTCGAAATAGGTTGTGGAAAGATAGTCGGGGGACACAAGCGACTTACAACCCGTAGGACATGTGTCCGCGTATCTCATACAACTCCTTCACGGAGTGCATCCTATGACTTCTTACACCCGTGACCATGGCTATGAGAAAGAACAAGTAAATCACTCGATTAGCCTTTCTAGCGCTGTCAAACTGCTCCATCACTGCTAGAACACGAGTGCAACTGCCGCTTCACCAGGGTCCAAGGGGGGAGCGCAACGATGCATCTGCTCCATCTCACTCTGCCCTGCAACGCACGGGCTCTCCTTGAACGAAATACAAACTCATTTTCCATCATCAGGAGCCTAACTCATCCACGGTCTAGCTTGGGGGTCACACCTCTCACCGGATCCGCTTCCCCCGAGCCCACAGTTGGATCTAGTTTGGACCTGGTCTCCTAATAAGCCTCCTCTTACAAGTCGGGTCGGTGATACTGCTTCTACTAAGAGCAGACTTGGAGAAACTAGGAGCGGTCAGCAAGATCGTCCTTCCCATCAGCTCTCTGCTCTTTGGCTCTTCTCCTTTGTGCCCTTGCTGCTCTTGCGTTAGCGGAGTGCGGCTGAAGGACTTGGCAGAGTTGTCTCAGCCAGACGGTCTTATTTTTCCGTCTAGGATCCCAGGATTCCAAGATTTTTTGTTTTGTGCTACCACATTTTCGGCACTCTGCTTCCCGTGGCCACACGAGTGCTCAGAGTGACGTGGGGGGGGGGGGGGGGGGGTTGACGTCGGCCAACTTTACGGCAACATACGCATACATCTGGGTAGTAAGCAGCATGTGCAGCTTTCTTTGGCGTCTGGTCGCATTCGTATGAGAGACACCGAATAGCCGCGTACGGTAGCATTCGCCGATATTTGCCCTCTATTGTTCTGCGATCGCTTAAAGAGTTGCCTGGGTAGTAGTATCGGCTTCTACACAAAACTGTGCTTGTGTACTGGCCAGGATACCCAAAAGCGGTAGTAGTAAAAGTAATAGGATCTAGTACAAAGAGCTCCAGCAATCTGAATCCCTGTGGATACTTGCCCTTGAATACCTCTCTATCTGAAATATTTAGTACTTGGGCTTTACTAGTGTGGTTTACCTGTTGGGCTACATACATACCTAATTAAGAATGATAATCCATAATTCTGGGAATCGTGCCTCTACCACGCCCTGGCAGAAGAGAAACCGGGGACCCCTGGCAGTATATACACATACACGTATGCAGCCAATCGCTTAACACTCTTGCTTCCAGCTAATCCTAGACGCTGAGAGAAAAGCAAAGAGGAAACATGTGTACAGCACTGCATCCGTCGTAACCTCGTATGGGCCAACAGGATCAAAACCCAACCGGCTGTCGCTCCCAGTAATTCGTCCCTGTTCTCCCTTTCAGCATGTATCGATTATTCAGGCAATTAGTGGGCAGAGCTGCCCTAAGTGGGCAAAAGATCAACACGGCCCGACCCCTGCGCCGTAATACTAGTAACGAGTGCCACGATAGATCTGGCATTTCACATCAAGTAAGACGCCTTACCCTTACTACAACTCCATCCACTTACTAAGAGCCTTAGAAACAGGTTACCAAAATAGCTTGGAAGTTCTGAGACATTTACAACTGAGACATTTACAAAGCAATGATTGGTAACAAAAGAACCATCACAAGCGGCTAACATGGAGGCAAAAGCAGCCACTTACTCCGTAGCCTTTGGCCAAGTACACTACCTTTGTGCCACCAGCATCAGCTAAACAGTTCCAAGAGGCTTTGCCATTACTACAAGTACCCTCCTATTAGCCTACTACTCCCTGGTCATATTGGGGTGCGCGGACTGATATCCATACACCTTTCCCGGTTCTGGAATGGTTGGCGAGACGCGTAGCCCGAATGGCAAATGCAGACATACTTGTACATACAGCCCCGATGATGATTATCCTACCAGATATAGGTGTAGCGCATGCTGGTCACATTCAACCAAGGTAGCATCCTGAATCAGTAAGGCGAGAATATTGGGACCGGGCCGAGAGAAGAGATAAGGAGAAGAAGCTGTCTCCCTTGGGCCTATATATTAATCTTCTATCATCTTGCCATCAGGACCCGGGTCAAGAAAAGCCAAGAGTCTGGTTCACGCTTTGTCAATTGTCACATTTGAAAACGTACAGTCAAGTTTCTTCCACTTTGCAGGATACATCATATTCCTCTTTGTCTTTTTACTTTTTACTTTGACTTTCTGTGCTTTCCCTTCTCTTTCCCTTCTTCTTCTTCACACAATGGTCTTGGTCAAGCGTTATGGCCTGCTACCAAGCACGGCCGACAAGAAGGCCATCAGGTCATACACAATGGCCTTCCCCAAAGCCGAGTTAACCCGCATGAACATACTGGTGGAGCTTTCCAACATAGCAACACCAAACTACGAAAACACCGGCGCCGACAAATCTCAAGAGTTTGGCGTAACACGCGATTGGCTCGCAGCTGCCAAGGAGAGGTGGCAGAACGGCTTTATCTGGTATGTGGTCATCAAGTTTTGACGTTTCAAAACCCAGAGAATTTTTAGAACAAGTATTGATGACGTTATTTGGTATAGGGAAGAGAGAGAAAAACTCGTCAATGCTTTTCCAAATTTCAAAACAGCGATACCAGCTCCTCATGAAGACGGTTCTCCAAGCGATGTCTCCATCGATATCCACTTCATGGCACTCTTCTCCAAGAGAAAGGACGCGGTGGCAGTCCTCTTCAATCACGGCTGGCCTGGATCTTTCTTTGAATTTCTGCCTCTTTTCAAGCTGCTGCGAGAGAAGTACCCCGATGAAGACAGCCTACCGTACCACATCATAGTGCCATCACTCCCAGGCTACGGACTCTCTGACGCCCCTCCGATGCACCGGAACTTTACAGTCACCGACGCCAGTTACATGTTGGACCACCTCATGTCCAAGACACTTGGAATCAAGTCTTACATCAGCCAAGGAGGCGACGTGGGATCCTTCATTTCCCGCTACAACGGCTACAACTCTCCAAACTGCAAGGGCGTCCTCATCAACTTCTCTCCAGTCCCAAAGCCAGAGGGCGCCACCCTCGACGACATGGACGATGAGGACAAGGTCGCCATGAAACGATATGAGTGGTTCGCCACGGGGGCCATATCATACATGGGGATGCATGCCACCAGGCCGTCTACCGTCGGACTGGCCATCGCAACCAACCCAATCGCAGTACTCGCCTGGATCGGCGAGAAGTTCCTCGACTGGACTGATCCAGCTTCATTCCCCCCGACATCTCACATCGGCAACCAACAATCAAACAACTCCACAGCTACTCCATACTCTATCGAGCTGATGGATGAGGCCATTGCCGGAGCGGCCCTGTACTTCCTCACCGGATCCATAGGAACATCATTGTACTGCTACCGCCAATTCTTCCCTGGAGGCCAAGACGCAGCCTCCCCAGTGCAGAAGAAACTCTACATTGCCAAACCGAAGCTCTTTGGCTACTCCTTTTTCCCATGGGAGGTCATGGGTTCGCCAAAGGAGTGGATTGCCACAAGTGGTGACATGGTGTTTTTCAAGCGGCACGCGCATGGAGGCCACTTTGCCCAGTTGGAGCAGCCAGCGGCTATATGGGAGGACGTGGAGGAGTTTTTGCAATTACTACCGGCGGATTCATAATGTGTTGGCGATGGTGGGTGGCGTAAATGTGTTTGGGTTCATGGTGTTCTGATTTCATAATTTGTTTAGATATTCACTCTTGCTCATCGCTCTGCTTTAGATAAGAATCAAAATTCCGCTTTCAACATTTATATGTAAACAATGTGATCTGTACCTAACATACGATCTAGACATGTAAAGATGCCAGTAGCTATAGCTATGATATATAAAGAGAGAGAGGGGGGGGGGTTAATTCCTACCACGGAATCCGCCATCTATTCCATAGTCTGCGAGACACAATCCATGAACCGGGGACATCTCCCCATGAACCAAGCCCCTTCTAAGTTTCGCCATCTGCCACAATACTTCCATGTCTACCCCAAACGGGGTTGCTCTCGGAAGAACCAAGGGCCCTGGTGGCCTTGAAACTCTTTGATTAATCGAAAACTGTTTCCATTTCAAGATTGCCTCGTTCCCAATGAGAGGATCCACAACTTCGAAAAGAATGGCCTTGCTCTCAGGCGTAGGCAACACGTCCTCAAACACCACAACCCCGTACTGCTCCAATTGCTCAATGGGAGATAGGGATTGATATTCTGTGTCAGATTCCTTTTCTGGCCGGAGAGCAACTCGTAATGTTCTCTCCAGCTTCCGCTTGTTTCCTCTGCCGCTTACCATGACGAGATCGCAGCTCCTTATCGGATCACTGGGGGTCTCGACATGTATAGCGGCCTGCTGCATCCATTTCACAAAAGGATGCATGATTCCCCACCAGATGGCGAGATCCGATAGGAACATGTTGAAGTCGAAGCGGACATAGCGGATGTGCGTCCAATTGAGTAATCCGGGATCTGCGCCGTGGGCGTAGTCATCGCTGAGGTCTTTGGCTTCTAGAAGATATGGCCAGTCCTGGATGCGCGAATTTGCATCAAGCATTGCCCGGAATCCCGGCCCAAACGTTGTCCCAGACTCTTTGAGAATCAGAAGATCCATGGCATTTGTAGGAGTTTTCGGCATCTCCTTTTGCGCTTCAGTATCCGGCAGAGGCTTGTCAGGAGGAGTGGTATCCGCAAAGTGAAGAGTATCAATGTCAAAGTTGAACAGGATCCACGGCGAGGAATCCAGGACAATGGGCCACACTTCATAAGGCCACGAGACTAACTTGTGATTCAAAACAGTCCGGGCTTCTAGGTATTGGTAGTGCCCGTTCAGGATTTGACGAGATTCGCGGTTGATGTGAAGGCCAACGGGAGGGCGAACGGTGCTTTTTACACTCCAAAGACCCCTCCCGACTCGACGAGGGATGAGACCAACAAGACGAGGCTCTATGGTGTCGAGCCATATCTTTTCGCGCAATTCATAGGGAAGTTGCGAGAAGTTGACCATGTTATCGGTAGATCTAGTAGCGCAGATGAGATGAACAATGCAGCAGAATATGAGGGTCAATAGCGGATATATGCGGCGCTTGTTAGCGAAGAGACTGTATTATCGTGTAATATTGAACGGTGGATGCAGAATACAAATATCATATCAGACAATGCGTGTCATTTAATGCCATTGATAGAATGTCATCAAGAGGCTGGGCTAAATGCGAGGCAGCCAAGTCTGACAGGTTAACAGGGATGTGCCTGAAGTAAGCCTCGAAGCTACAGAGCAAGTGGTAAAGACAGCCTAATCTCACTTCATAGAGCAAAAGAGGAAATAAAGGCGAAGAGGAAATGCTTGGGAGATAACTATAAGCAGATTAGCCATGGAGGCTATTTGAAGCTCATCGAGATACAGAACGACGTAATGCATGTAGTTAACAATGCCCCCGAAGCTGTGGCTTGGCTCTAGGGTAGGCCATTCCAGCTAGCATCAGTTTCCATGCGTCTTGCCCCTCCTACAGGCGGATGAGGTAATCCAGAGCGCTTGAACTGTAGGCGCTTCAGTGGTGCGTGTCCCGCTGAAGCCTTGCGCTGAGGCCACTAGTCTCCAAGCGGCAAGGTGTCAGCTCAGTGCCTCGCCTGGAAGCTCCAACAAGGTAAATCGAATCGCAGCTTCGTCATATTGCTGCTCAATTATACCAAACAACAGCCCTCTCTCCCAAACTTCACATCCGCTCGCCTCACCAGTTTCTCGACTTCAATCCGCCCGGGACTTAGATAGAGCTGTTGTCGCCATCATGGGCGCAGATCCGCAATACGTCAAGTGGCCTTTGCTGCCGCTCTCCCAGCACGTCTTCACCCTCACAAATGCCTACGCCTCCAAACAGGCCCAGCAGGCCGCCGCCAAGGCCCTGCAGGATGCCATCTCCCAGGACAAGATGGCGCCCTTCTACCGATACCTGGCCCATCCAATCGAAGGCATTCTGAACGCAGTGGGCGAGAGCGGCTCCTCAGCAGCGGGCAAGCCCCCGAGCCGGAAATCGAGCCTGGTGGGCATGGTGGCGACCAAGGCGGCACCCGGGGCTGTCAACCTGCCGTGGGACGAGGATCTATACAACAAGCTGAAGGAGGACAATGACAGAGAACTGTCCGAGTTCCAGAAGGAGCAGGACGAGGCGGAGGAGCAGGCTGGCGAGACCGAAGTCATGGCTGCCAAGGGCAAGCGGGCAGACTTTTGGGCTCGAGTGGGCGACAAGGTACGGATCCATTCCTCTGACAAGCTGTAATGCTGCTGCAGCCGCCCACATGGGGAGCTTTTTGCAAGAGCCGCTGCGGCAGGGTTGACGAGCTGAGCTGAGTTGAGCTGACCACATCTCCATGCAGGACAAAGCAATTGCCGAATTCGAAAGCTTATTCGAAAAGACTGGCATCCTGGGCACCAAGATCGACCTGGTCCTCGCCACGATACGCATGGGCCTCTTCTACGGCGACAAGCCCCTCGTCAAGAAGCAAGTCGAGCGAGCAAAGGCACTCGTCGAGACCGGCGGCGACTGGGACCGTCGCAATCGCCTCAAGGCCTACGAGGGCCTGCACCTCATCACCGTCCGCGCATACAACACCGCCGCGCCGCTGCTGCTCGACTCCCTCTCCACATTCACCAGCTACGAACTCTGCACCTACTCCAACCTCGTCGTCTACTCCGTCCTCGCCGGCTCCGTATCCCTCAAGCGCGTCGACTTCAAGTCCAAGGTTGTTGATGCCCCCGAGATCAAGGCCATCATGGGCGATGGCGAGGACAAGCTGTTGGCTCTCAGCGGTGCCCTGAGCGCTGGCCCCGGCGCGGATGACTCCATGGGCGATAAGCTCCCCAAGACAGCCACCACCACCGCGGTCAACCTGACGACTCTGGGCTCCAGCTCCGACCAGCCCGAGGCCGAGATGGCCATTGATTTCAGCCCCCTTGCTCTGTTGGTCAGCAGCCTGTACAACGGCAACTACAAGACCTTTTTCCAGTCCCTCGCCTCAGTCGAGGAGCAGTTCTTAAACCATGACCGCTACCTGCACGAGCACAAGAGCTGGTTCATCCGAGAGATGCGTCTTCGTGCGTACCAGCAGCTGCTGCAGAGCTACCGAGTCGTCGGCCTAGAAAGCATGGCAAACGACTTTGGCGTCACTGTTGACTTTTTGGACCGGTAAGTTACAATCCTAGCACTAGGCTATTTTTCATTGTCATCCCCCTTCCCTCCCGTTGAAGCAACTGCTAATAAAAACGTCTGTAAACAGCGATCTTGCTCGATTCATCGCCGCTGGCCGCATCCCCTGCACCATCGACCGTGTCTCCGGCAAGGGCGTCATCGAGACCAACCGACCCGATGACAAGAACAAGCAGTACCAGGATGTCGTTCGCCAGGGTGACCAGCTGATTACAAAGTTGCAAAAGTACGGCCAGGCTGTTAGACTAAGGGGCAGTGAGAGGGCATGAGCAATTGTGATGAGAGAGGTGAAGATTTAGTATTAGAAGGAAGGGAGGAGAGAGGGAAAAAGAGGTAGTCGTAGAATTTTCGCCTTATCCTCCAATACATTAAGAAAGAGAACAAAAAACAAAAACGAGATTCATCAATGTGTCTCCGTCATACGAATTTACATAAAGTGATTGCAGCAAATGAAACAAGAAAATGTGATTCTAACCACGGACTCGAGCTTGAAAATATTTGATCTAGTGGTGTGGAGTGTTTGCCACAAAAGTAGGCCATCTTCAGTATATACCTAAAAATAAGAGCCCATATCTATCAATTTTAAGGAGATTATGCTATATCCATTCCGCTTCACACTTAGAAGACGCCACAAGAAGAAATTTCCAAGTATTCGCTTACTTTTCCCAATGAAAAACACCTCTGCCTCGTCTTGACGTGTAGAAAATTCTTTACTTTAGAGTCTTCACCTGTACTTGTCCATGAACTCCTTGTGGAACTTGGTGATTCTGTCAACCCACTCAGTACCGGGAGCGAGGAAAGTGGTACGGAAGTGCAGGGTGCCCTCCTTCTGTCCGAAGCCGCTGCCAGGGATGACGCAGACGCCGGTGGCCTCGAGCAGTCTCATGCAGTAGAACTCGTCAGGCGTGCGGTTCTCAGACTTGGCAGCCTCAACAGCCTTCTGGGACAGGTTGATGGAGGGGAAAAGGTACATGGAGCCCTGGGGCTCGCCGCACTCGACACCCTCCATTTGATCAAAAGCCTTGTGAAGAGCATTGGCGCGCTCACGGAGACCGTTGGCAACGGCGTTGTACTCCTTGTCATAGAGCTCGAATGAGGGCTCGCCAGGCTGGGGAGGGTTGACCATGAGCTCGACAAGGCACTGGGCGATGACGGGCGCGCAGAGCATGATGGAGACGAACTTGTAGATGGCGGCCTCGACCTCGGCGTCGAACCCAACTAGCTCAAAGTAACCACCACGGTGACCGCACTCGCCGACCATTCCCTTGGAGATACTGTGGAGAGAGGCGAGTTCGACATCATCGTACTTTCCGGGGTTCTCTTGCTGCAGCTTGCTCAGGACACCCTTGAAGCTGTGAAACTTGCCAATGAAGACGTTGGTCTGGTAGACCTCATCGGCCATGATGACGAGCTTCTCCTTGGCGGCGAAATCAATCACAGAGCGGACATCTTCCTCCGAAAGGGAGGCTCCGGTAGGGTTACCGGGGTTGATGACGACAATGGCCCGGACGTCGACACCGTCAGCCTTGGCCTTGTCGTATGCTCCTCGGATGGTGGCGAGGTCAGTGGCCCAGGCCTTGGATTCGTCAAGGTAGTAGGGAACGCAGGTGGCGTCGAGGACGGAGAGGGTGGCGGTGTAGAGAGGATACTGAGGGATGGGGACGAGGACACCAGACTTGTCGGACTCGGAGAGGATGTGAAGAAGAGTGTTGACTCCGGACGAGGCACCGGCGGAGAGGTAGATGTGGTCAGGGTTGGCGGAGAAGCCGTCTCGCTCTAGAGAACCACAACGTTAGTAAATCAGGTCCAGATCAAAGGTCAAAGCCAGCACGGAAATGCCACTCACTCTCGAGGAACTTGGCAATGCTCTCCTTGATAGCGTACACACCGCTGCTGGCGCTGTAGGCACCAACAGAGCCGCATTGCTTGAGCAGCCACTTGGCACGCTCGATGACGTCGGTCTTGTAGCCAAGGTGGTTGATCAGGACATCCTCCTTCTCGAGCAGGTTCGGGTACTCGAGCAAACTGAGCACCTGGCGGAAGAAGGTGATGGGCTTCTGGTCCAGCTGCTGGGGGTTGCCAATGTTGGCCGAGACGATCTTGTCAAAGGGCAGGCTGGTGTCGCCCTTGTTCAGGCGCGCACGCAGCTCCTCCGACTTGACGGCGAGCTCACCGCGGACGGCATATTCGGCGGCGCGGACGTGCGGGTTGATGTTGTTGATGTTGAGGCGGCCCATTTTCGCGGTCGTTGAGAATGATCGAGGAACAAGTCTGCGATGGTGGGGTTGAAGTGTTCTAGATGGCGGGGTGGAAAGTGTGAGCAAAGATCGCCGATAACCGGCGCTTTCCAGATCTTTTTTTTTTTGCCCTTCAAGTTAGCAAGAGATCTAGATAAGGGCCAAAGAAAAAAAAAAGAAACTTTCAGAAATGATGGGGAAGAAGGCAGTCTGATGGCGGGGAACAGAAAATTGTGTGGAGCAGCTCTGCGTCGTTCTTATGCATCCAGGCCATGGAAATTGTCGGCTGATGGCCAGGAAATCCACGGGATCTACGCGCTTGCAGCAGCCGCTTTTGGTCCAGGCCGTAAGCCGGGAAGGGCTTCACCACCACGCCTCATCTGGCAGATCGTGACACAACGGAACCAAAATCAGCGCATGAGTCGCTCCACGCCTCGCCTGTCGCGCGGTCCAGATTGGTCGAACAGCGAGGATGGCTGCGGCATTTGTTGCTTTGGGACAGCAAGGATGGCCCAGGTGCCGCCTGGACGTTGTTGGATATTGCAGCTTCGTCATGAGTCGTGGTCATGGAAATCGAGCTTCCCCGGAGGCTGTAAGCTGGATAGAGCCTGTGCTGCGCTCCCCGAATCCGTATATTTGTCGTCGCACTATAACCCCCTTGCTCGGTGTCCGCGTGGAATACTCGCAATGGAAGCGAAATGCAACCAAGAGCGCAACAAAGAGAGATGGAACCGTGGAAGAAAGAGCAGCCGAAACAAGGAGACCTCAAAACCCTTACCTGATATCCGGGAGGCGCCTAGCAGCAGTCTCCCGCTCGCGGCGCCCGGCAGCGCTTTGCTGCCAGCCAACAGTGCTCTCGACATGATGTCCAACTTTCACGATGAAGATGCTGTTGATGAGTTGTAGAAAGAGAAATTCCAAAATCCACAAAGACTGCGGAGATAAAGCTGGAGCGCTACCAAAAAAGCCAAAAGGGCGGATGCTTTTTTTTTTTTCGTTGGCTTTTGAGACCGACTTCGTTCGTGGCTTTTCCCCCTACATCACTTGGGCGGCAGCCTTTATCTTGTCGCTACATAGCAGGCTTACATACCCCATCGAAAACCTGCTGCGTAATAGGGCCGTTGAATCCTCCGTAAGCTAAATGGACATGGTAGAAATTGCGATTCCTGTGCTACAGCGTCTCTGTCAGCGCAGAGCTGATGGCAACCTACTCGCTCATACCGGCGATGCTGTAACTACGGCGCTGGTATTTTTCTGATATCGGACCCCTGCGCAGTGGCAGCGGTACCCCTGGGGACCCCTAGTAAGAACCTTGAAGCTTACTTGAAGTAGCTGGGACAGAGCAAAAAATAAGCCGCTATCGGCGCGGCACGGCCACTGCAAAGCTTCCATGGATACGCCGCCGCCTCTAAACTCACTGCAAAATTGTATTGCGACGGATACGGGTATCCACCCCCATCGGGTTTTCGGCAACACATTCTTCCGAATCGAGCATCCCGCCATACCAGGAATTTACGCTGCTATCGCGATTATGTCGAACGACATCATTTGAGCGCCCGAGGTATCGACAAAATGGCCAAGAAAGGTGAGTTTTCCGCTTGTTTGCTCAATGGGATCTCGGATTCTCCCTTTGCAGATAAATATACAAATCGAACACAGCTGACATCCTCTGCAGCAAAGGCGAGATTGATCAACGTCCGGCTCATCTCCATGGCCATGACCGGCTTCTTCTATACCTTCAAGCGACCCAGAACAAGTCCCATGATGGGAATGCTGAAATATGATCCCATAGGTGCGAAATCGAATTCCATTCAGCACCATAAAAGTTGTTGTTGTTGCTGACGGTGCCCCTCTATTAGTTCGAAAGAAGGTCCTATTCCTAGAAACGAAAAAGCGATCGAAATGAAAGAAAACGATTCCCCTTCGCCCCCGAACGGCATCAATCCCACTGCACGCTCAGGGATTGTGAAGATAATGATTGGGTTGTGGGCAGTCCGGATATTCAGAGCCCGCAGCTGTGTATATGTACAACATGAAGAGCATTTCTGGAGTTCGAGGGTGGGCTGGCACTGCGCTCGATGCGCTAGAGAGTCAAGATATACATCATCTGTTTCGAAGTAAAAAAAAAAAAAAAAAGGAAAGAAATTCACCCTCAAGTCATTTATGCATGAGGCGATTGTTATGTGTAAAAAATGTCAAATTACGAACAACAACAAATTTTAACAACTTATTAGCGGGCTATTCCCAGTCCAAAATACAGTTCTAAAATACAATTTTCACGAAAATAGTAATCTACATCTAACTCTTTATCAATCTCACTTCTCCATCAGGCTATTCGGCAATAAAGCTCATCATTCTGGACTTCTTTGAGCCTCGGTAGCTGGGGTTATCGAGCTGCGAAGTTATCAGGTTATCCTGAGGACTCTCTCGCTTCTTGCCGGCTACCTGAATGTCCCTCTCAAAATCGGCAACAGTCGGAAAGCTCCAGTCATATTGAACCATTCTAGAACAGATTTCAGCAACCATTTGTTTTGATGAAGAGCCTGCTTTGCCAAGAGAGCCATTCGAAAGATCTGGGGGCTTGTTCTGGTCAACCTGTAGCGTACTAGACTGGATCTGTCCCTTGAGAATTGATCTAAGCTGTGTAGTTTCACGACGCCGCTTTTGCTCCTGTACCACTGTTGGTGGAGGTGATGGCGAGCTCTCTCCTGGATCCGGACTATAGACAGTGACTTTGCGGAACACACCGTCATCTTTCGCCGCTGGTCGGTTCTCCGCCCCTTCGCTTGATCCAGTGGAAGATGCTGACAAGTCATTGTCCACCTCAACAGTTGGCTCCGGAGCTCTAGCTACAAGTTCTTGTTGGATCCATTCACTCTCTGTTGCTAGATAGCTGGTTGACGACCGAATAAATTCACTGATTTCCACAAGCCTGTCCATCTTCTTCTCACAAACCTTGGCAGGTGAAGTCTGTTCTTGTATCGTCTTCAGCTGCGCTCGTACTGCTTCAACACTTTGGATCTCTTTGAGCCATCTATCACGAAGCACTTCGTTTTCTTGAGCTTGATGTTCAAATTCTTGGAGTTTGCGAGTTAGCTGTGCAACAGCCCCACGTTCAATTTCTAGAGTCGCCTGTAACTCATCGCTTTTGTGGTTATTTTGTGTAGCAGATTCCTTCTGCTCATCGACGTTAGCCGCAAAAGCTTTTGCAATATTTCCGCTTTCAATGAAAAGCTGTGATATTCTCTCTCTCTCCTGCCCAAAGCCCCGCTCCAGAACGTCTCGAAGCTCAGTAGCAGCACTGCGAATCAATTTCGTGGCTTCTTTGTCAGCGTTCAGAGCTCCGGAGATCATTGTATCAATCTTCGTTGTGAAGCCTTGATGCATCTGCTGAAGCCGACTCTCCATATCATCCAGCTTCGCCTCACGGTCCAGGAACCGCTGTGTCAAGCCTTGTAAGTGAGTGTCGGTGGTGTGCTGTTGGCTCTGCTCGTGGTCGACTAAAGCGTCGAATTTCTGCCCGATGTGCTCACAGATATTTTCTGTCTTCTTTAAGCCGCTGCCAAGTTCTTGAACTTGTTTGAAAAGATCCTGGATCTGCACACCATTGTCTTGCTTGTTCTCTTCCCATCTACGCGCAAGTTGGAATGCTTCATTTCTGAATTCATCAAGATTCTGTTGAACAGATGACTCTAACTGCGTTATCACATTTGAAGAATCTCTTTGCCCGCTCTCCAGCGAGAAAATGACTGGCGAAAAACTGGTTCTCGTGAGTTGGGTAGCGCCACAAAAAACGTTTGTGGAATCTCACCTCTCCATGATGTTCTTTTCGACGGCATCTAGCTCGACGGCGAGGTCATCTCGTGAAAGCATCTTGCCTGCGACTAAATTTCCACCATTGATCAAAGTATCTAACCTACATATATGTCAGCTTTTATTTTCAGGTTATCAAAACACATCGAAATACTTCGAATTCAGCATGCCCATCTTTTCTGTGCTTTGCTGAGCATCAAGCTGACGTTGTTCGTTTTGTGTGGTGTGATGCGCCATCAAAGTTTCTACTTTGGCTTCCAACGCTCGAACGCATTCTCGTGCTACACCCATCTCTTCTGTCTGAGCACGTAAAGTATTAGCGAGTTGCGTCTCCTCAGCCAATAATCTTTCCTGATGGTTTAGCTTCTCCTTCAGGACAGTTATGACTTGATCCTCTATTTGTTTGTCAGCTATACCCTGATTGCACTTGAGTATGAAGTCTCACTCTGTTGGATATCTTTATCCGCTTGCAAGCGATATTCCTCGAAACATTTCTTCATCTCTGCGCGTTTCTTCTGGCTGGCTTCCAAAGCCTTATCAACAGCATCCGAAGCTATAGTTTTAGTCGCCTTATCCTTTCGTAATTGATCCATTGTCTCTTTACAGAGATCTCGAGAACGTGAAAAGAGATCTTGTTGTTCTTTGATGGCATCGTTAAGCCGCGACCGACTTTCTTGGTGTTTTTCTTTCAAAAGTTCTGATCGCTTCTTTTCTTCAAATAGCTGCTGGCGCAAAGATTCAAGCTCCGAGTTCAAGCTCTTGTTGTCTCCAAGGGTACGGGTGGTTTCTTCGAGCAATTCCTTGTAAAGCTTCTCAGTTTCGCTGAGTTTGGCATCTTTCTCATCCAACAATGCACGCGACTTTTCGAGCTCTGTTTCTTGATGCTGTATATCGCCACGGAGCCTTTGAGCCTCTGATCGGGCTTCCACGTATTCATTATTGTTCATCTCGAGACATTGATTCAAGTATTCAGACACATGAGTCATGGTTTGAAAGTTTCTCGCGGCTCTCTTTTTGGATATATTGCTGCTCGCAATTGAGCTTGATCGGTGGCGTGGCGGCCGCTTACGACCTTTGGTCGAGGCACAGGGTATTGACCGGATCAAGGAGTCCTTATGTCGGTGACTCTGAGGTTTGGGATAGCTACGGTATGTGGGAAGCTCCAGATCACCGCAGGTACTGGGCGGTGAATGGCGTTGTTCGTTTCTACCTATTGACTTTGTTTCAACATGCTGTTGTGATGGGCGATATGTGTTGTCTTCTGTTGCAAGAGTCATTTTGTGCGCAGCGGCGGATGGAAGCTTTTGATAGTGATTAAGCTTTGGAGAAGCTGTATGTTCTGGAGGCGACAACAGCCTTGTACCATTATTTGTTTCCTTAGCACTCTTTGGTGAGATGCTTCGAGGACCAGCCGATTCTTCGATATCTGGATGGCCAGAATGAATGGGAAACATGGGCTTCTAGAAAAAGTCAGATACCTGCTACTCTCTTCTATGTTGCAACGTACAGGTAGCGGTCGCGCGGGTATATCTGGTATACCGGAGCTCATGTCAGTCGGTTTACTTGGAAGACAGAGCTCTGGCAAGTCCAAAGGCGAGGCCCTGGGCAAGGGGATTGGAAATTTGTCTTTTGGTGGCGAGGTAAATTTCTTCTCGAGCGGTTCAGCAAGCAGTGTAGTAGCGAGCGTTACAGGAGATACACGGCGAGGAAAATTGCTGTATTGGCCAGGACGATGTGGCTCTGGCGGTGGAAACGTGAAACCCTTTGCAAGTGATTCCTCGGAAAACTCTTCTCTATGCTCAAAGCTACTCTGAATCCAGACTTTGGAGTGGCCATCTCCGGTTGTCTTGGGGGAACCTGGCCCCGGAACACGTTGAAGCTTGCCGTCGAGGTCTGGTTCTTTGCTCATCCACGTAAAGCCAGGACTTTTTCTACCAGACGGCGAACTTCCGGGGCCATGACCAGGCCCTGGAAGTCTCATAGCAGCAACTATTGACAGTGACTTTGGGAGTGTGGATGCGAATCTTTGGTGTATATTTGGCTGAATTGCACGAGCTGAATGCGTAGAAAGACACTGCAGGGTTGAAAAGGCAAAGGATCTCGATATTCCTCTACAAGATCTGGAATCTGGGACAATGAACAAGAGAAATCTATTTTTTGGTTATCGAACTGGATTTCTGTGGTCAAGGCGGTCAATTGTGGCTAAGCGAGTCTATCTAGGCAGTAGCTGGAGAGGGAAAGAACGATGCGCCTCCCAGTCTTTGATAGCAATATCGCTAGAATACAGCAATGGTTCAAGCCCTGATGGATGTAGAATTCTTTTGACCTGTATTAATCAAGCTCCTTGTGTATATATCGTCTGTTGGCATGCGATGAGATGTCATCAAAGTGACGGCACTACAAAGTTGCTCTCTCTAGTCAACTCAGACGTAGCAGATGTCTGAACTGAAACATCCATGTATTAATAGTGATAGCACTTGAAGCAGCTGGTTCAAATCAACATAGAATCCATGCGAATGCCAAAAATAGTAACTTTGAATGCTGTTGTGGTAAAATCGATGCGATCATAATCTCTTGCCATCAATCTTTGATGCCATAGTTGAAGCTTGAAGTAAAGTCCCATGCTTCCGGCGCTTCACCTGAAGCAACTGAAATCTTGAGACGCCGCAAATAGTCGGCGTTTAATGATCGCCTCGCGGCCGCCTTCGTGGTCGTCAGAAGCCGCACGTCTTTGTATCCAATCCGCTACATCTGCATTATACAAAGCTGCACTGCTTCAAGCTCCTCCTGTCGCTAAATGGCCCGCGACTGAAGCTACCCCTCCAGAACGGGAAATCGAACGACCCATCACTCGCATCACCAATATCACCTCTGGGCCTTCTCAATCTCCATAAGCGCGATGCACCAGCATCCCCGAGTCACAAAAATAGGTCCCTCCTAGTCTCACATTGTCACGGAGCCGTCACAGACAAGACCCGCGATGGCTCTCGCTCGTTGGTGCGCTGAGGTGATGCCAGCGACGGCAGGGTTGCGCTCCCGCACACCTCATTGGCCACGACCCCTGCACGAGCCGTTGGCGCCGGCGCTTGTTTGGCCAGGCGAGGCCAATCATGGCGGCGCACCGCCAGCGCTCTCTGATGGCCAGGCACAGGAGTCACAGCAAGTCTGGCCAAGAGCTGCGCGAAATGGGGCGCGATGAGCGTTGGAGGGCGGTAACTGATACCACATGGATCGCTTTCCGGCATTTGGCATGCAGGAACTTGTCGCGGAAATAGCTGGGCAGAAGTGAAGTGGATGAGGAGTCGAGGCGAGGAAAAAAGAAGGCGGCAATGCCTGATAAATGCTGGGCTACGGCGCTGCATATCTCCGGGCTGTGGCCCATCTCCGGTCTTGACGTCTGAGCTTTGCATCTTGTGGTTTTATTTTTATTTTCATTCTGTTCTCGCTACATGCTATTTGAGAACATCTCGTACGATACACTCGACTTCTCATACGACATTCTCCAAGTTTCGCATGACATACAGACGCCTCATACAAACATAGCCGCCAAACCTAGGGCATCCCATCATGGCGTCGCAAACCTCCGCCTATTTCCCTCTGGCGACGGACAATTCCTGGCAGGGCCAATCCGGCAGCATCACTCCTCAGGATGGAACGGATGCAGGCGCTGCGGGCGACAGCTCTGCCAATTCCATAACCCTCTCGACCGGAGCCCTGGTCGCCATCATCGTCGTGGTTGTAGTCGTCATTCTGATCGGCGGTAAGCAGATATTCCAAATTCCTTAACAAAACTCCTCTGTATACTCATACAAACTAGTAACAACCGCTTCCCTCTTCTTCATTGCCAAGAAACGTGAATGGACCATCAAAGAGACTATTCGAAGATCAACGAAAAAAGTGGCCACTGCTCTTACTCCAAGGCGATCCGAGTTTCCTCGCTCTGTCAAAGGCTCTACACGCTCCAACCGCAAGGGACGAACGAAGCTCAACGACGACATCCCGCCAACCCCGAGACTCCGACCTGAGGACCTGGAGAAGGGCCTGGCTCGAAGCGAGAGCAAAGCTGTTGGACGTAATTCTGGTGGGAAATAAATGCGAGGATATGAGTGGTGTATATGTATGTGTGTGTGTGTGTGTTTGGTTGTGGCTGTGCGCGTGTAGGGAGGATATGCAGTTCAAGCGCAAAGGTTTTGGACGGGAACGGTCAATGGCGAGTGCCTTTTTTCTTTTTTTCTTTTTTGATTGATGAAATTATGATTTCGCTCGCGGGCGTTCCGGTGTATATACATATATATCCTTTTGCTCTTTTTCCTTCTTTGCGTTCTCCTTGATATTTCAAAATTTATGGGTATCACATCTTTCTGAATGTGTTCGAGCTGGCGCTTCGCCTATCCTTGAAATTTCGCCTCTGTGGAGCTGGAGGCTCTTCCTCTTCCTGCTGCTGCTGCTGCTTCTTCTTCCTCTCTGGCACAAATGTCACCTGTCGCTCTCCACGAACTTCGCCACGATCCGCCTTGTTGACGCGCGTAGATTTCTGATGTCTTGAGCCCAATGCAGAGTCCTTCAGTGGTCGGCCCTCATTCTGCGTCGATGAGATGCGCATCACCACATCATCCTTGGGCTTAGAGATGGGTTCCTCTTCATCGCTGGATCCCTCGTCAGAGTCTTTGCCTTGGAAATGAACTGATCCATGTTTGGCCTCTAGAGCCTGCTGAACAGCAGTGCTGGGGTTGAGAGCCTTGAATTCACCGCTGTTTTCGTCAACCATGAAGTCTTCGTCTTCAAACAGCTGTGTGAATCGCTTGTCTCCCAAAAGACCAGCATTGGTATCAACCTGGCTTCTGTTCTCTTGCTTCTTGAGAAGCTTATCGACAAGTCTCTGGTTGACCTTGACCTTCTTGGTGCCTCTGATGCGGCTAGAGCGCTCTTTCTCAACCTTGTCCTTGATGCGCTTCTGTCTCTCGTCTTCGAATGCATAGGGGTTTGCGATGAGTCTAGCCTGTTCGTACAGCTTAGAAGCCACAAAGTATCCGTGCATGTATGGTCGCAGCAGGTTGGTCTTTCCAATCAAGTGGGACAAGCTGAGCTGCTTCAGTTCTGGCAAAGTCAAGAACTTGTAGTTGTCGTAGGTCTCGGTGCGGACCTCTTCCGCCATCTCTTCCACCATGTTGTCCAAGAACGAGCACCACCTTGGCGCTGAGCCTAGCTGGGGTACAAAGAATGCGTGCTGCTGCTTGCCCTCATTGGCTGTCAGCAGCATGCCGGTGTTTTTGCACCAAGCCACGTCGTTGATATCCACCACAGGTTCAACCGATGTCCATGGGTCTCCCGAGGCTTCATCCCAGATTTTAATGATGCGCTTGTCAGCTGATAGTATCTTCTTCTCCTGTGAAGATGTCGTCATGTGTATCAGCTTCTTTACGGGGAAGCCATAGCCGTGGTCTTTCTTGAGCAAGGGAGTAGGTCGACGAAGGTCGAATAGCTGGATCATGCCACTTGAGCTGCCAGTCGCCAGTGACAGGCCCGACGGATGGAAATCCATTGTTGTAACACCTCCTTCATGGCCGGAAAGCAGCGCAACCCGTGATCTTGACCGGGGATCCCAAAACTCTACTGTGCCTATTGATGTGCCAAAGGCGAGCAGATTGTGTGTATCCTCAGCAATGGCAGCGCAGTTTACACTGCCAACATTGACGCCTCCTTGTAGACCTCCGCCGAGCTCGTCGTCTCCTCCAACTTCAATCTGATACGACTTCATAAATCTTCCAAGTTCCAGGTTCATGCGAAAAACTTCTCCTTGGCCATCAGCGTCGATACCGACAGCCGGAACGAGAGCCTCCGTAGAGTGTCGATCGTATACCAGATCTCGGCCGTATCTGGGAATGCGCACTTCATAGTGGCAGCCCATGGGGGTGTGGAATTCGAGCTTGCGATCATTCTGAAGGTGGAGAGATTTTGTGTAGTCGGTAGAGAGTAGGACAAAAGTCTCGTTGGTGGAAGTCGTGTGCCTGGCGAAAGAAAGAGAGAGCTGTGGTAAGTTGTGTACGTGAAACTGGGGCTTATATGTGCCCGTGCTCATGACCCATTCGCCATCTTCACTGATACGGACACACTGGCTGGCCTCTTCAAACTCAAAGTCTTGCAGAAGCTCGACGCGACTCTGGTACTCGGCATCGTCCTTCAGACTGCGCTTCCGGCGGCGAGAAAGCCAGTCTGGGAGAGGGCGCGCAGTGGATGCGCCAGAGATTGTGTAGACGGGGACAGTGCCCGGATTGGACAGCTTCATGGCGAGGGCGGAGAGGATATATCACAAGATACAGTTTGGGCCTCCCTCTGCGTAAAATGTCAGTGTCGAGGTAGAAGAATCTTCTGCCGCTGCGCAGGCAATTGGCCTAACAAAAAAAAATCAAGGTGAAGAAAAAATGCAGCCCCACTTCGGTGAGCGGCCAACCGCCCCCACACAAGCAATGCGGACTCGCTGACCGAGGCCTCGCCAGCCAATCGCCAGCAACGCGCTGGATCCAGCACGCTCCGGACTCCCTGGACACTCCCAGCCCACTGGCCCGGCGCTGTCAATTCCGAGTTCTGACCCGCGATGCGGTACATCTTCGACGCTGCTTGCTAATCCGAGAATTTCGACGCTGCTCGGGTGGTCCATGGCCTGCGACTGCACCTGGTGGCAACGATAGGGCGGCTGATGTGCTCCTGAAAACTCTTGCTCTCCCCTTTCCCCGACCCGATCCTCGGACGCCTCGTGACCAGCATCAACCTGTCTGTCGAGCTCGGCGCGCCATCTGGGTGACGCTCTTGGACCACATCGACCGAAGAGGCTCCAGTTGAGATGGAGCTCGGACAACGAAGAGCACCAGAATCGCTTATCCTCGTCGGGACTTCTTGATCTCGTCTGCTGTGCATCTTCTCTTCGCGGGCCTCTGTCCCGTCGTTTGCGCGATAGAGTCTGGAAAGCCGTGGCTCGGTGCCGACGACGGCGGACTGCGCTGTCACCGGCTGCCGCGAGCCCTTATTCGATAAACAGCCGACATGGAGACTGGAGAATATGAAACCAATACACTGTCGATAGTGAGCGAGACACCTTGCTTCATCACCATGGCCCCTCGTCCTCAGCTAACGTCGAGTTTTAGAATAGTGTCTCGTCCATCACATATCGTCTGTACGAACCGTCGCCCAGCTTGTCGCAAAACTTCGCCTCGGTCGCTCTGGAGATTGAGAATTCGCTGAGGGACAGAGGGTACATTGTTGTATATGATGCAGCTAGGAGAGGGTTATGGCATTTCCTATTTCTCACAAAGGATGAGGTGGAGAACTTGGACGAGGTGGGCGACAGCCTTGGACTGCCGCCCGATGTGCTCGAGCAGGGTCTCGTCGTGAAAGAAGAGGGCGTCATAGAGCCTCCGATAATGCCAAAGCCCCGTTCTCAGGCTCTTCAATCCGGCAACACGCCCGCGGGCCTCTTGTCAGCTAATCCAACGTTGGAACAAGCCCACCGTCCAGCCCTCTCCTCGCCTCTGCAAACCACTACGCCGTCCTCACAGGACCACGATTTCAAGGCCGAATCCAACATCAAGACAACAGCGCAGAGCTTGCTATACGAAAAGCTCATTACGGCCGTTTCCCTAACGATATCGACTGCTTTTTGTCGTCGAACTGGGGCGATCCCTCTCAACTACAGGACGATTTTAATATCCCCGACTACGTATAGCGCACAGCCACACGGAGTTGCCATCGGCAGACCCCAGATACTGGGCACATTTAGAGTATACTTGACAACTACCGGAGCACTGGTAATCGGTATTTCTCTCACCAAATGCAAAGGGATTCTGTCACTAGATGATACCGCCGCCTCCAGCCTGGCTCCTGCTGGCTACTCCGTCCTCGCGGCTCCTTTTGGCATCATGACTGCTACCCAGAATTTCGTTCCTGGCGACGGTGGCCTATCAAGCCTTGCTCAGACACCGATGACGCATTTTTTTAGCTTCCGTAACGGACTAGACGGGCAGGAGTCTCTGTGGAAGCAAGCTTGCCAACGATTCTTAGACTTCAGGGGAATAGCTGCATCGACGCTGGGGGGATGTCTCTGGGTAAATCTCCTGGTGCCCAAATCAAAGAGTGCGGATTCCAAGGGCGACTACCGATCTTCTGGCGCAACTTCCTCATTTACCCTACCGTGGCCAAGGCGTCTCTGTTTCCGCAAGAAGAATGTAGACGCATCCTCTGCTAGTCGCGTAGTAGATACTATGCTGAGCGGCCATGAAGAAAGCCACGATCCTCTTGGTAACGCAAAAGGCTGGCACAACTCTATTGCAGAAAGAGAAGAGAAGATCAAACGAGCAGCGGAGCGCGCGGCGGCTATACCCAAAGATTCGCAGCCGCAACCCGCAGATTCAAAGACACCTAAGCCGAGCGGCCTGTCTCCTGTGGCCTTCCAGCGCCCCAACACGGCAACAGCTGGTATCATGTATCCAACTCCACCAGACGGAGTCCAACAACCTAGCGGCGTTACTCCGTCAATGGATGGCACTTTTTCCAGTCCGGGCAATCCATTATCAGCACCAATCATGCCAGAAGCAGATATTACAATGCAAAATGAGCCGGTCGGGGGGGTTGGCCTCGACCAGTCTCCTAATGTCGCTGAACCCAAAAGACGGCGGAGTGATAATCTTCTTGGCGACACTGACAACGTGCTTGGAGGAGATGTAGGGGGAGATATATTTGATGACAACGATATTACCGAAGCTGACTTCAATTTCTTTGACGAGAAACCTGGTGACCTCGACCTCGATATTGCTATGGGCGATCTGCCTAGCTCGGAAATGGCCGCGTCCCAAGCTTCTGAAGAGCCCGCAAAACCTGTCGAAATCGTGCAACAGCCCCTGGCGCCGACACCCATATCCCTACCACTATCTGCCCCTTCTCTCCCTCCTTCAACGCCAACTCCAGTTCCCGCTGTGAGTCCAACTTCCGCACCTGCTTCTGCTCTACCAGCAGTGATCTCACTGCCGCCGCCGCCACCGCCGCCTCCTCCACCTCAGAAAGAAACGGCAGTATTTGCCAAGCCGGAATTAAAGCATGCCAGAAGCCAGAATGAAGATGCGGCCCGTCGAAATCGAGGAGATGTACGAGTTACACCCGCAAAGCGCGAGTCTAGCCCATTTGACCCTCATGCTGTTTTTAAGCGGGTAAAGGCGTCCTTGAAAAAACCCAAATATGATTCCTCCATCTCAGCTCAGCCTCACTGGAGGAACGCAAAGGTGTTTGAGAGCCTAGATTTCGATCCAGCGATACCAATGATTAGCAAAAAATACGAAAAAGGAGGTTTCTTCGACTTGAGTGCTCTTACAAAGGTCGAGAGAATGGAAAAGGCAAACGGTAATGTCCCATCTGTACCAGAGACTGACTATCTCAAACGTCATGGTAAACTTAACAGAAAACCAAGGGATCGGTCGACTGCTCGCCATACTATAGGCAAGCAATATTTTGCAATGGAGCCGCCAATATTGACAACCAGCCCCATGAAGTTGGATGGATCAATATCAGACCGAGAAGACGGCAACATGGAATCAGACCAGGACGACTCTAGCTACACTTCTGACGAGCCTGGATCTCCGCACAAGGCCAGCATCAGGTTGATGCATGGAGATGACGACATCATGTCTCAAATTACCTCCTTGAGAGACTGTGACATTGAAGAGCCCGATCATCAGCTGGCAATGGAGTTACCAAGGCTATCAAGGTCAGATATATCAGGAGTGTCCCTCTCTCAACTATTTCTGGATCCAGAACCATTATTGTTAGACATGGGCCTGAGCGACGAAGATGTTATTCAAATTGCGCAAATTGTGGCTGATCAAGCTGCAACTGGTTCGCTAGACATCTTCAATGCATCGGATTTTGAGCCTGCAACTCTGTCAGCGAGTGAAAAGCGCTCAGATCTATCTATACACGCTCGAGATGCATTTTACACACTTGAAGGCATTATTACGCATTTTTTCGAAGATGCAATGCCCGTACGTCTCAAGGGTCTGCTGGACATACAAGACTTGCCAATTCTGAGTCAGTTTATACCACGGCACGTAAATGGCAGAGAAGGAAATTCCGAGACTATGCGCCCAAGCAATTTATATCAAATTCCCAGTCCTCATTTGGAGGTACAAAGGGCAGACACAAAACTATCTGTTCTACCATCAGCGATTTCATTTTGGGAGAGTTTGGGCCTCTCACCTTGTTCTGGCAGCAAAAACATTAACGCGATTTGTGTCTTTCCTGGGTGGTCTGGAATGGGAGACAACGTTAAAGCCTTTATGGACCGCGTCAAGAGTATATATGAGCTGCTAAAGCTGGGCACCTTTGAAGTCATGCCTCTTGGCGAAGATGTGGAAGCAGGCCTGCTGCCATATGAGGTTGATAGAATAACCACTTCACCAGATGCCACTGTGACTAGGCACGGCTCAGCCATGGTTGAATGCATGGAAGCATTGCGTGGGGTATTCAGCAACCTCGCCATTACCGAGACGAATTTTGTCATATATTTTGTATATTCCCCCGAAAATCCCGGGACCATTATTGAATCTTGTACGGCATTTCAGCGATTTTACGAGTTGTACCAGAAGGTTCTGGCAAGCCGAAAAGAAGCTCCTCAGAATGAGCTGGTTTTGCAGCTGGTGTCCACAGATGTACTGTCCTCTCCATCAGCCTTGGTCATTACCCAGACTTCAGATCTTGTCAGACTCTGCATCGAAACATATGATCGCTGCACCTTATTTGGGGGCCCGATGCCAGCCCCAGCAATCAGACTCGAACAGTTGCTACCACGCATCATCGATTTCAAGCTGACCACGACTCCCTCAGCTTCCCTAATCCGCGAAAACTCATGCATTCACGTGGCATATTCCCAGAGTGTCGACGAGCGATGGGTTACTGCGGCGTGGACGGACGACAGGGGGAACCAGCAAGCGACAGCTGCCTACTGCATGGGAAGAAAAGGAAAGTCACCGTCTCGAAACATGAACGAGATCGCCAATGAAATATGGGAGACTACGCTTGAACTGATGTCTTCCTGGAGGGTTCTTTGGAGGGTCATTATCACTAAATGCGGGCCGATGCCGCAGCACGAGGTTGATTTCTGGGTTGACCTGGCTCGCACTGAGATTCATGCCAAGGTCACATTAGTTTTGCTTACTGTCGATTCAAACCCGTCGCTTCAGCTTTTGCCGCCGGCAATCAAGCTCCCTGCGCCCGTAGCTGCTCTCCATACTCCAGTTTCTACGCCGCAGCCTTCTATGCAGTCTCCGGAGCCTGTTGCTACTCCTGCAACGCCTGCAGCGAATGCTGCAGCCGCTACACCTTCCAACGATGGTACTGGCACAGCCGAGACCGAATCGGATGAAATTTTGGTAGACGTTAGCGATCAAACGTGGGGAGCTATAACTGGCCACCGACTAAGCAACTCTTCCAGCATCCTAGAGGTGCAGCTCTCTTTAATGAGTGGATATTTGATCAAACGGACAGGGCTCAGACTGGAAGATCCCCCCGTCGTCATGGAGGTCAATCTAATATACACAGAGACAACTCCACGCGTGCATGAACCTCTTTTACGAGAGATGCTGGGATACTTTAGGGGACTAGGCACGCTGGCAAGGGCGCGCGGAGTGGTGGATAAGGAAGGGGATGTACGACCCTGGCACGTTGCAGCGGCAGAAAAGGCTGTGCGTGCGCTGTATCTTTTAATGTGAGATTTTTTTTTTTATGTTTTCTCATGATGTTCGTTAATACCTCTCTATATGACGACGAACGTTGGAATATGTCATTTTGTTTTGGGGCGTTGAAACTTTTCTTTCCCCTTTTTCATTGGCGTTGGATACGGCATATGGCAGAAGGTGGCCTTTTTTTTTTTTTTCTGATTTAGGGAGTGATAGAAAGGGCGGAAGGTTTAAAGGCAGAACTCTCATAGTACACAGGGGGTGTTTTGTCTTTTTTTCTGGCATATCTGTGCATGAGGCTGGCGACGATGCTTGCGGTTTTGAGGGCGGATTTTGATATCGGGTGAGGAGGGAGGTGTGGTATTTAGAGCATATACATATAAGCCATTAGTTGCGAATGAGAGATGCAATATACGATGTCTATATGAACTAAAAATATTGCATCAATTTCTAATGTTCTTAATGGGAAGAAGCCTGGTCCCAATACCCTTATGAAGACTGCAAGTCCAGATGATTTCCTAGGCGGTGTAGTGCATCTACCGAATCGACCCGCTAAAGACGCTAATGACGCATACAAGCATCAATTCTTCAACCTGGTCACGCTATCGAGAGTGTCACCCATCTCCTCACATCTCTCTATTCCTTATTCTGCTTACAAAACTGGTAATATCGTTGAGGTTTCTGGTTAGGCGTTTTTTTTTTCTTTCACCATTTTCCAGAAGGAATAAAGGCTTGGGTCCGAGTGTGAGTCACTGTGTCTTGCAATATATTTCTGCCTGCGCCACTGTATCACGTTTAGTAAGTTTTAGCGGATGAATCATCCATCGCGTGAAGGCTCTGTATCATATGGAGACGACAGACAATTAGGACTTGAGCTGATGAGAAAAGGAACTGCGTTAAAGATGAATAGATAAAGGACTCTAGGAATCGTTTTTTTCTTGACTCTTCTTGTTGCTTTTATTTGCATTTACAAAGACGCATAAACACTCTATGAATTCGACTTTGGAGTAATCATAATGAACATGGCATCGCTGGGAAGTCTTCCCGGCGATCTCATCCTCGACATCGCCCAGCATCTTGATACGGCTCGAGATGTGGCCCATCTGGGAGCCGTGTCGAAGCACGCCCACACCGTCATGAACCAGAGCGGATGGCGCAGCTTCGTGAGAGCCAAGTTCCCGTCCATCAATGTTGCGCCAGGAGCCTTGACAGGGTGGAATGCCGTGGCAGACCGCTTGACGTATCTGGACCGGTGCTGGGATAGCCGTGGCTTTTCTTTGACCGTTTACGGGGAAAAGGCACCGGCACGGCCCAAGAGGAGGGAGTTTGCGAGGAGCAGGCAGTCGGTCAACTTCCACTCCGTCATGGATGCTACGACGCTCTCGTCAACGCAGGAGGAGATGCTGGTGTACGGCGCGGGGGAAAACTTGGTGTTTCGACGCAAGGAGGACGTGGGCGCGAGAGGCAAAGACAGCTGGAGCAAGTTGGCGGGTCGTGAAGCTGGCTTTGCGGCTGGGACGGGCGATGTGACAGCGATAAGCATTATCCAGCGCCAACAATTCCCCGAGGTGGTTGTTGGGAGAGCCACAGGGGATCTTCAGCTTTTATCTGCCAAAGACGAGACTTTATCGGATGCGTCTCAAAAGTTTGCGCCTGCGTACGACGTAAATGACACGTCCAAAACGCCATTGACGCGGAGATCTCCCGGCCAAAGAGCGGTGTCGTGGACGGAATGGCAGCCCAGCGGTCAACTTCTGGCGAGCTGCAGAAGCTCAGACTTGACGCTGTACAATCTTTCTGATACTGAAGAGGCGGCGCTCAAACCTATACTCTTCTACGACGTGTCCAAAGACAGCGCTGCAGATGAGATTTCGCTCTTGCGCAGCGTCAAGTTCATGAGCCAGGATGTGGTAGCTTGTGGACTCGGTGGCTGCAGTGATCCCCTGAGATGGGCCAAGATTCGACCTACGGGAATTGAAATGCTCAAACTTTCAAAGAAGGGTATTGTGGGAGACTCTGCGGACGGATCGGCTGAGAAGACGACTGTGCGTTCCATGCAGCCGGTTCCCAAGATGAATGAGAATCTGCTGCTCAGCGCTTGGGACGACGGAAGCCATAGGTAAGTCGGAGACTGAAATCTGCCCGTTCAAATTCCGCGGCCTGGGCTAATACCATGAACAGGCTCTCTGATATGCGGTCTCCACTGGGCCACGACGTCCTGTACCGTGATGGCTTCCAGCCATACCAGGCCAGCAGCTCACTGCTGGTATATGGATCCGAACGCTTCGTAGCAGGCAACAACTGCAGCCCCGACATTCGATTCTTCGACTTTCGATTCCCAAAGTCGTACCATTACACCAGCGCCATGCCTTGTTCTGCCGATGCTCCTACTCCCGGACGGCCTTTTCAATTCGGCGACATTGGCGAAACGAATGGGCTTCAGATTCAAACGACGGAGACTTGCAACCCTTCGTGTGGCCAGACATGTACATGGCACCGTCTGTCAAAACAGGACAGCTGGCGGCCCGACGCAGTCATACACATCTACAGCGCGTCCATGGACCGTGTGCACTGTCTCGCCAAAGCATCCGATCTATCAGCCTCCTTCTACTGCGGCGTCAGGGGAGCCCTCGTGGAGGCGACATACGCCCTCGGCGAGGACGTATATTCCGGCGCCGCAGTCTCGCGCAGATCGGCCCCAGAAGGATGGCAGGCCAGCGACCCCGAGGGAAGAGTCTCGCTCATGGAAACGGGCGTCGGTCTGCGTGATGGGGAGGCGCAGCTGGAGGAGCAGACGCAGACGAGGATGCCGGAGCTGTATTATTATGAGCGGTGGAGGATCCCGGAGGCGGGGAGTGAAGAAGAGGCAGACCCGTTTAAGAGGGAGCAAGGACGACGACTGGATCCGGCGTTGGTGGCTGGTAGAAGAGGCAGGGGCTGATGGGCGGAGAATGGTGTTCTTCTCATGAGATTACGACAAAACATGTGCGTTTTTTTTTTTTTGGTTTTTTTTTTTTTTTTTCATTTTCTTCTCGAAAAGTTTCATTTAATTGCATCAAGGCCGGACAGAGAAGTGTATAGATATGATTTCATAATACAAAGGGATACCGTTTCCATTCCGCAAAAAAGTCAAAACAAGCACGTTTAAATATATCATCTCTTTTTCATCTTTTTTTATAGCTTCGAGTCCGGCACAATCAAGGCCAGCTTCTCCCGCAAAGAGCTCTCAGCCTCCTTCTCAATACGCGCCACCAGCGCGCCGCACGTGGGAACATCGTGAATCAAGCCAATGACCTGGCCCGTCGTCCAGACCTATTTCATTCAGTTAGCAACAAAAGATATATCATACTTTTTTTATAAAAAAAAAAAAGGAGGGGGGGAACTCACGCCAAATTCCGGGTCGCCATTGACAAACACCTCCTTGCCCCTCTTGCCGCTCACATACGACGCCACCTCTGCAAACTCGCCCGTCTGGCTCTCCTTTTCAATCTTGAGCGCATCCAGCGCGACCTTGTTCTTGAACAGCCGCGTCGTGTTGGTCCACCGCCGCAGCAGCAGCGTCGTGTCCGTCTCCTGCGCCTTGACAATCGCGTCCTTGATGTTCTGGTGGATTGGCGCCTCGACGGTGCACATGAAGCGCGTGCCCATGTTCACACCACACGCTCCCAGCACCAGCGCCGCCGCCAGCCCCTGTCCATCGGCGAATCCTCCCGAGGCAATAAACGGCGTCTTGAGCGTCTGCCGCGCGCGGCTCAACAGGATAAAGTTTGTAATGTCGCTCTCGCCGACGTGGCCCGCGCACTCGAAGCCGTCGATGCTCAGAAAGTCGACGCCCAGCTTGACGGCGCTCTGGGCGTGGCGGATGGTGGTGCACTTGTGCAGGATGATGACGCCGGCGGCCTTGAGCTGGCGGATGACGGGGCCGGGCGAGTTGCCCGCCGTCTCGACAATCTTGACGCCCTCGTCGATGATGGCCTGCGCGTAGGCCGGGTAGTCGGGCGGCAGCATCGACGGCAGCAGCGTCAGGTTGACGGCGAACGGGTTCTTGGTCAGGGTGCGGCAGCGCTGGATCTCGGCGCGGAGGGCCTCGGGGCTGGTGAAGATGAGGGCCGTGATGATGCCTAGACCGCCGGCGTTGGAGACGGCCGCGGCGAGGTCGGCGGTGCCAATGTGCATCATGCCGCCCTGGACGACGGGGACTGCAGATGTACGTTTAGCCCGGTTGGCAGATGGAGCATCATGAGAAGAGAGAAGACTTACCGCGGATGCCTAGACGGCGCGTGAGCTCGGTGTTGAAGGGCATCGTGGGAGTGACGTTTGCGGGATGCTCGTGTTGTGGCGTATGCTTCTATGTCTCTATTCCTGGCCGCGTTGTATATATGTCTATCGCCCGCAAATTTAAAAGTATACGTCGGTATATCCCAAGAAAAGAAAAGAAAAGAAAGAAAAAAGAAAAATCCGGGGAATCGAAAAGACTGATAAAAAGGTCAGCTCAGCTCACAATAAGCCCCCGGGACGCATTCAGAGAGGTTGCCGTCTCCCGAAATAGCCTGTGCCGAGGCAACTTTTTGTTCCCCAAGTTCCCCCATAATAAAATCGGGCTCCCTTGCATTTGGCTCGGCCCCGCAGCCGCCCTTTTTCTTCACATGATATTGAAACATACGAGGTGCACGCAGAAATACTTGATGGTGCCGTTTTAATTCGTTGATTTTTCTTGTTAAATTACAAGTATTTATATTAAACTCATGATCAAGGCATGTCTATACTATGTAGCAGTCCTAACCGCCGTATTTTGCTGCTCGAGCGTCTTCATGTCAACGCTACTGTACGACTTCCAACCAGAAAACACAGTCTAGCACTAAACACATGGGAGCAATAGCGGGTATTAGTGATGGCGCTACTTTATTTTCTGGGGAATGAGTAATCCAAAATCAGCAACATTAGCGAGTGCGAGCTGCCATATCGCGCCTCTGTCGTCTTTCACCTTGGGTTTTGTTTCCTCGGTTGTCGCTCATTGCTTTACAATCGACCCCAAAATTAGCCTCAGCAACAACCTGAATTCATTGATTAGATGATAAATTCAATGCCAAGTAGGTTTTGCCACTCATAACCTTCTCTCACTCCTCAATAACCGAGTTACCATCAAGGAGAGCTAGTATAAGCCGTGTTGGCCATGCTGCTACATTGGCGTGATACAAACGTTTGATGTCACAGTATGCTACCCAGATGTAATGTAAAAGAGGGGTATTTTTTGCCAATTCGTTCCTAGCAAGCTGTCTGTTCCAAACATACAAATCCCGTCACTCCTACCCGATACCCAAACGCTTCCATTCAACTTGCCACTCATATCCAACCAAATACTAATCCAAGCCATGCCATACCGTAGTTTGACCAAAGAATATAAACCGTATCCTATTCACAAAGTTTCCCGTTTCGTGTCCCGTTCATCCATTTACTGCAAGCCATTTCTTGCCGCAGGTATGCTATTTACCCCAGTAGGGTATCCTGTGTGCTCAAATAACGCCTGTTGTTTTTAGTTCAAGACTGCTTGTAGTCTTCCATGCCCTACACATCTTTAACCAAAAGTCGTCTGGCGAATCTGATGTGATTTTTGTTTTCAGCCTCAGTTCATAGTTGCATTGGACGCCATGGACACGCGATCTCTCGGCTTGTCCACCAAATCAGCATACCCGTCCAGGCTGGCACCCATCGTCTTAATCATATCAAAGATGTGAGTGCCCTTGAACGTCTCTGCCCAGAGCCGCACTACTGCACTTGCCAGCTGTCTCAGCTTCATGGGGCCTGTTGTTGCTTCCATCTGCGGGTTTGCGTTCATTCCGGCCAGAGATGGATCAACTGGAACAGCAAACTCAGTTTCGTCAAGCATCCTGCTCACTGTTTCCAAGAGATTCTTCTCGTCGAGAGTAACAGGAGCATCAGACGGTGTAAGTGACGCTAGGGTCAAGAGCCACTTGGCAAGAAGCAGAGCGCACTCAAAGTTACACACTATAAAATCAGTTAGTCGTCTTGCGCTTCCGAAATATCATCATCACTCTGTAATGGAGTATTATATAAAGAAAACGTATAACTCACATGAATGCTGGATGCTCCATTCGGTAGACTTCGTCCTCGCGACATAATTCACTCCAGCCTTGACTAGCATAGACAGTGCATGAACAGCTTGAAATACTGCTCCGTGAAGTCGAATGCTGCGCACAACCATTGGAGTTGAAATCATGGCCGATGCCATGAGCATCGAGTCCCTTGACTGCAGCTCTCTGCTTAGTGGCGTATCAGTATACAAACGAATATATGCAAGGCGCAACAGCGCTGTCGCGTTGTATGCCAATAGGCCACCAGGGGCAAAGTCTGTGCTAGCAAAGGGCCCTGAGCCTGTTGCAAGCAGGTAGTGATGCTGCTCAACGGTGTTGTGCCACACTCGCAACGCGCCCGTGACCTCATCCACATCCTCTACCTTCAAGGTACGCTGGGTCTCAAAAGGTAAACCAGCAGCTAGCGAAGTCTGCTTCAGAAAATAAATGTGCTGAATCAGTGCGTGGATGAGGACATAGAAACCCAGCGAAGATAAATGATTAGGGAGTCCCTGGTTAGTTCGGCCGAAAAGTCGAGCGATAGCCTCATGAACGGTGATCTCAACCAATGGCGTCGACTGTCGCAGTTCTTGCCATTGCCAGGCAGTCTCTGCTCTCCACAGCCTAGCAGGAAGAGGCAAGGAAAGCTTGAGCTCCGATGTAACCAGAAGAGGTGGCAAATCATATGCAATGCTGCAAAGGTTGAAGAAGGAATATGCAATAAGTTTGGTTCTCGTCGCTCCTTCACGTCTAATCCACGATTCCCAGTCCGTGACACTCGCTTGGCTTATGTTCTCGGTGAGGCCCTCCTCTCGAATCAGGATAGCCAAAGTACTCTGCAGGGACAGTGCTTCATTCAAGATTGTCTTAGCTCCCCAAAGGCCCAGCGAGAAGAGAAGCAAGACGGCCTGGATAGTTTCCAGCCGTGACTGGGGCGTATTTGGAGAACTATAATGAAAAGTATGTGTTAGTCGCACTCACAGAAGGCAATGTGTGCATAAAAATGTCACTTACTAAGGTTCTCGGTGTGTATCTTGAGTTATTGGCCTCTCTGACTGAGCTGAAGCAAAAGAATGCCTGTAACTAGTGCTAGGAGAAGGACGTGTCGAGTGAGGACTGTAAGATGATGCGTTTGGCAAAAGCGCATGAATTTCCGAGCTGTGTCGCCTCCGTATCTGCTCCATGGAGACTGCCTTGGCAGCATACCACAGAGCATAGCCCCTCTTGCTCTCGAACCTGTATTGGGCACCAACGGCTAAAATAGCGAGAAGTAGCTCTGGGGCCAGCTCGGTGGGGGACAGCGTAGGCAGATGCAAGAAGGGAATCTGTTCATGAAAACCGCCAATATATCCGTCCAAGAATCGTGTCAGAGTATGTCGAGAAGGAAATACAAAATCAGCCGGCAGAACAGACGAAAATTCTTCCAAGCGATTCTTGATGGCAGTATGGTCCACCACGGAGATGCGAAGAGGGGATCGAGATGCCTCTTCGTGCAGTCGAGAGGGATCTTGTACATCAGGAGCAAGAGACCCAAAGCGAGAGGGTAGCTGTGAATTGGGCTTTGAATTGCCACGCTGAAACGCAGCAGGAGAGCGCGCGAAAAAATTCATCTGCTGATCAGGCTCAAAGTGTGGAGGGAGGAAATGCTGGGGCGTTGTGTAATCGTCAAGGAACAGGTTGTAGTCATCATAGGACGGCTGTGGAGGTTGGGGAGCAAATCCAGCGGTAAGAATCGGTGCATCTACTCGTGCGCGCTCCGCATACCCTTCCATGTTATCTGGATAACTTTTGACTCTTGCGTGCGTAGGAGGCTGTTGGGGCATGTTGTTCAGCATAGGCTGCATAGTATTTACTTCACTAGCGAGTGCTGCATCGGAAAGGAGATCCAGGTTGCATGCCGCAGTTCTTGCTGCCGCTTGAGGATCCTGTTGGACGAGATGGCCTCCGGCATTTGGAGTCATGGGCTCATGGTGAAATGGGGGCGGAGGTGCCTGAGTCTGATGCTGCTGAGGCGGCGATGGCTGTGGAGGCAGCAGCGTGGCAGTAGCCGGTGGAGGTGGTGGAGGTGGCCGCAGCCGGTGAATGCCCATGACATCGAGCTCAACATGGCTATCTGAAAGAGATGGCTTGTGCATAGAGGCCCCAGAGAGCTTCCTTGGTCGGGTGGCATCCTTATGGCCTTCGTTGAGGTGAACGAGCTTCTCATGCCGGACGAGGAGATCTCTGATGTCCATGTAAGTATGTATAACTAGACGCAAGGGGGATGAGCTATAGGAAGGGATCGTGTAAGTGCAGCGATGAGGCGAGAGGTAGAGAGAGTGGATCAAGGTGAAAGTAGAGACAGATGGTGTTGAAGTTTGGGCTAGAAGCTTAGGTAAAAGCTAGAAGACGATATGCCAGATGAGGGGAAAGGGGGGAGTATGTAATGCAGTGAGGAGGCGCGGGTACTGCTATGGGTACAAGCACCACATGCCATCGCCTCGCATCACATCATACCGAGCCGCACCAAAGGCAAGTATCCATCGTGTGAGGAGGGGGAAGAGATCAGGATGGCATCGGGGAGAGTGAATTGATGAGAAGCAGCTTACCGTCGTCCAAAGGTCTTCCCACATCGATCCCAGCCGCAGGCAAAGGGCTTCTCTTTGGTATGTGTCCTTTCATGTCTTTGGACATGTTCAACGCGTCTGTAATTTGAAGAAGAGAGACCATGTGAGCAACACGGCACAAAACAGCAGAGTCGGACAAGCACAAGATGGGGGAAGCGGTGCGGAGCGGGCTAGACTGACCTGAATCGCTTGCTACAGTACTTGCAAGGCAATGTCTTGGGCTTCTGATTGCGGTTTTCACCCATATCGGCGAGGCCAAGGGCGCTGGCTTGGCCTGGCGGTGGAAGACCGGCCGGCCCCTCGAGGGTCTGGAGGGCAAGCATTACGAGAACCAGAGAATAGCGACAGGTCGTACGAGTATAAGATAGTGTCAAGGAATGGAGTAGCAGCGAAAGTAACAAGACAGGATAGGACTATCAGGCTATACAGATTTGGGGGTGGATTGGATGGTGTGGGGGATGGGCTCGATCAAAGGACGGCAATTGAATAAACAATCAGAGCCCCAACAAGACCCGGCTCTCAAGGCCAGGAGAGAAGGAAGAGAGAGAGACGAGACACAAGGCCCAGAGGAAGCAGCAGTGTGGGGTTGGACAGGCTAACACTCGGTCTGCAAATGCAGAGAGTCGCTTAGACGTAAGTGACCGACTATGTAACCGGCTGAGGAGAAAGCTGACGAGGACAGCCCAATCAAGCCTCGTTGTTGAGGCTCTGTCTCATCAGACAAGCGCCAGGCCTCGGCGAGCTCAGCAGATTCGGCTGGCAGCGGATGTCTCAGTTGCGGGCTGTTTGTCCGCGCTGCAGGCGAAGGCAGACGGCGAGACGAGATGTGACGGAGCACAGACGATAAGCAATCCGGCGAGGCAAAGCGATGGAAGTCCGTCAGGATAAACCAGGGCCCCAGCACGCAGACGGCGGCTATAACGTGGAGACGGCACAGGGCCAGAGCTCTCCCGATTTGGAGACGACTCGAAGTACTGCGTAGTATCGGGGGAAAGGACCAGTTGAGGGCGTTGCGCTTGGAACCGGTCAGTCGCGTGCCGCCATCCGTTGGGGTTGGAGTTGAAGGGGAAAACAAGAATAAAAGTCCAGGCCGGACGTCGCTGGGATATCGCCTGAGATCGACGGCTTATACCTGGTCAGGACGTGCTTTAGCCAGCGGGAAACGAGCGGTAGCACGGTCAATGCCAGCACTGCTGCCAATCAATTCTCATGCTCAAGACGGCTCGACTGGCGGATGGGATGGCAGAGAGAAGCTCATCTGGCCCGGCTGAGCTTTCAGTGTCTCGGGATACGGGATGCTACAAGGTACAGGGTTGTGTCAAGCGGGGAAAAGCTGAGGGGGAGTGTGGGCTGGGCTGGAGAAGCAGCCAAAACGACAAAGCCAAAAAGGCCCCCAGGCGAGCTAAAAGGCGGAGAGAGGCGGGGGAGAAGCAGCAGAGGCAAACAGGCTGCGTCGTGCAGGTACCGGTACTTGTGCTGCCCGCGCTGGGCAAACTCCAGCAGAAGCCACAGTACCGCCATGACACATGGATATGCTCAACTCCTGGCCTTGGCCCGAGTTGACCGTTTTCGTGGTGCGCGTGCTAAGCCGGCCTCGGCAAGCCTGAGATCTCGAGCCTCGAGAGGCGTCCCAGCCCGGCCCACTGTGGACGCTCAAATGGCACTCGAATGGCACGAGCATATAGCAGAGGCTGCAGCGCGTCCACGGCTGCTTGTAATCTCGTCGCGCGCGAGAGCCGTCCGGAGGAGTCGACGTCGTACAAGTACATCTGCGCTGCAGTGGCATGCCGCCATCCATGCTTGGTCTTGGAGACGGCCCAGGCTATTGATTTGGGGCCTGTTTTTCCTTCATCCTTTCGTTTCCTTTTCGTCTTCCCTCTTCTAGCCTTCCCGCCTAGTCACTCGTCTCTCCCCCCATTCCCCGTGTCCTCCTTCTCTGCAGCGGCTCTCTAATGCGATGCCACTCAGTGGTGGCCCGCGTAGTGTTCGCTGTGGGGGTAGTGCCCGGACTTGGAGCTGGTGGATACGGGGCATGTAGGCTGGCACGATGTACCCCACGGGGAGACCAGCATCGCTCGGCATTGGATCGTGGGCTCTGCTGCTCATGCAATCCCGGATCATGCACATGTGCTGGGCTGGGTGCTTGTTGCAGTGTAGCCTTGGTCGGCACTTTTCTGGCACGGGCTGCGGAACATGATCTGGCGCAGTCCAGCTGCCTCCTGTATCCGACAGCAGCCGATTAGATAAGGTAAGCATCAATCCGCACATACTGTACATGTACATACCTACCTAGACTGTAAATGCAACCAAACGCCTTTTTACCCGTCTCTACTCCCTGTGGAGCACCCTAGAGATGCATGGGGTATTAATTGGCATTCTCGGGAAACCACAGCAAAAGATGGTGAATTCGCTGCTCTGTTCTCCAATTCATCAAGCCCAAGTGACAACGCTAAATTAGGGTTCATTATTTTATCCCATTTGGGTAATGCACTCGCATGACGTAAAACATATGCTAGTAATTGACCGTGGTGTTTCCTAGTGCGTACGGTAAACTACTACGATGCTTGGCAACAAGCTAGTCGATACTCCATAGAAAAAGAAAGTACTGTAATATTGCTGTGAATACAATGCAACTTTTAATTCACTATGCAACTGAATCAAGAATGATACATTCATTAATCAGTTATAGTAAAACATCGCCCATCACAGCCACCTTATTTTAAAGAGAGGTTACTTGCAGAGATCTCTCATTTCCTTAATGCGAGCGCCTTGCCCACCTACATATCTTGTAGATAACTGGCTAGGAAATATAACGTTCACGCGGGTCCGAGCAGTAAGTGGATTATTTCAAAAATGTCGAAATTTATCGCGAGAGTCAAGTTGTATAGGTTGATAAGTGAAAATGAAGTGAGCCTCATCACTACAATCTCAGATTAGCCAACTTGCATGCAAACGACTCTATCTAGCACTGACTGCCTTAAAAAGTCATTCCAGCTTTCCACATAATAAATATTTATTGACGCGACAGCGAGGTGCACCTTCTTCTTTCTCCTTTCATCTCACCACCGCTTGTTAATTTACCTCCCCGTCCGTCTTTCAGTTTCTTCATCATTCTACAAAGCCTTATCCATCCGTCTTTCAGTTTCTTCATCATTCTACAAAGCCTTATCCGTCATGGACATGAATATCCCACGATCAGAGATAGGCCTTCTGGCTGATGAAATCATGGAGCAAGTTGCAAAATGGGAAACTTATGGCGAGCAATCCGGGACATCGCTGCCATCTGTCAGTTTCGACACTCGTACTCCAGTCTTGACGGTCCATACTCCAGATGATGTCCTTGAAGCCAGGGAAAAGATCATAGAGTCGGCATTCAAGCTGCTCCAGTTAGCAGCAGGCCCCTCCAAGTTCGCCTCAATTGCAATATCTTATGTAAGGATAGAAACCTTCATCTTGGCTACCAAGACTGATGGGAAGTGCCCTGGATGCATGCTAATGAGCTATTACAGTCCCAAACTATTATGGCCCTTAAATGGCTGTTCCACTTCAATATTTTCGATCTTGTCCCCGAAGAGCCGATTGGATATGATGCACTGGCAGTGTCTGCGAATGTCCCAGTCTTTGAGCTCAAGCGGATGCTACGACTTGTCATGGCCAGCTACATATTTTCTGAGCAGGTGGATGAAACGGTGCAACACAATACAATCTCGAGGGCATTTGCTCATGACGAAAACATGAGACGGGGCATCCCCTTCTTCTGCGACGTCGTCATACCAGCTGCAGCAAGAATGGAGGACGCAACAATTCGCTGGCCTGGCTCGGAGGATTCAGATGAGACCGCTCGCAACATAGCTCTAAACGATGACTTGCCCTTTGATGAATATCTGACTGAGTGCAACCAAGCTGAGGGATACACTCGTCTGATGAAGCTTCTTGGCAGCGAGCCTTTTCGACAGAATGTCTACTCGGCTAATGTTGTTCAAGGATTCGATTGGGCAAGTCTACCTAGGGATTCACTGGTTGTGGATGTAAGAATATGTTTTTGAACTTTTCAGTGCGATTTAAATGACTTGCCGCTGATACCTACGCTTATAGGTCCGATCAGGTAGCTCATGCTGCTAGGAGCTAGCTGAACTATTTCCTCATCTTCAATTCGCTGTTCAGGGTCCCGAGGATAAACTTGACATCATGAAAGATTTTGTCAGAATGAGAAACCCAGGGCTCTTGACCCAAATCAACTTCTGCCCCCACAACTTCTACGGGGAGGAGCTCATCCACTCAGCTCGAGTGTATCTTCTTGCCGGCACTCTTGAGAATCTACCCGATGACGACGTCAGAGAGATATTGAGATGTGTCTCAAGCGTCATGGCGCCCACATCAACAATGGTAATCGTTGATTCGGTACTGCTGGAGCCAGATGATGAAGAATCAATGGCAGCGCAGAGGGAAAGTCGATGCCGCGATATGACCATAAGACAGTTGCATAACTCTGGCGCCAGAACATTGCTTGAATGGTCAGACCTTATTACCAGCGTTGACGATGGCAGTATGTACTTGGAGGATTCCAAAAGCGTGCCGGGCAGCATCTTAAGAACCATGGTTGTGGAACCTTTTTGAGTGTGTATGTCGCGCATCGCCCAAAGGGGAGAGACTGACTTGACGACTCAAATTATAACAGTCGATTTTATTTTTGGTAGAATTAGCTATTAAGTACTAGGCTGAATATCAGAAAAATTTGACATCTTTTGGGCGATGTGGGGTGAATTTGAGGGCGTGATGATGAATGCTGCAGCTGGAGTGTAGATGATGGCAGTAGTGCACAAGTTCCCGCTCCCAGCACGGTCTGTCAAACTTTATCTGCTTAAGCCTTCACAAGCACCCCAACTTTCTCCATACACTAAACAAACTACAGCTAAAATCTGCTTCATCAACCACCAAAAAACTTCTTTTGCTACCTATTCAGCCCAAATTTCTCTCTGAGAGTGCCATAAAACCCTATATAACAACTCACAATCAATTCAACTCCATTCGCATCTCGCAATGGGCCAACACTCCGATCCCGACTCCCCCCCTCCGAGGAGACCCTACAAGCGACCAGCTGAAGACGACCTGCAAGACGACCTCCCTCAGCCGTACAATGCCAACTCTCTCCAAGCACCCAAGCGACGCGCCATATCCCCCTCCGAGCAGCCCAGAAAGCAGAAGCGCCCTGGGGCGCGAGCCCGCTTCTCCGAGGCCGAGCGGGAGGCCATCCGCCAGCGCCAGCTCGAACGCGATCGTCAAGCCGCCGAAGCCGTCCAGGCCGCCGAGGCGAGCAAGATACGAGGCATCAACGATGTCGTCAGAGAGCACTACAACAGCGTGCCCCAGCGGGGACGCGACTGGCGCACCCGCGAGAGCAAGATCAAGGGCCTGCGCGTCTTCAACAACTGGGTCAAGAGCTGCATCATCCAGCGCTACTCGCCCGACGAGGACCACGATCCTGGCTCGCGGGAGGCGGGACGCTCCAGCGGCAAGGAGCTTCTCGTTCTTGACATCGGCTGTGGAAAGGGCGGTGACCTCAGCAAGTGGCAGCAGGCACCGCAGCCTATTCAGCTCTACGTCGGCTTGGATCCCGCCAACGTCAGTATCGAGCAGGCGAGAGATCGATATCGACAGATGGGCTCTCGCGGGGGCCGAGGTGGTCGTGGCGGGCGATTCAACCATAGGCCACCACCTCGTCTCTTTGACGCGCGCTTTCACGTCAAAGATTGCTACGCGGAGAGCATTGAAGACGTCGAGATTATCCGCCAGGTCGGCTTCGACCCGTCCACGATGAACCGCCGTGGCTTTGACGTTGTGAGCATGATGTTCTGCATGCACTATGCTTTCGAATCCGAAAACCATGCCCGCACCATGCTTCGCAACGTCGCTGGCGCACTCAAAAAGGGCGGCCGCTTCATCGGCTGCATTCCCAATTCCGACGTTCTCGGCGAGCGCGTCCGCATCTTCAACGCCGAATTAGCTGCTAAGCGGAAAGCCAAAGAGGATGAAAAGAAGGAAAATGGCCAAGAGTCCACCACCCCCACAACCACGCCACCTCCCGCAGAGCCAGAGGACGGCGAAGTCGAAGAGGGCGAGGCCGAACCGACAGCCGAATGGGGCAACTCAATCTACCGCGTGCGTTTCCCGGGCAAGACCCCCGAAGATGGCATCTTTCGGCCTGCGTTTGGGTGGAAATACAATTTCTTCCTGGACGAGGCCGTCGAGGAAGTCCCCGAGTATGTCGTCCCCTGGGAGGCCTTCCGTGCGCTAGCCGAAGACTTCAACTTGGAATTGCAGTTCCACAAGTCCTTTTCGGATATTTGGGAGACGGAAAAGGATGACCCTGAATTGGGACCCCTGAGCGAGAGGATGGGCGTTCGTGAGAGAGGCGGTGGCAGACTGCTAGTCTCGGATGAGGAGATGGAGGCGGCCAGCTTTTACATCGGATTTTGCTTTTACAAGGTGTAATTGCAAGGCGTTTGCGTCTTTTGGATTTGTATCATCTTTTAATGCAATAGAGCTAATGACTTTTATGTTTACTTTTTACCTTTTCTTCTTTCTTTGAACCAACGGCTTTTTTAACCTGCTTTTCAAGAATAACAAACTTTTTTTTAAACCAAATCAAACGTTCAATAATTATATATTCAACAAACCCACTAAATATGTAAACCGGGTATCATACGCTCCAATCTATCCTTTTCGCTTAATCTCCCAGGAAACCCCCTTTAAGAGGAAACACCCTCTCCACGATCAAATATCACCAACAAGCACGCTGCTACAAACGACAAGCAAAACACTAAAAGTAACGAGTGTGGAGGAAGTAGACGATTGGCCATGTGCTTGTGACAATCTTTGCAGCGACATCCTATAAGGCGTTTGTAGATCGTCTCCAAATCATAACTGCTGCTATCGCCGCACATGCCGTTGCGCCCAGAGTAAGATACAGGCTCGTCCGGTCAATCATGTCGTCATCGCTCTTTGGGAAAGCAATGCTGGGGTTTGCTGCTGCCTCTGCGAGAGCGACGAAAAGCTCACTGATGCTGTTCCATGTAACGCTGACGTGTAAAGGAGAGCTCATGTTGAGCGACGATGTATACTGGTCGGGCTGAAGCTCGCTTCGCTGCATGGTCTTGTCCCTATCTGCTTTGAGTGCGGTATATACAGATGGCAGCTCGTCCAGCTGCGGGTGCTTTTTCCGTATATCTACGATGTGAGAAAAAGAGTCGGGATCAGAAGAGTCGTATGCATAACAGAGAAGGTCACAGGCGTCCAGTTTCGCTTGGTTTTCCAAGATGGCTGGTTCCAGCTCGCCCAGTTCTTCGAAGATGAGGTATACTTGCTTTCCGCCAGGGAGCTCCACGCTATTGACCGCTCGTCGTGGCTTGATTGTAGGGTGATACAGGCCGTCAAACGTCCGATTCAGAAAAGCATCCAGGAGAGACGATTTGCCCGCCCCCGACGCACCGAGAATGTAACAATGGAAGACGTTCCTTTCGACACGGCCGGGCCGCCTCCGCCTCTTGCGCGGCTTTGTAACCTTGAGTGCTGAGGTAATTGGGTCTTTTGGGTTAGGGGGCTCGAAACCGAGGTAGGCCAGGTACTCTAGAGTCGTCTTTGGCTCTAAAAAGGTGGTCATGCTCCATTGTGCCAGCCAACCTTGAAGTGTAATGTACCCGCCCTCATTTCTGACTGTTGAGGATGGAAAGGCAGAGTCTGACCAGGATGGTGGTAGTCCAGGGGTGGGAGCAAAAAGAGCCTCGAGTTCTTCGTCATTCAAGCCACCATCGTTGTCTTTGTCGAAGAGCAGAAATAGATCTACAAAGAACCGGTAGCCAGCTGGACTGAGCTCGGCCGAGCAAAACTCTGGGACTTCAAATTTTGGATGGAGAAAGTTTTCTTCCAAGCTTAGACTGTCCGTGTGGTGGTATTTGCGCAATATGATCCAGATGGTTTCATGTCTGCCTTTCTCGGCGTACATCTTGTTCAGTTGCAAGAAGCTTCTCAGATCGATACCCTTTGATAGATCTGCGCCCCGAAGTGCTTTAGACAGGGAGAGTTTGATATTTTCGAGTTCATCGTCTGTAAGAGGCTTATCAAAACACCGAGATTGAAAGTCTCGCATCTCCTGGTTATCGAGGTAGCCGTCTTGGTTCTTGTCGCAAAGGTAAAATATCCGCTTCAAAGCATCGACACACGCCGGTTTTAGATGGCCTTCTTTGTAATCGAAGAGGGGGGCAATCGGATGGGTCACGGCTTTCTGACATAGAAAGAAGACTTCGTTGACGTTGCGATGCTCCCTTGCGCTGGTCCTGATACATGAGTCGATCTCTCTAAACTCAGCCATGACTGGAAGCATCTCCTCCTCCACCACCTGCGACGTGCTGCTCTGGCCCACCAAATCTGACTTGTTTGCGCATAGCACAACCGGAACATTGACGCCCAGTGATCGAAAGTAGGGCATCCAAAACAGGGCTACACGTTCGTAGCTATAGTGGTCGGCATACACAAGGAGGATAACATTGCATTTCCGGATTTCCTTGCGCAGAGTCGTTCGGTCCTGGGGCCGGGCCGAAGTATCAACAATTGTCGTAGTGACGTTCTCTGGCGTTCCGATGCTTGGGGGGATAGATATTTGGGGGAGGACGGGTTGGATCTTGTTGGTCATGAACTGGTCCTTAACAAGAGATGCAATCAGGCTGGATTTGCCTGTGCTCTCGTCGCCGCAAACGCAGATGCGCACTGAGAGAATTAAGTATCATGTCAGCTCAGTTCAGCCCAAGGCTCGCAGTCATCAATAATCGTCCCAATGAGGCTTCAGATGATGGTTTGCGACAGGTGAATCGACTCGGCACTTACCTGCTGTCGGCATTGTGCAAGCTCTATAGTCGAAGCCCGGTATGCCAGAGTTGGGGTTACCTCAGGGCCATATCCTTCGCAGCAACGAGGTCCGGGTATCAATCAATTCAGGCGTCAACGTATAATAGCCGTAGAAATCGAGTTGCTGCTGTCAGTGGAGCCACAGCGACGAGATGGGAATTCTGGTGCTTCCACGTCACAGCCCATGCGCGGTTGCAGGATGCTTTGCTGCAGCTAAATTGCCCGCGGGGCTGCGTGGGATGGATGGCATGGGCTGATTTGGCAGGCGGTGACGCATGATGCTCTGTGGGCCGAGCGCCTGACGCAGTTTTGGCGCTTGGTGTTAGTGCTGGCTGGTGGTGGTGTTCGCGTTACGCACGCCTGGAGAGCGCCTGTGCCTGTGCCTGTTTCTGCTACACCTAGTACTGTAGATGGGAGGACACGAAATAATGGGGGGGACCCCTAATGCTACAGTAATGGATTTAGAAGTGGTGTGGACAGCAGCTAGCACAGCATCTTGCTGTGTATTGACCCATGCTCTGCGTTTGCTTTGCTCCGTGTTCTGTCTGATGAGGCAATTTCCAGGGAGCTTTACTGGGTACAAGATACCATCATATGTAGATAGCAAAAGCTGGATCCAGCTGTCATCATTTCAACCCTAGCTGCGGCCAGCACAACATCATCTCGTCTAATATGGGACAGATAATAAGGAGCTTGGGCCTATGGATTCGCTGCTCGAAGAACATCTTAGGGTTTAGTGGTCCAGCGGTTGCCCGTTCCATGTGCGCACCAGCCATTGAGCGTCCAGGCATCGCCCAAATCCCCACCGAGAGCATCACTGGTCGCCTATAATTCGTTACCCCACACGCTATTCCTCCATCCTGGTCCTAGTCCAGCAGTCTATCAGCTCTCCGGATAAAGAGGCCGGGCTAGCAACGGCGTCGCAATTCCATCCGCCGTTGGGGGATGTTCGAATCCATTCCTCTTGGTGCTTCAGGTCAACCGCTTCGTTTCGAGCAGCAGATAATTCGAGCTTTCCTCGCGACCCCCGTCCGTGTCGTTTGCCTCGCCGTTCACCCCGCTCCTTTCGTCATTACGACGTGCGTACCTTGAATCGATTAAGCAGGCCTTTTTGCGCGACAACTGCGACTCCTTCATCACCGGCTGCCTCATCAGATACGAGACGCAATCCTCCTCGCCGGGGCTTCGTTCTGACGGATATTGCATTTTCTTTGTGACAGGCTATACTCTAGTACATTACCGATATGTTGTGCGTATTGGCCCTTTGTCTTTGGCCTCCTGGTCTGCTGAGCCTGCAGCTGATAAATGCTCGCGACTAACAAGAGCAGTGTTTTACCTCCTCCTCCGCGGTATCCCGCTGGCGCCTATGGCGTCGGCCTCGGGGGCGTCGTGCCCCTGATCGAGACCAACAATACACTGTCGAACCCGAGCGGACCCGAGTTTCGGTTCCTGGTAGGAGAGGGTAGGCCAACCGCAATGCGGCAGCACAGATGTGACATCTCCAGCTGACAGGAGGGCGTACAGGAACATATGTGCTCAAGGAAGACTTGAACCTGGCCACGCCGCCACCCCATCCGTCCGAGGCGCCTGTCGTCAACCCGAATCCCCTGGCTACGACCCCTCAGCCTGCGACTGCCGGAACAAAAATGTCGATTCTTAGTCTGGAGTCCCGGCCACCTCCCTTCTTCTACAGAGGTCCCTCTGCTACGACGCTGTCGTTGACTGGTGGGACGTTGAGTATTCAAGAACATCCCAGCGAAAGCCGATACTCGACTGAAGGCGGCATGAGTAGCGACGATGGCCGCGCGGCGTCGAGCGAGGGCCCAGCTGCATCTACTACATTCGGCTCTGCTCCCGCATTTGGCGAAGGAAACTCGCTGCTAGCACCTACGGTCTCGAAGGACGTAAACAAAAAGAAGAAGCCCAAGAATAATGTTACTAAGAGCAACTCTTCTTTCATCTCGCGTGTCATTGTTAATGATAGTTTGGCGCGAAAGCTGACGGAACGACCGCTTGATGGACTATTTGCCTTTGCCAATATTAACAGGGCATTTCAGTGGCTGGACATGTCATCGCCGACAAAGGTAAGTTCTTGCTGTGCGGGACATGCCACAAAACCTGTTACTGGGTCATATTAACGACCATTCTAGCAAGATTATTTGACCAAGATTCTGTTCACCAAGGCTCACTGCCTATGCCACGATGTCAACATGGTGACAAAGAGCGTTTCTCATATTGACGTGATTATGGGATTCTCCACTGGCGAAATCATCTGGTGGGAGCCCATTTCTCAGCGATATACACGTCTGAACAAAAACGTAAGGATGACTACTATCTCAATTTAGCCGAGGAGGCTGCTGACGTTGTTAGGGGATAATCAACAATACGCCCGTAGCTGAAATACGATGGATTCCTGGATCCGAAAACCTTTTCCTTGCTGCTCACATGGATGGCCTCCTAGTGGTATACGATAAAGAAAAAGAAGACGGTCATCTCAATCCAGAAGAAGAAGGGCTGACTGCCAGTGGCAGCGGGAGCGAGGGAGAGCTGTCCAATGGATCCGCTATTAGCAATGGCATCAGGGGCATCAGGATTAACAAATCGGTGCACTCCAAGAACCAAAAGACTAACCCAGTAGCCGCGTGGAAGCTATCGAACCAGCGGATAAATGCGTTCTCGTTCTCTCCTGATAATCGACATCTTGCAGTTGTGTCCGAGGACGGAACATTGAGAGTCATCGATTATCTCTCAGAAAAGTAAGTCTAGCCATGGCGCCACGGGATGGTGGTTCATTTAGGCCGGCATACTGACTGGTAAATAGGCTCTTGCACCTATATCATTCGTACTACGGTGGACTATCATGTGTTTGCTGGACACCAGATGGCAAATACGTTCTAACTGGCGGTCAAGATGACTTGATATCTATTTGGTCAATCGCAGACAAAGCATTAGTCGCCCGATGCCAGGGCCACCGATCTTGGGTTTCTGCGCTGGCGTTCGACTTGTGGCGATGTGACGACCGAAACTACCGCTTTGGTAGCGTAGGAGAGGATGGACGACTATGTCTCTGGGATTTTAGCGTGGGCATGCTGCATCGCCCCAAGACTGTTGTGAGTGATTGGTATACTATTACTTGCATCTAATCACTGCTGCTGACATGTGCATTTCCCCCTTCTCAGGCACCTACTCTCCACCGAGGGTCGGTATCGTCGAAATTCACGGCTCCGCATAGAACAGACACCAACATGTCCATGAATTCGGACGGCAAAGGCTCCATCCCAGAGGATGAATGGGAAGAGAATGTGATTGAGCATGCCGTTCAGCCGCGGGCGGTAATTCCAATGCTGCCACCTGTACTGGTAAGTACCCAACAACCAATAGTGATGAAGTCGGTATCAAACTAACTCGATGGCGCCACAGACGCACGTGGTTGATAGCCATCCTGCGTGCTGGCTAGCCTTCACCGAGGATGCCGTTATCACAAGCTGCAAGCAAGGTAAGATCCCTTCACATGCGAATCTGATCGCCTTAGTATCTGTTCGATTTGAGCTAACGGAGGCAAACCCTGCAGGACACGTAAGAACCTGGAACCGACCAGGCGTCCCAACGGGCAACGAGGAAAAGGCTTGAAGGATAGACGGTAGATGGACCGGGAGTTTCGATGGCGCTTTTCCCACTTGGGCGGATTATTACTTTTATTTTGATTAAATCTTTTTTGTTTCTGTTTTGCCTTGGGTATAATTTTGAGGGGAGCGAGGATCTCTTCTTGCTTGGAGTTTTCCAGCATGACTGCTATCAAGGCATCGGAGGGAATGCTCTAATTCTAATTGTGTAGTCTTTCTTGTTTAATACTTTAAGACGCGTATATTTTGGTTTGGAAACGGTTTCATCACTCAACCTCGTCTTGACCTTGTTGCAACAAGGTACTTGCATCCACAATCTTAGTCATTCAACGAACATACACTCTCATGAGCCTCACTCAGATTGTGTCGCTATCGCTGCCATGCTGACCCGAAGGCACCGAAAAGCTAGCGGCAGACCCCCCTTGTCTTTCGGAATACCCAGTAGGGCGATGACCTGATAAGCGGCGGGTACTCTATCAACAATCCTCGCACGTGTCGGCAGAGTCGCCGAGCTTCGTATCGGCTCTGGCGATACGGAGGAGACGGGCAGAGTTGCCCATGTGCAAAATTTGGGGAAAAAAATAGAAAAGGTGCTCGTCAACCGAGGACACTAGAGAAGCAGGGGGGAGGGTGGGAAGATCTCTCTCTCTTTCTAGCATCGAAAGCATGTTTTTTCGGCTTTGCATCCCATGTTGAGATTTGCCGTCACGGAGACCCGATTCTGGAAGGCTAGACGAATCGCAGCGTGGGGTTGTGTCTTGATATTGCAATGTAACGCTGTGTGGTAGCAGTAGGAGAATTTTAAATTTTTTTGTCTCTTTTTTCTTTTTTCAGTTACCCTTTTCGATTGGCAAGCGGCAATTTATCGCATCTGATCTTGATCATATGTTGCCTACATATGTCATGATGCAGCGTCGAACCATGCCGTGGCGCCACCTTTCCAGGCAGCATTAATATCTCAAAACAGAAGAATGGGATTTATTGGCAACCCCCAAACAAAAAGAAGAAGAAAGGCTACTTCGGCGAAATGCCGACTCAAGTGGCCGATGCAATTACGGGAAATCTACTCCGCAAGACAGATGGAGGTACTTTGTAGCCTCCGTCGACTGTGACTTGGAAACACCTGAAGCCCCTAGCCAGCCGATCAGTTTAGAGCTTCTGGGTCTAGGGAGCATGAAAATCGACGAGTCGGAGCTTTAAGCGAGCTTGAGCTGTTGCCGGCGGCTACATGTGGGTTCCGGCATGAAGAGAGAGGACTAGAATCATAGCTTTTGAGGTATAGTAATCATTGCTTATCACTCTTAAGGAGCACGAGGTAAATAACCCTAACAAAAGGGGCATTGGAAGTCGAGACTCAATACAGAAAATTTCCAAAAGAAATCCTTTGTGATTCGACACTCGCCGTGTTTCCAACCGGGATTTCACGGTAAAAGGCCAGACTTGAAAAAAAAAAAAAGTCAACGTTGCAAAGCTGGAGGGGCCTTGTCATATCTCGTGCTCAAGGCGCAATCTAGGATTCGTAGATCCTCAAATCCACTATGGGGCTTGTTCTTTTTTTTTTTTTTTTTTATCACGGACAGGGAGTTTCTTTAGTAATTTTACTGCCTTGTCTAGTGTTTACGATGGGAGGAGCTTGAAGGAGAAGAAAAAAGGGAAAATTTTCCCTTGAATAATGGGTCTGTCTTGTTGGTAAATCCGTCCATCAGCTGAGAGGCGGTGGGCGGAATTTGCCTCGTGTCAAGTGTGTTTTTAATTTTCTCTTATCTCTTTGACGCTAGTATTTGTTATGCTCTCGCTAGAGTTGCTATTTTTTGCAAAGCTCGCTTCTTGAGAAAGGTGGATGAGACTTGCACTACCCGCCGCAGGGGTCCATTTTGCTCGGCCCGCCTGTCGTGTTCCACTGATGCTATCAACAGATCAGACAGGACGGGTATCAAGGCTGGATGGACCCTCTCTAGATAGCGAGGGAAGGGAACCGCTAATGGGCGTCCGCCCCTGGTCAACACATGGGGGGCTCGTTGAAGCTTGCCCTGTGATAAGATGGTCATTGTTGAGGCTGGAACTACTGTACTAGCTGCGGGCGTGTTGATACGGCACGAGCTGTTCTGATGGATTGATTGCTCTTTTGCACGATGCGCAGAATGGAGATGTCATTGGATCGGTAGGTGACGCTGTTTATTTCGGCAGTGGAAGAGCTGGACAACATGTGATGATGAGGTTGGCATGACCTACATGGCGGCTTACTTGGATTATCAGGATGGACGGCATCTCGAGATGATGAGATCTAAGCCTTACGAATACGCTGTAGGTCCAGCAGTGGAGGAGCGGTATATGATGCCATGATATAGGGCAAGCCACTGTGGACTACAGACTACACTACTGTTGGTAGCGTTGATAACTCTTGGTCAAGCGTACCGATGTATTGAAGGCGTATAGATAATCGTACTGCCCAATAGCAGCAGTTATTCCGGCTATATAAATAACCAGATCGACTGCTGACTGAGCTGGAGGCTGAGTTTATCAATACGCAGCCAACACACAAGGCAGATAGAGTCAATTTTGCTCATATCATGCGTAATATATGATATCTTAACCAGAGAGGGTCAGCTGGCAGTGAGAGATATTATCCCGTAAGCCTGCAATTGGCCATCAGCTGAGGGAAAAAGGAAGAGCAGCACAGCCTCCTGATTCCAGATTGTAGGCAACTGAAACGGTGCTGCCAAGGTCTTGGAGATGGTTGGAATTCCGAGAGGTTGCACGTCGAGCAAATAGCCGTCTTGTCACGTTGAAATGCCGGCTGAGTTGCCTAATTGAAAAAGCTTTTTTTTTTTTGTCCATCTGTGTGACGGTCCGATGCCGGGTCCAATTGGCAAATGAAGGCTACTAGTCGTCGAGATATTTGAGCTATTCATGACTCTTATGTAGCTAAAGGTAGCTGTGAAGATTATTAGGTCGTTGCTTTATCGCTGCGTTTCAGTCCATTTGCGTGTTAGCAATAGAGACCCGCGCAGCTGGTGATACTCGTTACGCAAGTATTTTTCCGTTTATAGATCCAGCTCAGCTTAAAGCCCTTTGTTCCATAAAACGCAATCCACCAGGCTCCATGTGTCATATTATTAGCCCCCATAGGGCCAGCACTGGCGGCGAAACTCAAAAAAAGGAGAATAAGAGCAAAAACACGCAAATTTTTCAAAAAGTGCCGTGCCGTTTGCGTGCACAAAACGCCCCAGCGTCATCTTGACAGGCCTTTTCCCCTTGCGCCGCCACGACTCATGGGCGGGTGGCTCTAGCTGGTACCTGTTTCGGCTGGCGGCGACTTTCTCCGTTTTCGGGCTTCCATCCAGGCTTCGATTTCCTCTAGTTGGAAGCCCATGCCATGCCGCCTCGATTTCTTATTTTTTTTTTCCATGCGCTGGCATGTGTCAAGCCGCCCACGCCAAAACCCACCGAACCCGCCCCGGCACTCGGCATCCCGGCGTTCGTCGAGACTGTGATCATCATGACTGCGTTGTGGCCTGTTTGGCCTGCTGCACGTACGAGGCACGAGGCATGTGCTGCGCGCCTGTCCTTCTGCTAATGCTACAGTACAGTACACGAAACCATGATTTTCCTTTGCAGCCGGGCATTGACCCGCGCGGAGATCGCTTTCATTCCCGCTTGGGGGGGGCTTCTTTTCCTTTGTCCCACCCACAAGAGGCAGGAAACTGCCGGCTTGGTATTTGATGCTCGATCGGGCATGCGTGTCGTGGAGCCAACACAGACTTTATACCCGTAGGAGTAATATTCTTGCACGGGCACCTTGATTGTTCCGGGTGCAGATACGGATGCGGCTGCGCCATGGCTGGCTGTTGACCCGGGTGGCCGCTTTGCGCTGGAAACTCGACGCAGTCTGTCGTTGACGGGAGTTCCACACCTCCTCATCGATGATGCATTGCACGAACTACACGTTTTTCTAGACGCCTTGTGATTATGCCTTTTCCCGAGGCTTGGCTCAAGGCTTGTTTTGCATGCAGGTCTCGTTTATTGTCCAAACTCTGTCGCCAGGTCAGGTCAGGTCAGGTCAGACCAGGTCTCATCTCATCTCATCTTCTTTCTCCGGATCCGGGCTCTTCTCCTCCTTTTGTCTCTCATACAACAACTCTTCTTCCCACAGACTCACCCAATTCCTCGTACAAATCACCAACCAGTCCTCTCCGATCCATCCTCAACACCAGCTTCACGCTTGTCTCAGCCCCCTGCATTGCGCCATCCGATCACAGTCCCAACACAAGCCCTCTCACTCGCATTCTCTGGGTCCACTAGCCGGGCGACTAGCTGCGAGGCCGTCAACCGCACCGGCTCTGGACGGAAGACCCTCTGTTATTCCCTGGCTGAGGCGTTTATCAAGCCCCACCGCTATCAAGTTTAGGCGCTCTCTCGGTGGCATAGGACCGAGACCGAAGCGACCTAGGAGGTTTTTGCACGGAGAGAGTCGTGGGTCGCTCAGCTCTGGGCGTGTGTGTCACAGGAGGAAAAGGGAGAAAAAAGGAAGCAAAGAAGAAAAAATTCGTCCCGGTTGTAGCGTAGCGGCCGGCGCGTGGCATGTCAGCCCATTGAATCCTAGTGCCAACCATCGTCTTGCTTGTCTGCGCTTTCGGGGTTTCCACCTCTTATTGATTATTCTCTTTTGGATTTCCTTCTTTCTTACTCTTCCTCTTCCCTCATACCATCTCTATTGTTATTGTTCTTCTCCGAACCTTGGGTTGTCTTTTTGGCCGCTGTTGCGATTTTGCGGTCTTGCAGCCCTGAACCATGCCTTCGTTTAATCCCTTCAACGCTGTGACCGGACGTCATAGCTATAGCCTATTCGACGTTAGGTGAGTTTATCTTATCCTTATCGCTCCGGCGCAACCAGCACTCGGCATGACTGGAAATTGCCCGCCACTTTGCATGTCGATTCTCTCTCCGGCTTTCAGCCTACTGACTTTGCTTGGATCATTAGGTTAGACGATGACTTCATTGTTTTTCGCGGCAACGACCAAGAGTCCTCTGGACAGCTCCTCAAAGGCGTCGTGGTACTATGTCTTTCCTCACCACTTCGCATGGAGGACGTCCACCTCCGTCTGATTGGAACCCTCCGCCTGCAGTATGGTCACAAGGTCCACCATTCACCTTATTCGTGTGTATAAATTCTAACTTTGTCTGTTTGAACAGTTGGTCTGATCCCGGATCTAGCACACCCGGCGTCACAGGCCAAAGAGTCGACCGAAGTGTCAACATCCTCGACCACAGATGGCCGGCCTTTGTTGGCACGCACGGCAAGAGCATGACGCTCCCCGCTGGAAACTACGAATATCCTTTCGAATATACCCTGCCGGGAGACACTGCCGAGAGTGTCGAGGGCATCCCCGAAGCATCCATTACATACCGACTCAAGGCCACCGTCAGCCGCGGCAAGTTTGCCTATGACTTGCACGCTTACAAGCACCTCCGCATTATCCGAACACTCGAGCCCGGCGCGCTTGAATTCCTGCACGCAATGAGCGTCGAGAACATCTGGCCCAACAAGATTGAATACTCCATTGTGATCCCGCAAAAGGCCGTAGTCTTTGGCGGCACCATCAACATGGAGATGCGATTTACCCCACTACTAAAGGGCCTGGAATTGGGGGACATTACAGCCAAAATGGTCGAGATACGAGACTGCTTCATCCAGGGAGCTACTGGTCTCAACATGCGAGAACACCGAACAGAGCGAGACGTTGCGTCCTGGAAGTTTGCGATAGACCGCGAGGAGCATTGGCATGACATGATTGAGGATAGCGGACAGGAGGGCTGGATGCTTACCAAGCCCCTTGAACTGCCCAAGAAGCTACGACAGTGTATCCAGGATCTGAACCACCACGGAATCAGAGTAAGACACAAGATCAAGCTGACTGTCGCTCTCAAGAACCCGGACGGGCATATTTCTGAGGTAAGTGTTTCACGGCGATGGGGCCGTGGGTTCTCGGCAAGGTGAGACATTGGCTAATACACACAATAGCTCCGAGCGACTCTTCCAGTTTCCATCTTTATCTCACCCAATATTCCGTTTGACGAGCAAGGCAACCTGGTGAACCAAGCTCCCGGAGGCGCGACCCTTGAACAGGATCTTGGATCAATTGCGCCTCCCGGATATGGCGAACACGTGCTCGACCAGCTTTACGACGAAGTGGATGTAACCGGGTTTCAGACACCAGCTGTCCATTCTGGATTCAACAGCCCCTTTTATGGACACTCACGGACGGGCTCCTCGGAAAACCTGGCAGCATTTTCTCTCAGCGCAGCTATAACGCCAGCGGCGCTTTCGTCCAGGCTGGCGGATGTCTCGCTGGATCCGTCACAGCGAAATAGCTCTTACCAGTCCGTCCACAATGCGTCTGGCAGAGCCTCACCTACGCACGGTTCAAGCCATGCATCTCAGACTTCTCAAACTCCAGCTCACCTGAGCCGAACGAACAGCGAGGAGGAAGAATCTAGCAACAGAAGCTCAGGGGAGCGGGCTCAGGTAGACGTTGCAGAATTCGCGGAACTGAACCGAGTGCCAAGTTATTCGACAGCAGTCAAGACGCCTGCGCGATCTCGCACTCAAACCGGCGTCTTTGTCCCCGACTACCAAACGGCTCTGAGCGCTCCTCGGACACCGCCGAATCTTGAGCCCAGCAATGACCCTCTCTCGACCATCACCGAGCATACAATTGGCGAGGGGCACTTGCAACATGTTGCCAGAGCTTTATCGCCTCCCATGACTCGATCCCACTCAGACGACACATCATCGCATAGGAGATCTCTTCTCTTCCGCTCCAGAGACCAGATTGTCGGAGAGTAAACCTCTTTCACAACTTCACAATTTGTACTACAAAGCGAAACAACAATCTTTTATCCTCTGTTTTCAGAATTTGTTTAAGTCAAGCACTTGGTTTTGTTCTATTCTCTACTATTATCATTTTGAGCGGGTATTACACGGTCGGCCGGTTTGTTTATTCAGGCGTCAGCGATTACGGGTGGACATTTAGGGTACAGCACATAGACTTGGGGTTTTCAGCGATTAGAAGGTATCATTACAATTTGTGGTTATGTAGTTTTTCTTTGGCGAAATTTGTTGGGAACTATTTAGTATCACGAAAATACCCATAAATCTTCAATACATCAATGGTCAGGAGGCTGGTGGGTAAAGCCCCTGCCGACAGCATTTCTATCAATCTCATTTGCAACCGCCTTGATGCTGAGTGACAGTGTTTCGTACGGCTCACCCCACAAGCGTCCTTTTCACTTTTGACGAGGCGTCAGCCTCTCATTGTCCAGGGGCAAAACTCTACTTATGCAGGGGACTAGTACTGCTGGTTGGCTCTGTCGGGCTCTCCAGCACTGTGTCTGACGCAATCAGCAGGCCGCTATGACTGCAGCGATGCATGTTGCGCAAAAGCTGATGGAGTTGCACGAGAATGTTCGAGTCGTTGTAGAGCGTCACTTTTTTTTGGCATCCCGAGTTGGCGGGGCCAGAAAAGGGTCCTCCAAGGCAATTGCTTTGCATGTGGTTTGTTCCACTGACGTCACGAGAGAACACTAAGATGATGGACTATTTGAACTAGAGGCTGTAAATCAAGATTTGGAAAGGCCTGGAACACGCAGCGTCTTGATGGAACAGAATGTGTTTGTTTTGAAGAGAAAAGGCGATAGGAGGCCTGAGACGAGACAGAGGCCGCCGAGTCAATGCAAATACGAGTACGGAGCGCTGCGTACTTGTGCTTGCGTATCCCTGACCCGGCAAAGTTACCACGAATAAGTTGCAACCCCCACCCTGCGAAAAAAAAGTGATATACGATGGCATTGAATTGTCTGTTTTACTGTGGCTTTGTGTGTGGAGAGCGAGAAGACAACAAGGCGGCAAAAACACTGAGTAGACGACAAGTTGTTGTAGGCAATGATCGTTGCAGACCCTTACATCATCTGAACCGAGACACTGTGATGCGCGACGACGATTCACCAAAGATGCAGGCTAAGTAGACCACATGGGCGCTAGCAGCCAGAGTGGCGGCTCTATCTCTGCTTTTTTTCTCTACAATGGCCCGATTTTAACATTCGTCCAAGGACCCTCCCGGCTAACGCCATTGCAGTTAACCAGTGTGACTAGGGAGGTGGCATCCTGAAGCGCAAACAGGCCAATCATGGGCGCTTCTGTCCTGCATCTTGTCCCTCATTGACTGCAACCTCGCAGACCAACCCAGATCGGTGACGCTCCTTTTGCTCTAATTTGATCACCTTTTGAGCTTGCGCTGCCTTGCTATATCTTCTTTTTCCAACTTGAACTTTTCCTGATTATAAGTCTGGGGAACCTGGAAGATCGAACCTGTATATTTTTTTTTTTTGAAACCTTATTCTTTAATTCCTGTACTTCCTCTTTCGATTCTCTTTTTCGTCTTTTGCGCGGAACGTTACGATATACCCCCCCTTTTTAAAATCGAAGCGACAAGAGCTCTAAAAGAAGACTCGAAACAGTCTCATTCTCTGTTTTAACAATGGCCACTCCTATTTCGCCAACTAATACCACGCTGCCGTCGCGCGCTACGACGGGATTGAGCGATGGTGCCATTCCCGAGGCGGATCCCAATACTGTACGTGGCACAGCATGAGCATCTGCGTGGCGGGGAGGAAGATGTTGAAGAGATGCAATGGCGTGAGAACTTGTGGCTAATTCTCTCCTTGTTTTGTTTCGCGAATGTTTAGACCTCCGGATTGCTTGCAGAGCGCCTGCAGGCATGGAAACACATGGTGGGATACCTCGAGGATTATGTCGAGGCGGTGGAAAAGATCCACGGCCGCCAGGCAAAGGAGTATGAGAAGGTCCTCAAGGTGAGCCTGATTCTTGCTGATTCTTCTCCCTGCGCAAAGCTGCTCAACATGCTGAATTTCTTCCGAATAGACAATCTCGAACCCTCTGCGCGAAGGCCACCACTTCGACCAGAGCCTCGGTGGCGTGGCCGGCTTCTTCGAAAACATGCGCACCAATACCCAGGCCATGATCAACTCCAACCTGGAGACGGAGAAGAACATCAAGGGCTCCGTCCTGCCCATCCTCGACCGCCTACACAAGGAGATCAAGCACAAGGCCAAGGAACTCGCCAGCGGCGCGCAGGCGGGCGCCAAGGAGGTCGAGAAGCTGCGCAACGTGACGCAGAAGCACATTGAGCTGCTCGGCCAGCGCGCTGCTTCCTACGACTCCCACGGCGCAAAGATTGACTCCCACGAGGATCCGTACGTGGTTCGCCGCGGCATCACCTACCGCCTCAATAACCAGGTCATTGCCGAGAACAACCACCACAACGACCTCGTCTCGGTGCAGAACAACTTCCGCACATTCGAGGTGCACGTCCTCGAGGTTATTCAGCAGGCCATGGAGGCCTTTACGCAGCTCGCGGGCGGCCAGGGCGAGAAGATCCGCGCGCTGCACAACGACATGCTCGGCACGGCGCAGTGCATCCCGCGCGAGTTTGAGTGGGCCAACTTTTCGCAGCGCTTCGCCGACAGGCTCGTCAATGCCAACGACCCGCCGCGCTCTGTCGAGGCGATTCAGTTCCCTAACATGGAGCACACCTCGACCAAGACGCTGATTGAGGGATCGCTGGAGCGCAAGTCGCGCAACAAGCTGTCGTTTGGCTACTCCACCGGCTACTACGTCGTTACGCCATCCAAGTTCCTGCACGAGTTTAAAGACTCGGACGATACCCGCACCGATCCCAAGCCCGAGCTGTCGCTGTACCTCCCCGACGCTGTTATTGGATCGCCCACTGGCGACAAGTTCACCATCAAGGGCAAGGACAAGAGTGGCACGCTGAGCAGCAAGCTCACCGGCAGCTCCGAGCTGAATTTCAAGGCTCACACCGCTGCTGATGCCCAGCGGTGGTTCCAGGTCATCCACGGTCTCATCGGCTCTGCCACCGTGGCGGCTGGCTCGACGCCTACATCTCCCGTCACGGCGACGTCGCCTACCATGACCGGTCCGGCGGGTGCAGTGGCCGGAGGAGCCGCTGTTGCTGCCGTCGCTGGAGCCAAGGCGTCGGAGTCTCCTGAGGCGAGGTCGCCTATTGCCACATCGTCGGCTGAGAAGCACCAGGCTCAGGAGGTGGGCATTACGGGCGTCACGCCGGAAGATAAACCTGCGGCTGCTTAGTGGACGGACGGGGGTTGGGATTGGTAGAGAAATGTGTGCGTAAGAGGATGGAAAATGTGTGTGTACGAAGATGAGTGATTGAGCGAGGAGTTTTCTTTTCTAATTTTATTTGATATCCTGTAAGGAGTGAATGGGACAGTATGTGATGTGTATATCTAGTATTAATGAGCGAGAGAGAGGGTGTTGTGAGTTCTGATGGGGTGTTGAATTGATGTATATAAATTAAAGATGTTCTGATTTGATTTGAGTGCCGTCATGAAATGCTAAAAGTTTGCTCTATGGCCCAGCCCACAATTCTACCCAGCAATATTAATTCAACCAGTCTAATGTCGCTGTTTATCCCCTCCATTGCAGCCATAAGAAAAATGAAAATATACATCAATCGCTCTTCAATATGCTAGTTATGTTGTGTTGTGTCTTGTACTTCAGTTCTGGTGTCATAACTCGTCTGTCTTTCGCTTCTTCTCCGCCCTCAGCACGGCCTTGTGCGTCTTGATATGATACTTTACATCATCCGGGTACAGGGGATTCCAGACGGTGTTGCAGATTTTGCATTCGGAGAAGGCGGCCTGGGCAGAGATGTTGAGCGTGGTCTGAATAGCCGGAGAAGACGGTTTATTCTTTTTCGGCTTGATGGCGGATTGCTTTGTTGGTGATGGGGATGAGGAGGGTGAAGTGGTGGTGTCTTTGTTTGATGATGTCGCTTTGTGTGTGTTGGATATGTGGCTTTTGAGAGGTGGTCGGCCGCGGCGTTTTTGAGGGGCGGGATTATCGTCTGGTTCTTGTGATGATGATTGATCGGATGATTTGTGAGTGGTGGCTTTGATTCTGAGAAGTCGAGGTTTTCGTTTTGTGGGCGGAGGGGGCGAAGAGGATTTCTCAGGAGGTGAGTCTTGAAGCTGCTGTGATGGCGCATCTGCTTGTGGAACTTGTTGTAAAGCTGGTTTGAAGTAGCTCAGGATGGAGCCCCTTTTAAGAGACTCTCCAGGTTTCTCCGTCTTATTCTGAGCTGAAGCATCTTGCTGATGAGCTGCTACCGCTGATGCGCCTGCTACCGCCGCATCGTCGTCGGACTTGGTACCGCCATTGGCACTGGTGAGAGTCGAGGCAGATTTCTCCTGCTGCTGCCCCTCTCGTTCCACCGATATCCGTGCCTTCTTGGACGGCGGCTCACTCTGCTCGGGCGTTGATGTTTGCCTGCCGTAGGTGCGGAGTGGTTTGTCCCTTTTGCGGTGATGTAGTCCTGGCTTGGTTCTGCGTGGGTAGCGGGTGAGCAAGGAGCCAAATTCTACTGGTATGTTTTTTTTTTTTTGACTGACATTGAAAACTCAGGTGAGGAGCTCACCATGGCTGCTTTTGAATGGACTCGCACGTGTAACCCAGATTCTCTCAATGATATAATGCGGTAAGAGGTTAAGGCATCATCCAACTGCGAAAAAACTGTGTCCAAAATTTGATGGTGGAATGAATAGAATTTATGCCTTGATCATGAGAAGAAGAAAAAAAGTGTAGAAAAGCCCGTCAATCGGGGGCTATTGACTAAAGGGAGCCTGATGAAGAAAAAAAGAATTACGGAAAATGGACGCCCAGAGCTCACGGCGGTTGACGAGAGTTGGCCCCACGCAGAGACGCGTCGAGACGCGACGGAACACTTTACGCGATGTCACATGCGCCCACTTTCAGCGCAGTGCACTATTGGGAGCTTTGGCTTTGGTAAAGGTCTAGGCTCTGAAGATTCCATTTTACAGCTAATGTATGCTTACAATCGAATAAATGAAGTCATTGGATATTGTGCTGAAGGTGGGGTATTTTCTGATTGACAACTTACTCAATTGACTTTGCAGTTGAAACATCACCAACATAAGGCTATAAGTGTAAATGTATACAGATAAATTGACAAAGCGCTTGCAAATAGTGGGACAAATAGCGTACAATGCAAATATCAAGACTCTGGGCTTTCCGTCACTGAAATCGTGGGTATCCTTCTCCTTACTGATTCGTCCTCGGCTTTGCTCTGCAGCAATACACTCTTGTCATGGCCATCATCTCCTTCTTGTCCGACAACCCAGGACTGAACCACTTCTTTAATCTCTGTGACAGCACCTTGCTTGCTTTTTGCCTCGCCCATCCTCCACATGTAACTCGAATAGACCGCCACCTCCGCAATGGCAACCACTATGCTGCCGCCAAGCGTCAGGAATACTCGAGACGAAAGGCTCCACCACCGGCCGGCGATCCAAAGCGTAGCTGCAACCCCAACAATGCTGACGAGGAAATTGATGATGAGCATTACTTGGCGCTGCACCTCGTTGTATGTGATTTCGTCGTCGCCGAGATCTTCGGCTTTGGAGGGCCGGTTCGCCTCCGCAAAGGCTTTCGCGGCGTTTGGAAACCGGCTTGAGAATGTTTCGAGCGCAAGGGGTGGGTTGATCATGCGTTCGTAGGCGCGGGCGTCTTCTTCACGGCGAAGACGGGCCATGAGAGCTTTGTACTCTTCGGACTAAGAATGAGACATGATTGTCAGCACATATTGTTGGAAGGGAGTCTTGGCTTGATATAGCACGGAAGTGAAACTGACTGGCTCTTGTTTTGGTGGAGGGGGAGGGATGTAAACTTGAGACCCTCGAAGCAGTTGCTCTAGGCTGTATTTGGATTCTGAAGACTCTGAAGCACTGAGCTTCTTGTAAAGACCGAGTATATCGCTGTGGGAAATGGGGTTGCCAACTGCTGGCTCTGTTGGCGAAGCTGCTGCGTCATTGCTCTGATCCTGGTCGGCATCGTTGCTGGATTCGTCGGCCTTGAGCTGGCTGTCTGCTTTGTGCTGCTCGTCTACCTGCTTTAATGCGTCCACAATGGACGGTGTCATTGTTAGGAGAACCATGATGGCCTGAAGAGCCTTTGCTCATCTTCAAGAATGATGAGTCTCGAGCTCGATCGGCTCAATCCATGAGCCCGGCGGATATGCAGCTCGGCCATAAGTGGGGCGCTGCCGTTTACAGGTGGAAGCTTCAATAGGCTATCGGTTCGCCAAGGCCTCAGGACGCAAGGCGGGTCGCTCGCCCGGAGCTTTGGCAGCGTTGGAGGGCAGCTACAGCGCTGTTGTGCAGTAGCATTACAGGGCTTCGAGGCCCCTGTAGGTCCAACCGCCCAGGGCTTACGGCGCTGAGGCTGCACCGGCCAATGAACAGCTGCGACCACTCCCGGATGTGCCCCTCAGCTCCATCAGAAAGTCCCGCCAAAAGGCTGCGCAAAAGTTTCGGAAGGCTAGATTCGAGCTGGACGGGCGCTCAAAACACCAGACGGAGGAATCACCTCATCCCCACGAACCGATTGAACCGCGCGGCTTTGCGGCTCTTCACCAACGCTTCGACTCTTCTCAATTGGCGTCTGAACCGCCGCGAGACGCAGTACGAGCCGCCCGCAATTCGGACCTGCCAACATCCTCGGCCTCCCTCGATTGCCGCAACCCGATCTGTTCGCAGATGAAGCTCCGTGCGGGAGCTTCGGCGGCGCTGCGCGATGCAGTCGCCGGCCGAATGGGAGCATCGACCTGCGTCCTCTGCCAGCGATCCGTCATCTCGAGCTCTGGCCTGAGGGTCCTAGGCGCACAAAAGGCCGCGCTGCACTCCAGCTCGAACCGAAACTCGGCATGGGCCGCCGCCGTCCAGGTGGCCTCCAACATGGTGGGCAACGTTGCGAAGCGAGCGGCCAAGGACGGCATGGCGATTGACCCTCTGCGAACCGTCGCAAAGGAGATGAAGTTCCTGACGGGCAACATCCGCAAGCTGCTGGGATCGGGTCACCCCGCCCTCGACCGAGTCGCAAAGTACTATACGCAAGCCGAGGGCAAGCATGTGCGGCCGCTCATCGTCCTGCTCATGTCGCGGGCCACTCATCTGTGCCCCAAGAGCCCTCTCGATGCCGTCCCCGAGACATCAAGGGGAATCGATGCGTCAATATCCCCGATGAAGATCCTCAGCGACGTCAACCCAATGTCGAACACAACATCGTACGAGAGCGAATTGGCCGAGTCGGCAAACCTCGACATCCTGCCGAGCCAGAGACGGCTCGCCGAAATCACGGAGCTGATCCACACGGCATCTCTGCTGCACGACGACGTTATCGACCACTCTGTTTCAAGGCGCGGTGCGCCGTCGGCCAACCTGGAGTTTGGCAACAAGATGGCCGTGCTGGCGGGCGATTTCCTCTTGGGCAGGGCCTCTGTTGCGCTGGCGCGGCTACGCAACGCCGAGGTTGTGGAGCTGTTGGCTACTGTCATTGCCAATCTGGTTGAGGGCGAGTTCATGCAGCTCAAGAACACGGAGCGCGATGAGCGCAGCCCCAAGTGGTCGGAGGAGACGCTGAGCTACTACCTGCAAAAGACATATCTCAAGACTGCCAGTCTCATTTCCAAGTCTTGCCGAGCAGCGGCGCTTCTGGGCAACGCTGACCAGCACACCGTTGAGGCCGCATATTCGTATGGACGCAACTTGGGCCTGGCTTTCCAGCTTGTGGACGATATGCTGGACTACACTCGGTCTGGCAAGGACCTGGGTAAGCCTAGCGGAGCGGATCTGGAGCTGGGTCTGGCGACGGCGCCGCTGCTGTTTGCCTGGAAGCAGATGCCGGAGCTTGGAGCTCTCGTTGGGCGCAAGTTTGCCCAAGAGGGTGATGTTGAAAGGGTAAGTTGCTTTCCATCACCCCGTCATACATATCAAGTTGCATAGACTTACATGATTTCATAGGCTCGCCAATTGGTTCTCCAGAGCGACGGCATCGAGCAAACCCGAGCTCTCGCCTACGACTACTCTGAGAAGGCGATTGCTGCCATTGCCGACTTCCCTGACAGCGAGGCCAAGGATGGGCTGATTGAAATGGCTCACAAGACGATTCAGCGCCAAAAGTAACCGGTTGTTGGAGTACAGGGGGGCAAACTAACCCCAAACACTGCATTGACACACAGCATGAATAGCACGAGAGAGAGCATTATTGTCATGGCGCTTTTGTACCAATATTCCACTCTATGAGAGAAAAAAACGTGTAATGAGAGAAAGACAAACAAAAAAAGGACAAAGGAATTGGCCGAAGGGGGGTTCTGGTACGGGAGTTGCCAAGAAAGAGACATTTTCCGCTTTTATACACTGGAGACGGGGAAAGGAAAACGAAAAAAGAGGCATCATTTCTTAATTCATGGACGTTGATAGAAAAAAAGGTCGGCTATTTGTTTAGAGAGAAAAAAAAAGAGGAAAATTTGATCAGAAAAAAAAAAGTGTTAGACAAGAGTCATGCAGCATGAGAGGAGAAGGGGAAATGGCATTTCGATTGGATATTCGTATGGATAGGTACATGTAGCTGCCTGAAGTGGACAAATTTTTGGGAGCAGATGGTATGGAGTAGAGGAGCATTGAATTGAAGGCGGTCTCTGCGGATGCATCATTCACGTCGTATTCGCTTATTTTGATGCTCGTTGACCATTCATATCCTTTATTCTTGAGCGAAAGAAGTAGAGAGCAGGCGTGGTATGCAGCGCATATACAGACATGATATCTCTGTCTCATTACTAAACGAATATTTCACGCATAATGCAGTTTTAGATGGTTAGTTGTAACTCATAAGTTCAACCGAAAAGACGGACAATTGAACGAAATGAAAACTCCTAGAATTTACAAAGCAAACGCAATCAATTTAGTCTGTCAACTTAAAACAATCTTAAACACAAAACAAGCTCTATATTACCATCTTAAATGCAATCAAAGTCAAATAAACAAAAACAATCAACAAACAGCCCCGCACAATGCAAAGGCCCTTTCCTAAATGCAGACAACAAACAATTTCCATCAGTAAACAGGCTGAACCGTCATTTGCCTCAATGGGCACTGCCGGATGGCATCCCCATGTCGGCCATCATCATCGGCCGGATCCTCCCCCCGTTGATCTGATTCTTAAAGGCCCCCTTTGCATCTCTCCCCTCCACATTCACCAAGTTCACACCGTCCCATCGGCCGGGGAGGGAGGGAGGTGCCGGAGCCTTCCTAGCAGAACCGTGAACCACAATCTCAACGCCATTGACTTGGGCCCCGGAGCCGTATTTCTTGCAGTCCTTGTAAAAGTAGCGTCCCTGAGGGCCCTGCAGCTGCTCCACCCCGGCATCGCAGACAAAGACGAAGCCGTTGATTTGGTCAACACCAGAATCAGCCTTGCACTTGTTGTAATGAGAGATGGGCAGATGCTCCCCGACCTCGTTAATCATGTAAGGGAAGATGGAGGCGTTGGGAGAGTCATCAGGCGTCCACAGGCTGGGCGACCCAATGGCAAGGTTGGGAAACACCTGCGAGTTAGGCGATGCGTACGAGGTTGGCGAGAGGGCTTCAATCAGGGCGGCGGGAACGGGGGGGTCGTGGAAGGGGCCGCGGAGGGTGCTTTGGAGCACGACCTCGGTCTCTTCCTCGTTGAAGGGGCGGACGTCGACGTGGTCGGGGCACATTGTTGATGTAGATTACGGGATCCCGGGTATGATAGTTCAAGTGTAAAAGAGGAGTGGTTATCCGCGAGGAATTGCGGCAAGAGGTGAATGGTTTCTTGCTTGAATCAAGCCAAGATGATGGAGTAGAAGAGAGTTGTAGTGAGAAGATGAGTGCTCTGGAGAAGAAGTTGTTCTCGACTGGGGGAACTCTCGGGGTATTTATCGTCTTTCTGAAGAGCCTCAATCACTCACTTACTTCATGTTTGATGTCTTCCAGCGATCACTTCCCCCCCTCTCCTCGCGGGTAATACACCCATAAGCTTGACCAGTCAGTGCTTCGACATTACAGGACCAGGCCCCAGCTTTCCGGAGGCGCGTAGACGGCACGTTGGACTTGTCACAATCCCGCTTGGTGCAACCCTCCCATTGAAAGTGGGTTCTGTGATGGCATATCTGCTAAACTAGCTGCGATCGGGGGCGGCGGCTATCGTTGTCACTAGTTGGTTTGCGTGTTTCACTCTTGGGGGGTCTGGGTCTGGGGCTGTAGGCAAAAGGAAAGTCTAATTGCTTCCCCTCCTTTTCTTCCCGAGCTGCTGAAAACGGGGAGCTGGGCTAGTCACACGTGGTGGATGGTGATGTATCATCTGTCTATTTAGTTGCGCTTTGGGAGAGCCAGATGAAGAATACAACGTTCTGGTATATCTCACAGTTGAGAATACATTGTGCTGGGCTCGTCCTCAGGACAGGTAGCAACCGCCCATCAGGCAGTTCAGGAGGGGTAATGGAAGAGCAACTGTGTCAGACGTCATCCAGCAGTGCCAATGTAAAGTGCATGAAACTCAAATGAGAGACAACGTGACTGAGTGGTCGAGTCCCTGTCTCAGAAGGCATCTAAGACAAGGATCAATAGCTGCTAGTAGTAGCAGTATCCCCACAAAGCAGTCGGACATATTGATAGGTTGGGTATTGAGTTGACGTGATATAAGCATATTCACCTGGTTCACATAGCAAACAACTGCCCGGAGCACCTCGATCAATTCAATCAATCAGCCAGGCTCTCTAAGAGTCAGTGGGATATACAAGAATAGCTGAATGTTGTTGGATGAGACTGCGAGTTGATGGGTATGAATCTACCCAGAGGAGAAAGAAACGATGGACAGCGCTTCAAAGTCGGCTCGGGCTCATTCAGCGGCCGATGAGAGTCAGAAAAAAGAAAATAAAAAGGAGCTGCAGCGGCACTAATGTATTGAGAGACCAGGATAAAATCCTGCAAAGTATTAGTCTTTCTCTCTACCGCTTCAGCTTAAGACAGTTCAGTTGAGGTAGGATAGATACTACTGTGAAGCTACTCTGCTTCCATATCATGTTCACATGTGAGAGATACGATGATTTAAGACATGTCCACTTAGACAAGTCTCATTTACGTCTTGATGGTGGTCACGTATAAGTTGTTGACCTCTCTATCAGCCAATGAAAGCGTTCTCCGGTGACAGCTTGAACACAGATGACTTGGAGGACTTGCCTTTGGACAGGAGCACGGGCTGCCAGATAGTTTGTCCGGGGAGTGATTATTGAAAGGACTGTTCTAGTTCATTGTGTATAATCCTTGAGACTCTTGTAGCGAGTAGATGGAGCTGGCGCAAGAGAATAAGCATACAAGGTCCAGCCTCCGATGACAACCAATAGCAGCTGTTCCTAGCACATTTGCATATGCGTGGCTTTTCAATAGTCGTCTACACCGCTATTAGAGATGATCAGTGTATACCGATGTTATATTGCTCAGTAATGCACGTCTCTCGCGCGTGATATCACTTCACCCGGAGATGTCAAAAGCACTCGCTGCCGTGAAGTGTGTGGAGAAGAGGGCAGCAAATAGGATGCCACCCGAGCAGCTTCAGTAACCCGGTTCGAGTAAAACATGCATATAGGGGGCAAAACACCTGAGCAGAAAAGAGCACGCCAATATCTCTGAGTCTCTCCGAGCATGTATGGATGCTGGTGAGTCAGGGAATCAGGCTGGCATGGCGCGGCAGTAGTGGTGACTTAGCTGCAGCAAACAAATCAGCCTCAGCCTGCTTTTTCGGATAATGCCCTGGGCAATTCCCTCACATGCTTCTTTCTTTTCTTTTTTATTGAGACATGGCTGGAGCGGGGCTTATTGCAATAATCTCCCTTACATCGAGCCTGGTTTATGCGCAGACAGGCCTTGAGCTTTCGACCGGGAAACATTGCAAGCGTGTCTCACATGCTCGTATCTTGAGCAACGGACGAGCAAGAGAGGGGGAGCTAGAAGACGATTCGATGATTATACGACGGATGACATATGGCCGGCGGGTGGTTGGGTGTGTTTGTTTTACATATGGCTCGACTTGCAGACGCGGTTGAGAGACACGGCGCTTATACGTGACTCGACGTGAATACGCCCAAGTCTTGCATATCTGCTGTTTCACGGCGCTTCAAAACGATACAGGTTAGGTGACATGAGTAGTAAGTATATTCTCTGCTGTATCGGACAAATGGCCATCAGATTGTTGGCATGAAGCTGCTCTGCTATATCAATTATACTCTCACGTAGCACAACAGAGTCGGATACGCAGCGCTACACCGGCAGCACTAATAATAGGCGCGGCTACTCCAAGTTAAGAAAAGGCGAGAATCACAGCATGCAATCCCCTCTTTTCTCGTCCGTGATCACGGCAACAGCCCATTTATCCGAATCATCCAACCCGAGCTGACCCTCAGCCACGTCCGCTATTCCTGTGGCGCAAGCCCCGACATCCGGACCCTGAACTCCACCGCTGATAACGCCTTTGATAGCCGTGCCTCTCCCTTATCGTCAATCCCGACTCCGCCGAAGTCTTTTGGTGATTGCTGGTGCTGGTCGAGTAACTCTTACTCGATCGAATGCTGATTGGCCGCGCGCAACCGCAGTCTGCCACTCAGGACCATGCGATCCCATCTCGGGTCTCCATCGGGCAAAACCGATAAGGGTGATGTGGGCCTTTTTTTTTTTTTTTTTTTTTGTCCCTTGATCTTTCTCGGTTTGTTAGTGATCTTCGGACTTTGCGAATCCCTTCATTTTTCTTCTTTTGACTTTGGTTTTGCCGCTATGGAGTGGAAAAATTTGCAGCTGCTCTGGGAGGAAACTGCTAGCAGTTGGCTGGCTGGTAGATTCATATAGCCAGAATTGCAGGTTAAGGCGATGCAGTTCCAACATCTCCGGCGCCTTAGCCACTCCTTATCTACCGCTCGCCCCGTATCATCGCGACTTGAGATAAGGCCAGCCCGCCACTATCCACCAGATGGCCTAGGCTGCTTCAGGAGTGTCATCGGACCCGGCCGACGATGCGGTTGCCTCTCCTCTTCGCTCTTTTTCTTCTTATTTCGTGTTTTCCTTCCTCCCCCCTTCCACTAGTAGTCTGTGAAGTTATTCGTACTCTTGCTGTGCGCCTCGTGTCACTGTTTCTCGTCGTGAAGGCCTCTTAGAAGTAGCGGTGTCTCGCTCCAAAGAGCCCATCTCACTCAACGCCCACAGCCGCCGAGCCCGGAACGATCCCCCCGGGCTGTAGTTGTCACCATGACCGTCTCTCATACCTCCAACGTCGGGCCTCTCAACGTCCTCGTCTCGACGCGAGCAGTCCTCACGCTTCCGGACAACTCCCTCGTCATCTCTCCGGCCACCATTTGCGTATCCCCCGAGCTCGGCAAGATCGTCTCTATTGTGCCAGAGATTGTGCCTGCCTCGGCCTTCCCTCCCAGCGCTACCTATGTAGACCACTCTCCCAAGCTGTTGCTGCCCGGTCTCGTGGATGCCCACGTCCACCTGAACGAGCCTGGCCGAACCGAATGGGAGGGATTCTGGACCGGCACCCGAGCAGCCGCGAGCGGCGGCGTCACCACCGTCGTTGATATGCCGCTCAATGCCATCCCGCCGACAACTACTCTCCACGGTTTCGAGGAGAAGCTCAAGGCCAGCCGCGGCCAGTGCTGGGTAGATGTAGGCTTCTACGGCGGAGTCATTCCCGGAAATTCAGACGAGTTGAAGCCACTCGTAGAGGCCGGCGTCAGAGGATTCAAGGGCTTCCTCATCGAGTCCGGCGTTGACGAGTTTCCTGCCGTGTCGGCTAAAGATGTCGCGCTGGCTATGGAGACTCTCAAGGATGAGCCGACCACTCTGATGTTCCACGCCGAGATGATTCCTCCCATTACAGACTCGGTTGGAGATGCCGTGCAAACGTCTGATCCTCCTGCCGCTCCCAAAGGCGAATTGACCGCCTACAGCACATTCCTCGAGTCCCGGCCGCCTTCTTTCGAAACGTACGCCATTGAAGAAATCCTCGCGCACGCCCATATCGCCCCATCGCTGCACCTGCACATTGTACACTTGTCGGCGACGCAAGCGATTCCCATCCTCAAGGCGGCTCGCCAGAGAGGCATCAACATCACCGCCGAAACTTGCTTCCACTACCTAGGACTCTCGGCAGAGGAGATTGAAAAGGGCGACACGAGACACAAGTGCTGCCCTCCCATCCGCGAGGCCAACAACCGAGATGGCCTGTGGGAAGAGCTGGTCGCCGATGACTCCTGCATCCGAACCGTCGTATCCGATCACTCGCCTTGCACTCCTCAGCTGAAGCTGCTCCCCGATCACCTCGAGAGGCCTTCAATGCCTCATTCGGATTCTGCCGTCGACATTAATGGGCCCCAAGATGCTTCATCTGTCAAGACTATAGCCCGTGGCGACTTCTTCGCTGCTTGGGGCGGCATCTCTTCCGTCGGTCTTGGTCTGCCTATTCTGCATACCGCAGCCAAGAAGCGCTCGGAATCTTCCAAGGCGCCAACCATTACAGACATGGTCCGCCTCTGCTGCCAAGCCACCGCCGAGCAGGTCGGTCTGTCTCATCGCAAGGGCGCTCTGAAGGTCGGCATGGACGCTGACATTTGTGTTTTCGACGACACCCACACCTGGACTTTTACCCAGGGCGACATGCGTTGGAAGAACCGCTGTTCACCTTGGCAAGGCCATGAGTTTACCGGTCGCGTCATGGAGACTTGGCTTCGTGGTCGCAAGGTGTTTGATCTGACAGCTCCCGGCGATGGCTTTATCGACGGCAAACCGTTTGGCGAGTCCATCACCGAGAAGAGAATTTTTTAAACGACATGAAAACGATTCTATGATTTTGTCAAGGCATTTTGAAAGACGAAGAATATGATATATGCATGGACGGCTAGAGATAGATGGCATGATTCGGTGCAGGCGGGCGTTCTGGGCATCTTTTACCTTGGGGCATAGTCATTTCATGGCGCAACGTTAATTGCTGACATTTAGTTTCTTGGAGTGTAATGTTGAGGTAGAAATAATACATGATTAATGAACCATCTAAAGAGCGCAGAACTCTACATACATATGTGCACATTGCGCACTAAATACGCCTTGAGACATTTTTACCAAAGATCAAGTTGAAGCCTGACCGAACTTTGTTGCAGAGACGCAAGGGAGGCGAGTTCTGGATGGTCATTCGCTGAGGCTGGTCTAGGCGGACGTGACGTCAGCCAGTAACATGGCAGTACGATGATGCGATTCTTGCTAGACGCAGTGGCTGAGAGACGATGGACGCTGGAATGTAATATTTGTTATAAATATTTTCAAAAGGATAACGTTGGATCAACGCAAGTGCGATTTGAATCTTGCTGACGGGACAGGCGGCGGGAAGTAAGTATTTGACGGCGGATTAAAGATGGGCCTGTATCGATACGAGATGCCAAGACGTGCATGTTTGCGGGTATACGGATATCAATTTGGATTTATTTACAGTAATTGATCTAGATTGTGCTACGTGACTGCTTCAAAATGCATACATTGAAACGGAATTGAGTTGCACATCTCTCTACTTCTTGGAGCTGCCCCATCGTGCCCTCGCCAACTTCAACAAAAGCCAGGCCAGCAGCCGATACACAACGACACATCCCGCCAAAGCTGCCACATTCACCACCGGATTGTCGTCGAAATCATACAGCTGCAGTACCTGCTTACCCGTTTCAATCGGACACGTGCCATCTGCGAGTAGCTGCTCCGGCTTGCAGTAGAACTTCTCGTTGCGCAGGGCGTAGGGAGCGATGGCGCGCAGCGAATACCGGATCGGCGAGAGGTAGTTGAGCGCCTTGAAGGCCTTTGGAGCGTCGATGGAAAGGATGCCGGCCATGGCGTTGGCAATGGAGAGGAACATGCCCATGATGTTGACCGCAAAGCCGATGTGGCTGACGACGGTGTTGAACATGATGCCGAGGCTTTCGCCGCATGAGACGATGCCGAAACAGCCAAACACTGAGACAAAGTACATGGTTGCTGTCCTGGGAAGGCCGACGGCGAGACACATCAGGATGCCGAAAACCAAGCAGCTGAGAATCTCAAAGGGAACCTCGAGGATTGTGTACGAGAGCAGGAATGCATCGACGCCATATACTCCGTCGTCGTCTTCTCGATAAAAGACATCTCGCTCGGTTGGATAGATGGCCACATTCTGCAGCATCCCGACGAAATAAAAGGCGCCGACTTCCTGTATGTAGCCCATCCAGTTCTGCACGGCATAGTAGTCGTGGTGCAACGGCGCAAAGAAGAGGGCGAAGATGATGGCCAATCCAACCACTTGCATCGTACGGGCCATGATGAGCTGGGGTTGGCGGCGCGTGTTAATGGCGGCACGATGTAGGAGTAGAGGCAAGGCGGTGGCGAGAGAAGTCGGCTCATGGACGAGGGCGCCGAGTTCTGCTGGCGTTGAAAGGTTGGCTTTGTTGAAGGATTTGCGTCGAGGTTCGGACTCTTTCGACGGTACTACATTGACATCTTCATGAGACGTCTTCTTTTCGTCCATCTCATCTGTTTCAACAATCCCCGGAAGTCGAGACACGTCTGCCTCGGATGAATGCTTCTTCCAGTGCTCGATGAGTTTTCCCACTCGCTCCCTGCTCTCTGCCTCTCTGTCATCTCGCTGCAGGTCGACGGTAATCATATCCAGGGCAAAATCAGCTGGATTTGAATGCTGGGGACACTGATACCCCTGTTTGCTAAAGTAATTAAGCATATCTTTGGCAGGACCAGCATAGGCTGGGGAGCCGCCACGGGCAAGCAGCAATACATTGCCAAAGTGCCTGAACAAGTCCGATCGAGGTTGATGAATAGTCAGGATGAGCGTTCTACCTTCATTCGCAAGGCCTTGAAGAACTTCCATTATCGAGCTTGCGGTGAAAGCGTCCAATCCAGATGTTGGTTCGTCAAGGAGAAGTACTCGAGGGTCAGTGAGGACTTGCACAGCAATGGATACTCGTCGCTTCTCTCCTCCCGAGATGCCTTTGACCAAATCATTGCCTATCATATTATCCGCACAGTCTTTCAAGCCCATCTTCATGAGCACCTCTTCGGCGCGTTGGTATTTTTCTTGTTTGCTCATAAAAGATGGCAACCGCAGTGCAGCTGAAAAGCGCAGTGTCTCACGAACCGTCAACGAAGGCAGAAGAGCATCGTCGTCTTGGCAGACGTATGAGCACACCGATCGAACAACCGAAGCGGACGGAACTGCACCGTTGAAGGACATTTTCCCAGATGGGCGGTAGTGAGTGCCAATCGAGTTGCGCAGTCGCAGCGCCATTGAATTGAGCAGCGATGTTTTCCCACTGCCAGACGGCCCCATGATGATATTCAGTGTACCAGCCTGAAAATTCACATTGATTGGCTTGAGTATATTCTTTCGCGGCAACTTCTTGCCATTCAAGGCTCGTTTATCGAGATCTAGAGAGAAATTCTCCAGCTCAACATCGATGGCTCGAACTTCTGCGATGGATCGTGCTGTCATCTTCTCTTTTCCGGCTGACAAATCTGTATCTGAAACTCGCGATCGAGCAATGGTCATTTCGACTTTGATATAATGCAGCCCAATGGCTGACAAGATGAAGAAAAAGACGACAAAGGATGCAAGGCAGACAATAGGACGGGCAACCCAGTTTCTGGGGAAACCAAGTGAAGACATGATGAACTCTCCAGTATACTGAAGACAGGCAGGGTTTGAAGGGCCACCCGACTCAGGGCAGTCATAAAAGCTGCCTTGAAACTCATTTCCACAGTAGGCTCCAAAGGTATAAAACTATCATGCCATCATTAGTCCAACTTTCCTCACATACGCACAAGGGCGAAGGAAGAAAAACACTCACCGACCAAGTAATCCATTTCAGCCATCGAACATAAACCGGAATAGTATTGCTCTGTATGAACATTCCGCATGCTAAACTCTGCATTGTAAAAGCAAAATTGGCAATCAAACTCGCCCCTGGGAAGTGCCTCACCGCCACTACGCATGTGAAAGCACACATGACGCAAACGTAATGGTTGACAAAGCCAATACTGAAAAAGGTGAAGAACTTTGCGGCATTGTGATCGAACCCAGCCATGAAATACAGGATGAGGGAAAACAAGAACGGCACGGGAAAATCTTCTGTGATGAGACGAGCCAAGCGCCGGGACAAGATGTAAGGTACAGCATCGACGCAGTGCTCTGATGACTCGCGGTCAAATGTTGGCATGTCGATGGTCAAGCGATACGTTTCAAACATGAGAATCAAGTAGCCCTGAAGACCGGTTGCGATGTAGAGGAGACCTTCGCGGGATCGGATGCCAGCCTGATCACGGCCAAGGTTGAAAAACAAGTACCCAATCACAACTCCCATTATGACAGCCTCCACCAGAGAGGCCGTCATGCCGAGGGGATCCCGGTATGTGACTTTCAGAGTCCGGTCTGTTAGAATTCGCACTTGGCGGAAGAAGCCTGCATGCGTCGCCGCCTGCGAGCGCTTCTTGCGTTTTCCCATCACAGCAATGTCCTGTATAGGTGGAAAACGACTTTCGCTTTCAATCTTCCATGCCGCTTTCAATCTCTCGAGGCGGGTAGAGGTTTCTTCTTCTAGTTCAGTGGTGCGATTGTCCACGGCAGCAATGTCGATGACGAATTCTGCCGGGTTGACGAACAGCGGTAGTTGGTATCCAAGCTCCTTGAACCAGGGGAGGCATTCCGAGACGGGGCCTGAGAAGACGGGACTGCCCTTGGACAAGATGACGAGGTTGTCGAACAGGTCCCAGATTTCCGATCGGGGCTGGTGGATTGTGGTGATGACGGTTCTGCCCTTTTGCGCCAGTGATTTGAGAGTTCGTACGAGCTGGAACGCACTCGTTGCGTCGAGGCCGGTGGTTGGTTCGTCGAGGAAGAGCACGGATGGGTTTGCCAGGAGCTGAACACCAATGCTCACACGTCTCTTTTCGCCTCCGGAGCATCCTCGGTGTTGGCTGTTTCCTATGCGAGTGTTTGCGCATTCTTTGAGGCCTAGCTCACGAATGACCTCCTCGACGACTCTCTCGCGGTCTTCAGCACTAGTCGAGGATGGGAGTCGAAGGTCAGCTGAGTATCTCAACGTCTCCCGAACTGTCAGAGTCGGCAATAGGATATCTTGCTGCATCACATAGGCATGTCGAACACTGTTCACGCCCACCCGGCCATTAAACGTTGCGAGCCCCTGTTGACTGAGTCTCGAGCTGACAACTCTCTCAGCGAGATTATTGAGCAGCGTAGTCTTGCCGGAACCACTGCCGCCTATGATGGCAGTCAGTGTCCCGGGCTTCAAGCTAGCATCAACCGAATGCAAGAGTGTCTTGATGCGTGGTGCAGCCTTCAACTTGGCAGAGAACAGCTCGGGATAGGTAGAAGGGTCCAGCCATGAAGGAGAAGTATCGACGGCAATGGTCAGTCCCCGGATCTGCACATCAGTGGGCTCGACATCGTCGAGAGACAGATTCACCGCGTTGGCGATGGAGAAGCGGCTCTGGTCGAGCTTGTTGTGGGTTAGGGGCACGTCTGTAGATGCGTCCGTTGTGCTTCCAAGCTCCGCCTTCTCCACATCGACTGCGGCAAGCTGCCCAACAGCATCGTCGTCTTTGCCATCGTCAGCTAGAGCCATGGCTAGAGAAATGCGCCACGGCTCAAGACTGGTTTTTTTTTTTTAACAACGTGGCTTGCTGGCTAGTCAGTATACGGGCATGTTGGCGATTATGCTTGAAATTTGAAACGTCTGTATGGCTGGAAAGCAGAAATAGAATGCTGACAATGTTTTGGTCCAGCTATCCGTAAACGTTACGCCACAGCGTAATCCCAGCTATTACGTCCAAAGCTGAGACGAGGCGGGTTAGCTGATCTTTCCAAAGAGATTCAAAGCGGCCCCTCTTTGAAGGAACAAAAAGAGAGAGATGGAAAAACAAAGGGACATGGGCAAATGCATGAGATAGGCGACACGACCGTTATTTCATGCTCGCATTTGGCCAAGCATCCGATTTTGTGGATCTCCGATCCCCTTGCGACCCCAACGGAGTGTGTAATATGGAGCATTCCGAACTCCGTGGTTTTTAGCTCATGCAGTGTAAATCTCACGACTGCTTTGGAGGATGGTTGATTTGATTTTAAAACAGATGGTTGGACGTGTCTGTCGTTGATAACAAATAGCATTGCATGTAAATGATGCATAGACACGGCATATATACATCTCTATGAGATTTCCCATGACGAATACTGAATTCTATCAAGACCGTAGCATTTCCCGTATCTGCATCATGCAAGTTACCTCCAAGTAGACCCCATATTAATTACTTGACCGATTACACGTATTCTTAGTGCATCCAAGCCATCGGAGAACGCCCATTTGTCGATCAGTACTAACATCTAATACTATCAAAGTTCAAAGCGAGCGCCCCTCATCGGCTGTTCAACCTGATAAATTGAACTGTTCAGCCTACATTCTCTGCACGAGAGCTACCGCTCATTTGCTTTGTTAGCAGTGCACTCATCATACAATGCCACAAAATAGATGTTAGTCGTAAGGAGTCTTGGCTATACACTCTAGCCGTCCTATCACATGGGAATTCGAAAATTGCTGCCCGCCAGCCTCGGCTAGTGGCAAGCAGTGTGTAATGGAATCCTTATAAAACCTTACAGACGCCCGATTACGTTCGCATGCAGAGATAGGAATAGCTGCTTTGACTTTTTGTACGAGGATATTTTTAGAAACAGAAACTCCAGATACATCACATATACAGCATAAAGCGAACATGATTTAGAGCGTAGAAACTCGTATATTCCTTATATTATCTCCTTATATCATTTCATAATGAAGGAAAGGGTATCAATTCCCAACGGCGCATTGCCTATCCACACAATAACCAACAAATAATATACTCAAATGCAACAATCATCCCTAAAACCAAACATAGTCGTAACACATCTTGATATAGTTTCTTTTTTATACTTAGTAGGCTCGCTTGCTCTCATCATCCGATGATGCTACGGTAGCCTGGTGGATAGACGCTCTGCGTAGATCAGAGGCGACAGCGTCGAACTCGTACAGAGGAGGCTTGGTCGCACTCCACTGGAAGAAGACGTACTTCTTGAACCACCAGGGCAGAGCAACGGTGATCTGGTACTTCATAAAGGTGCGGACGGGAACAGCAAAGACATAGTCAAGCTCCTCGAGAGTGCGCTGCATGGTCTCGGGAACCCAGAGGAAGATCATGATGAAAGCGACAACGTTGAAGCCAGCGTAGAGGCCGAATGCACCAACGGTCTGGAGACGCTCGAGCAGGAAGGGGAATGAAGTTCCCAAGACGGCAGCCCAGAACAAGCAGGTGGCGACGGCGAAACCCATACCAGTCTCACGGTGGGACAGAGGGTACACTTCAGCACTGTAGGTGAAAGGAACGGGGCCTTCTCCGGGCGAGTAGAAGGCTCCAAAGAGGAAGACGAAAAGGCTGACAAGGCCGGTTCGGGCCGTCTCATGGCTATCAGAGATCAAGGTGCAGAGACCAGCAGCCAAGAGAGTCCAGAACATCTGGGGGAAGGTGAAGAGCAGCAGGCTTCGGCGACCAAACTGTAGGATTGTTAGTATATATCACTAGCGACTTGTATCATACAATTGCAAAACTTACGGTATCAATAGTCCAGAAAGCAGGGAAGGCAAAGATCCAATTGACAAGACCGAATCCAAATGAGCCAATGAGAGCCCGGAATTGAGTGAAGCCAGCGTTGACAAAGACGGTGGTCGAGTAGAATGCGATAATGTTGATGCCGCACATCTGCTGGGCGATCATGACGGTAAAAGCAGCCAAGTTGGCACGGCGAATACGGGGGACAGTGAAGAGCTGAGTGAATCGGGTGATGTAGTTTGTCTTTCCAATGAGCTCCTTCTCGATATCCAGCTGGGCAGAGATGTAGTAAATGTCTCGGGCAACCTGGATTGGGTCGTTTCGAAGGACAACGAGAGACTTCCAGGCATCGGCATAGCGACCCTTTTTCATGTACCAACGAGGTGACTCGGGGCAGAAGTAGATGAGGGCAACCAGAGGGACAGCGGGAATGAAAGGAGCGCCAAGCATGAGTCGCCAGTTGATGTCTTTTACGTGATAGACAGCCAAGTTGAAGGCGCTTCCAAGCAAGATACCAAAAGCAGTCCACATTTCTAGAGATTCCGTTAGCTGAGACGCTTTAGCGCACGAACCCGAAGAGAAACTTACGCCATGACATGACCAAAGCACCTCTGATGGAAGCTGGGGCATTCTCTGCAGCATAGATGGGGACAGTAGAGGCCTTTGCGCCCATACCAATACCCATGAGCAATCTACAGGCAAGCTGCTGTTGCCAGGAATGACAGAAGGCGGAACCAATAACGGGCCAGATACAGAAGTGAGCGGCGAAGAAGATGACACCACGGCGACCGAAGTGGTTGTTGATGGGGTCAGAGAGCCAGCAACCGATGAAACTAAGAGGCAATTAGTCAAGAGTGCGCCAATGGGTGGACTTGAAAAGGCAATACGCACGCGCTGCCAATGTAGGGAGCGGCGTTGATGAGACCGACGAGAATAGCGTTACGAGTGATAGTTTGGTCACCAATACCATACACGTCGGGCCAGAAGATGGTGGCACCGTTGCTGCCAGTCTGGTCCCAACCTTGAACGGCGGCACCAATGGAGCACGTCGCGATGGTGATGAAGAGTCTTGCGGGCATGTGCCACTTGTGTGTCACTTCACGCTCCAGAATGTTCAATTCATGTGGGGTGAGCCTCTCATCACCATCAATGTTGTGTGCTTCGGCGGGGTTTTGGGCAATAAGCGCGCCCTTCTTGAGCAGGAGGGTGTGCTCTGAGAGCCCGTGACGAGACGCAAAGGACTCGACATCGGTCATGAGCTGTTCCCGAGGAATGCCCTTGAGCGGGTTGCGAATCTTGGCCTGGAGATTCTGGGCATACTCCTCTTCTTCGGTGTAGGTGACTCCCTTCTCCATGGATGCGTCGTGAGCACCCTTGGACTCTGGGTGATTGCTGTATCAACCAAGCAGGTTAGCAAATGGCTTGATGAAAGAAGAAGACATGCCAATGGGTATGCAGGTATACTGACTATATTTCCGCCATGATGGGCAGAGGAATTGTCCGCAGCTGACTTGCTCTTCTGACCTCGATCAATGCAAATGAGAAAGGCAAAGAGTGATGCTGCTTCTGGGCTGAAGAAGTCGAGACAAAGAATGTCAAGACGACGGGAGGCGAGGACTAATATACTTGTTTGTCCTGAGCCGAGCCTGGAGTCTGGGGAAGAGACGAAAAACTGGAGTCCGGAGACGGAGAACAATGGCTCTATTTGAAGCTCGTCGCGTGGTTTGTCTCTCCACAGTCCAAAAGCCATGAGCCCATGGCCTGGGAGGCGTAGCGGTAACACAATCCAGCAACTCGTGCATGTAAGTCGAGCAGCATGGCTTGAGGCCTATCCTAGTCCGGCCCACTCTTGGCTGGAAGATAGACAGACGGGCTAGTCCAGTTGCATAGCTCGGCTGACATTGATGGAGGTGGACCTTGGGCGCAGAAACGTCTTGAGAAGCGTGGAAGACAGCCGCGGCGACTCATGCATTCGGCCAAGCAGCACCATCTGTGCGCTGCCAAGGGATCAGGATGGTGCTCGTCGGTGCTACCACACGCCAGTCAGTTACCAGCTGCAATAAAGTAGCAAGCAGAGCAGCAAGCAGATGCTACATACCGCGTATCGGCCAATCAGAGATCATCTCCGGATTCAGTCAGCCTGTAGAGTCGAGACGCTCCAGCCAGCAAGCCACAGAGCGAATCTCGCTTCCCCCAGAGCAAGCCACCTCCGAAGGAGATTGACCCTCTTGTTTCTCCAGACGGGGAATCATCCCCGCACCCCAGACAAGAGAGGAGCAGCTCCAGTTCCCCATGGGAAAGCAAAAGCAAGCCACTGCTGCTTTCGTCTTGACGGTATGTCTTAGACTCGAGGTTGAAAGTGGAAATCACAAACCCGTTGTTTGGCCACTGTGGGCCTAGCGCCGAGCCCCCTGCCCAGCGCTGTAATTGGCCCCTGGAGGCACGCCAGGCGTCCCCTGACGTAGGCGCAAGCAGCTGCCGAATCTTTTTCCCAGGGCGGCCCTGCAAGCGTCCGTGCAATCGCTGAGAGATGCCCACGCCCTGCTCTGCTTATTCTGCGTGTGCTACTTGTGCAGATCGGCATTCCAGGTGCTCCAGACGGTGAATAATAGCGCCGGCGTGTTTGCCATTACCAGCAGCAATAGAGGCCAGCAAGGCCATGTTCGGCTATAATTCGCTCATTATCTGGGCGAGCAGCTGAGGCAACGAGACAAGATCTGCGTCAGCCAAGGCACAGGCTGAGTGCATGTGCTGGGTACATGTACGTACCGAGTACCCTTCTGCGAACCCCTCCATGCGCTGCATCTCAGCTAATCTCTTCCTTTCCAACGCCGGATGCGACTGTCCGTCGAAAGCATCGGACCACGCCCTCCTTCCACGGCCTAGAACCTCGAGATCTGAGCAAGGTTTTCTCCTCATCTACGGCATCCGCATGGCCTGCCGGCGCCAATTCGCCACAGCCAATGTTGGTGCTCGCTAAGATCAAGGA